CATCGTTGTCCTCTAGCTGGTGCATCGTTGTCCTCTAGCTGGTGCATCGTTGTCCTCTAGCTGGTACATCGTTGTCCTCTAGCTGGTGCATCGTTTGTCCTCTGGTTGAGTGTTGTTGTCCTCGAGTCGAGTTTGTCTCGTGGCTATACGGGTCAGAGCTGTCGTCATTGACTGGCAGAGTTTCTGGTGCCAGTTCGCGGGCTGTAGCTCGGTCCGAGAGGTCTCCGCCTGTGCGCTGTTTCGCCGAGCGCGGCGCCTCACATCTGTGGCGAGTGGCGCAGCGTCTTTAGCCAAGTCTTTCGTTCCCATGGCGAGGGTGAGCGTTCGAGGACAAGGACGCAGCGTCGAGCCAGTATGTATGCTCTCGATGTGGGTGAGTCGGCGCGGGGGTTCATAGGTCCAAAGTGCATGATTAGGTATCGTCGGGGCTGATATGTCCATTGCGACCGCAGCGCCCGTCTGACACGCGGATGGTGCGCAGTGTGCCACCGGTCGCCCAAGATGCAGGCTCTGGAAAGTGGCACCATGGCACCGTGGCACCGTGGCACCGTGGCACCGATGAGCAGTGTTTCTGACAGCGAGTCTCGCAGCGCCCTTGTGCTCTCCCCAAGCACAGCAGAAAAGGACAATTATTGTTCATCGGCTGAGATATCGATTGTATGACACACATAACACCACCGTGACGGAAAATGAAGGAAATGGTTGGTGGTCGTGTATCCTGGGTACGCGGACAATGCTATGAGAGGTGTGGACGTTACATCCAGGCGATCGAGCCCACCAGGCCGGCAGCCAGCGTGAGCAGCGAGGCGGCGAGGCCTGACGCCGACGACGCCGCGGGCTTCTTGGCCGCCGAGTCAATGTCGGGCACGCCGTTCGATGTCGAGGGCTTGGATGTGCCCGCGGTGGTGGCGACGGGCTCGGGAGCAGCGAGCACAAGGGGCTCGGGAAGAGCGGTGCGGCCGAGGACGGGCTGGGGCCCGATCTTGCCGTTGCCAATCATGACCATCTGCGCGTTAGTCGATGCACCGAGGCACACAAAAAGGGCTCACCTCTCCCATCGAGGGGATGCCGTCAACAACCAGGAAGATCATCGCAGCTCCAGGCTGGAAGACGTTCGGGTTGGGAGGCATCTGCGAAACAATCATGGTAATCTCGCCAGTCTCAAGGTCGTGCGAGAACGAAGTCTCAAGCTCAAGGTAGCGCTGGCCCATGTTCATGGCGTGCGTGCTGAAGCCCGTGCGAACAACAGTAACCTTGACCTTGCTGGGGTCGGCCTTCTTGTCGGTGAAAGTGAGGTTCCACGAGGGGCCACCCTGAACGTTAGGTTGTTAAACTACGATAAAACTCACGTAGGAGAGCGACTTGGGGAAACCGCTGGGCTGAGGACGCTTCTTGTTGTACCACGTAGGGTACCACTTCTCAACACTGTACTTTGTGCCCCACTGGACATCGGTGACATCGGCGTTGGGGTTGCTGCCCGAGATCAGAACAGCGCCGTCGGCAAGAAGAATGGCAGTCGAGTGGTACATGCGCTCCTCGCCCGAAGCGGAGAGGCCAGCACGGTCAAAACGAGATCCCGAAGGAGCGTTGGGGTCGTAGACGGCGGGCATGTAAAGCGGCTCCTGGCCATAGCTTTGGCCGATGGAGAAGTTGTTGTTGCCGTAACCAGCAGTGCCCATAGCAACACCGTTGCCCATCCACATCTTGCCGTCCGGGAGGTAGATGAGCTGGCCCATGCTGCGGCCCTCAGGAAGGTTGTCGTCGTCGGTGTACACCGGGTTGGGGTCGTCGGGGCGGATGCGAACACAAGTGTTGTCGGCAGGGACCTTTGTGACATCAAAGCCCGCACCGCCGTCAGACGAGTTCCTCAGGTCAACGTTTGAGCCACCGCAGAAGAGAAGCTCGGCCGAGTAGCCATTCTCTGGAGTGAGAGGAAGCATGATGGCTGCACCCGAGGCGGGGTAGACGCGCTGAGCGTAGGGCATGTCCGGGAGGTTGTACTCGGTGCGAGTGGGGATGTCGTAGAGGATGGTGCGGTAAGCAGCCTGGAGGAAGACCTTGCCGCTGGGCAGGAGCCAGGTGAGAGGGAAGAGGTTGACTGGGACAGTGTCGTTGAGGAAGTCCATGTGAATGGCGCCCGACTCCTGCTTGGGCCAGTACTCCCACGAAGGCGTGTTCTGAGCAAAGGTGCTAACGTAGCCACCGTTCTCATCGCCACCGATAACCATGACGTTGCCCTCGGCGAGGCCCTCAATGGTGGGGTACCAGCGCTTCTTGGCCATTGTCAAGGCGTCACCGCCTTCCTGCCAGCCGCAAGTACCGTCATCGCAGGGAGAGATGACACGGACAGCCCGACCGCCGTCGGTACCCTTGTATGGGTCGGCGCCGGAGGGGTTGGCAATCTTGTCGTTGACGGCGACGCCATTGTACGTGACTGGCTGGTTGCCACCTGATGGTTAGGACGTTTGTGTGTTAAAGCCCAAAGACCCACCCCATGTGCCAAACGATCCGTCACCGAGGTTGAAGCCACCTGCACAGAAACTGTTCGAAGTAACCTCCATGGGAGTTGCGACGTTGGTGCGTAGGTCGTACGAAGTGCCCCATGCAGGGTGAGTGACGCCGTTGGTAGTAATGCTCATCTTGTTGTTCTCGGTCTTGTCGAGGATGTAGACGGTGTTCTTAGTGCCGAGGAACATCATCTGTGCCGATACACCCGAATCACCGACGAGACGGAAACCTCCAGCTGGGGCATTCTTGTCAAAGTCAATGTCCGAGGAGGCACCGCGGCGCATGACCTCGCGGTGGCGGCCGCTGCGTGGGTGTGGGTGGTGGTTGGAGGCGGCCGAGGCCGTGGAGGCGAGGAGGACGAAGGAGGAGAGGAGCATGGTGTGGCTGGGGTTAGGGGGGTTGTTGAAGGCGGGGGGAGGGGGCGAGGGGGTGGAGGGGGCGGAGGGGGAGCGAGGAGGAGGAGGAGGAGATGGCGATGGTATGAGACGAAGAGGAGAGGGGATAAAGAGAGAAAAGAGTTGGAGGGAGAGACGCGGAAACCCAAGACGAGTACGAGTGACGAAAGGACAGAAAGAGAGAGAGGAAAGGGGCAGGTGAGAAGGTGGGAAGAGGGGGGGGGGATTAAGTGTGTAGAGTGTAGAGGACACCGACTCACAAAGGCGAGGACGAGGCCGACGAGGGACCGTGAGGGGATGGCGAACGTGGGCGGTCTGGAGGCGATGCGTGGTGGGCGTGGGCTGTGCTTTGACAAGGAGCGTGGAGCGTTGGTGCTTGATGTGCCGAGTCAAGAACAATTGGTGCTTGGAGGAGAACACGTTGACGGGAATCGAGCGAGAGGTGTGTGCGACGGCGCGACCCTTAGTATGGGGGGGAGGGGGGGGGGAGGGGGTTACGACGAGGAGGATGATTAAAAAAAAGAGAGTGACGATTAAAAGGAGAGTGAGTAGTTGAAGAGGATGAGGAGATGCGATGCGATGTAAGTCGATGCCCGAGAGAGAGAGTAGAAGAGAAAGAGAAAGAGACGACGAGGACGACGACGAGGGGGATGTTCTTGTTGAATGAGTGCACCACCTTGACCGAGTGACCCAGGAGGAGTATCAGGGTACCCAGGAAGGCGCCAGGGAAAGAGGAGAAGAGGGACGTATCCAAAGATCCTAAGAGCAGCCGCGTTCACCGCGTCCCTGAAATTCCACACCGAGGCCGAGGCACGCGAGGCACCATCCACCGCGGGCCCAATTGCCCAATGCAGCACTTGACACGTCAGGGTCCCGTACTTTGGGTCCTGGCGTGACTCGAGTTGTGCTACTGGTTGATGGGTATTAGCATGCGGTGGAACATGGATCTATATACAGTACAAGGCACTAGTAGATCGCAGAACAATGCCATGCCTCTGTTTCTTCTGCATCTGCTCCTCCTGCACGCGACTCCTGGGCGACTCCTATACGAGTATGGTCTGTGTTAGATCCCCCTCCCCGGCTTGAGCAACGCGTCGCGCACAGGCTTCCGATCCGGTGTGTGTGCCAGGGAAGGAGGGCGCAATTCCCAAGGGTAGGCAGGCAGTGCGGCCAGCGGCCAGACGCGCCAGGCGGGAGCTAGTTGACTTTCGGCTCCGGACCCTGAACGGTGATCCTTGAGAGCGGCTCAGGAACTGCCGCGTCGCGCGTCGAGCTTGAGCGCGTGAGCGGCGTGAGCCACGATCTGGGAGTGGGACAAGCCTGCAAGTGCACCAGAGTCATTGTTGTCGCGGGGCGGAACGGGCGTCTAGGGGATGCTACGCGGGTGCTTTCGCGCGGCGTGAGACTGTTAGACTGTTTGGATGAGAGCATGGGTGGGTGGCCTGGGTGGGGTGATGGGCATGATGAGGAGGGGGATGCGACGGGCGATCAACGATGATCATCATGGAGCATGGAGCACAAATCAGTCGCGCTCCCCACTGCCAAGCATCCATTCTTGAATTGCATCCAACTCTGTGCTCCCTGCCATGCCTACTGTACCAGCCATGCATCCTCTTGGCCTCTTGGCTTCAGCTCGCCGTCACCCCCCCTCCTGTATTTTCGGCGGGCCAAGACATGTCCCTCCGCCTCATCGCCCTGTCCCGCCGTGATCGGCTCTCAGCCCCTCCAGGCCTCCAGGCCTCCAGTCCATCCCACAGACAAGTACCATCCTGATCTCTTGGCATATGTTGATCGCCGACGACGCTGCATGCTGCATCCATTGCTTTGTGCCGTCTCAGCTTACTCCGCTCGCGCGATACTTGGTGCATCGCCAATGGGATCCGGAGAGCGGAGAGCGCGGAGCGGAGCAGGTCGTCTCGGCCGGACATCCTGGTGGCGGACGCCACGGCGGCCCAAAGCCCAACAGTCATGGCTCCCCAGATCTGGCCTGACGCACGCCAACTTTGCCGCGCTCTGCTCCATCGCATCAGCCACTGGCCATCTCCATCATGCATCCCCACTCATCCACAGCCAGAGCCATGGCCAGTTTGTGCTCCTTGATCCTTAGCTTGCATGAAGGCTGACCGCGTGGCAGGACATACGTCATGCCTCCGCCGACCCATACCCCGAGTAACCCACGTTCCGTCGTTGCGTCGTTGCGTCGTTCCGTCGTTCCATCGTGCTATCATCATGCTCCCCAGCCTCACCCCGCGTCCCCTGCTCCGCCTCGCCCGCCACCCGCTCGCCCGCACGGTCCACGCTGTCGCCGCACAAGGCTTCACCCACGCCGACGCGTACGACGCCGCGCGCCCGTCCTACCCCCCCGCAGCGCTCGCCCTCGTCCGCGCGCTCTTGCCGCCCGCCGCGCGCGTCATCGAGCCAGGGGCGGGGACGGGGATATTTTCGCGTCTCCTCGCCCAGGGGGGGGTGCGCGCGCTCGTGGCTGTTGAGCCTAGTAGCGAGATGCGGGCGGCGTGGGCGCGGGGGATGCGGGGGGTGGGAGGGGAGGGGGAGGGGGTGGGGGTGGGGATGGTGGGGATGGAGGGGCCGGAGGGGACGGAGGTGAACAAGGAGGGGGAAGGGGAGGGGAAGAAGATGGCGGGGAAGAAACAGGGGGATAAGATTGAGGGGAAGCAGGATGGGAAACCCGACCTCCGTTGTGTCGATGGCGGATTCGACAATCTCTCCCGGACCGGATGGGGGCGCGGCGACAAGGCCGAAGCCGACGCCGTGATCATCGCCCAGGCGTGGCATTGGTGTATGGACTATGATCGGGCGCTGGTGAGTTTGGGTGGGGGAGACGGGAGGAGGAGCTGGGAGGAGGAGGAGGAGGAGGAGGCGGGAGGCGGGAGAGGGGAGGGGATGAGGAGGGAGAAGTCGCACCAACACCCAGGCAGAAATCGCAGACTACCTCAAACCCCACGCGCCCCTCGTCCTCATCTGGAACCTCGAGAGCGACGCCGACGCCTTCCACCGCGACCTCCGCGCCGCTTATCAGGCCCACGACCTCGGCTCGCCGCAGTACTACCGCGGCTTGTGGCGCCAGATGTTTGAGACCCCCGCGTATCACGACCTCTTTGCATCCAAGGAGGAACACCGGTTTGCGTGGGACGTGGGCATCGACGAGGACGCCGTCGTCGCGCGTATCATGAGCAAGAGTTATATGACCATGCTCGGGGACAAGCACGACGAGGTCGTCGCTCAGTTGCGACGCATCATTCGCCAGAGCGACAAAGAGTGGATTGACCAGCCGGTGAGAACCCGCACCATGCGACCACTCGAGCTCACACCAGAACGGCACATTCAGATACCGCTACAACACCGACGTCGTCGTCCTCCGCAAGCGCTAGCCCACACTCCCCTCATACTCCTCCACACAAACTTATGAGTGCATGATATACTCCACTATATGACAGATGCCATCTAATGCACAACCCTCTAGGTTCATAACCCTTCTCGAGCCTCAAGCATCGCCCCGCGGAGTCGCATCGCCCTTCGGAGCGTCCTTCGACGAAGAACTTCCCCCGCGCCCAGCACGACGCCGGCCACGTCCACCACGCTCAGTCACCCCGCGCACAGGCGGGTTCGAAATCTCCACAGTAATAGGCGAGTCGCGAATAGATCCACTCGAGTGCGCCTTGAGCACGTCCTGCAGGTCATTCTCGTTGGCAAAATCCACATAGGCAAAGTTCTTCTGCCGCTTCAACTGGTCAAACACCAGTTTGACCGCAGTAATCTAGTAGCGTCAGTACCCATTTCATTGTCAACCCCACCTTCTCAGCCTCAGCATTGAAAAACGCCTTGATCTCAGCCTCTGACGTCGGAATCGGCAGACCCTTGAGGTACAGAGAGAAGCGCTTCGGTGTGTGAGTGCCAGTCCTCGGCGTCTCAGAACCGTCCATCTCGCCCTTCTCCTCGTTGCTGCCCGTCTTCTTCACGTCCTTGTCCTTTGGCAAGGACGCAGGTGTGGTGCTGGGCGTAGTCTTGGCCGATTTGGGTGCACCATCCTTGCCAGCTGTCAACGTCTTCTCAGACTTGGTATCAACAGTGGGAGAAACCGGGCCCAGTCCAGGACCGCCGCGAGTCCCGCGCGTCACGGGCGGCCCCGCAGGCAGCGCGTTGGCCGTAGCAGCCGAGCCAGGAGCAGGGCCGTCGCCCTTCTTCAGCAGACCAGCTATCGGCTTGGCCCCCGCCGCTCCCGCCATCGGCTTGGGCGGCATAGCCTTGGGAGCCAGCGGAGACGCCATCGGCTTCGGAGGCACACCGGCCTTCTCAGCCATCGTCGGCGGACGAACAGATTGCGCAAGTTGTGGGGGGAGAGAGGGAATGGGAGCTGAGGGTGGCGCAGAGCCCTGGTTCGCGCGATGAGCAAAGTTGAGCCCTCGTTGTCAGCTTTCTAGTTCGTGCGTGCAGCAACTCACCAGCACTACGAATCTCGGCCGACACACGTCCATCAGTAATCGACAGAAGAAGGTGTCCGCAGAGTGCGTCCCTGGTTGTAAGCGAGATGCTTGCTAACAAACCTACGAGAGCACCCAGTGCCAGGTGTTGGTCCACGAGTTGTCGTCGGTCGTGGGGATGCGCTGCACCATCCCCATCACTCTCTTCAACAAGACCTGCTGCTGCTCGCTGCAAACGTCAGCACTGCCGCTTCAACCCAACCCACTTGAGCACGCTGTCCACACGGTCCTTGACAACGTCGTAGACACCGAGGAAGCCGTCACGCGCAGAGATGAGCTTGCGGCGGTAAGTATCGAAATCGCCGCTGACTGCAAAGTCGTTGAGCGAGGCAGGATACCGGACTGGTCGTCAGCACAAAGCGGTGAGGAATGCCACTCACAATGGAGACCTCCCGAGGTGGTCAGATCAGCCTTGACCCCAAGTGTCAACAGCGACAGCAGTCCAGTGCGAGTCACCGGTGCCGACGTGACCAGCATGCGAGTCTCGGTGGCGTCGTAATTCTAGGGATCAACACCCGCTGACACCCGCGCGCCACTCACCCTCTGGGCTGTGTCAAGTAGCTCGCCCAGCTGCAGCGCCGTCGTCCACATGGTCCCCTGCCCTCCAGCAATGGTTGCGTATCCTTCGCCTGTTGTTAGCAATGTCCTCGGAGCGAGAGTCTCGCATCGCATACCATTGTCAACTGCGCAGTGTCAGCGTATTACCCCAAAGACAATTTTGACGTACAGAGCTTGTGCATAGCGACCGCACCGCCCAGACCGAACAGGCGCAGCTTGATGCCTGCGGTCTCGATCAAAGCCGACGACGCCTCGTCAATCACGGTGAGGTTGTTGACCTCGTACTCGCCCGTGCGGAACTTTTCCACAATGCGAACATCCTCAATCAGACCCCACACGGTGAACACCGGGACGGGAAAGGTGATGGCGCCAGAGAGAAGGTGGGGGAACTGCGAGAGCGGAAAGTGGATCGACGAGCTGTTCAGCTGCTGAAGGAGAGCAGCGCGTCCAGCCTGTGGCGGGATGGAAAGGAGCTGGCTGCGTGTGATGGGGGGGATGAGAGGTGAGTACTGTAGGAGGTGACGGAGGATCCTGCGCGTGATCAGCGCGAGTACGGGGCGCACACGACCTACTTGTCGCCCATGCGGTCGAGCGAGTCGGCGTTGAGAAAGCCAAAGTCGCCCGTATGAATCACCGCGGTAGCCTCGTGCTCGCGAATAAGGCGGTTGAGCTCATGGTCTGTGCATTAGGAGAGTGATCCTTGCGCCATGCCAACGTGCACGCCGTCTTTTGGACGACTTGGGCGAGGTTCGTGGCCCGCGCGCACAACAACTCACAGTCACCACGGATGTCGGCGACGCAGAGGATGCGAGCCGAGTTGCCAGCGAGGACGACGCGGTGGTTGTATTGAATGGACGCCTGAGGCGACATGACACCGTTTGTGCCAGAAGGAAGGGGACTCATGAGGAGGTGGTGAGGGTGAGGGAGATGATAAGTGGGTAACGATGCTAGGTATGAAAGCCAGCGGCACGTCGAGTGTCGATGGGGGGGGGGATGAGAGAGGGCCGAGAATGAGAGGAGATGAGAGGAGAGGGGTTTTGAAGGCGATGAAGAGATGAAGAGAGAGAGAGAGAGAGAGAGTAGGATTGTTGACGAGAGGAGAAGGAGAGCGCTTGAGAGGGAGGAGGTGACACCACGCCAGCCCATGATTCATCGTGATCACCCAAGGTACACACGGAAGCAAATTGCACCTCCACCTCCTCACCTGCTTTGCTGCCCCACGCTAATGATTCTGCACACGTGCATCCGGCTGGGGTGATCGATGATCGAGACATGGGAGACACACCGAGGATATTTACGGCACCGGGGCTGCGTAGCCGGAAAGATCCGCCGTGACCGAACGACGGCGGCGAAAGCGAGAGGGAAGTCGGCGCTCACTCCGCGCGCACACGGCGCAAACCGCAGACCGCACACCGCACACCGGTCACACCGTGTCATGCCACGAGGCCCAAAAAGTCACCGGCGAATGCGGCCGGTGTGGCCGGTGCCGGCAGAATGGAATTCTTTTGCCCCGCTACCTCCATATCACCAACAACAAATCATCCATCATCCATCCTCCATCCTCCTCTGTCTCGTCACTCTCTTCATCGATCCTTCTCTACTCTCCCTCCTCCCTCCCCCACTCAAAGGCCTCCCAACGCCATCCACACCACCTCTCTCGCACCATCGCCCATCTCCCACAACCCCCCCTTCTCTCCTCTCCCCCTCCCCTTCCCCGCACCCCTTGCCACCCTGCCAGCTAGCCGACCGTTTGCCGCCGGCCCCCCGCATCCACATTCTTAAAGAACGAGGCGCCCATCCACGCCCCATTCTTCCTCTCATCTCCTCATCATCCTACAACTCGTACTCTATCCAACACCACCCACTCCTCGCAACCCACCATGGCCGCGTCAATGGATGACCTAATCTCGACGCTCAACGGCGGCATGCACGTTGGTCAGCAGGCAGCCGACCTGAAGGAGCTTCACGCCGCACTCGCCCAGACTCTCCAGCAGCGCCCAGCACAGACCCACCGCCCCATTCCGCCCACGACCAAGCTTGGCCCCCACAGCGACGGCCCAGTGCCGCCCCCGGCCCCAGTGTCGTCGTGGAACGACGCCGCTAGCCTCCAGCCCCAGCCCCAGCCGATCCACCTCCTGAGCGGTAACAACTGGAACGGTGGCATGGGCAACTCGCCACGCCAGGTCGCCCCCGTCTCGCAACAGACTCTCAATCCAGTCACCTTCACCGGCAACCGCACCACGGGTTTCACTCCTCCCCCGCCCCCCGAGAAGCGGCCGCACCACGACGACGTCCTTCCCTCGAACGCGAGCCCGCTCGAGACGGCCGGCTTTTCGCAGGACGCTTTCCGCCCTCTGTGGGACAAGCAGCCCAAGTCGCCATATCAGGGCTTTGCGCGATAACTGCGCCATGGCATGTACGATCCAGCGTGTGCGTCGACGCCTGCGCCTGCGCCCGCTCCCCGTGCCCCCGCCCGCGCCCCACGCCACCACCACGGCCACGCTCCTCCTCTTTTCTCTCTTCTCTTTCCCCGACAGACACTGTCCGCTATACACGACTGTACCTAGAGCCTGTACCACCAATCGTCGATCCTCGACGCGCATCCCCACGCCGACCGTACCCTGATTCTGTATAATCCTTCATGTCATACCGAAGACTGCTAGACGATGCAAATGTGTGGCGAGTCGGCCGAAGGCTGAGCTGAGCGCGAGTGCTAGCGAGTGCGAGCGCGTGCAAGCGCGTTGTTGCCTCATGTTGCCTACTTTCAATTCATTCCCCAATTCACGCTCCCCTCGCTTATCGCTGCGCATTCTGCAGCCCATCGTCTCACGCCACACCAGGGCTCGTCCCTCGTCCCATACCCGGTGCCGGAGCCGACGCGGATTTGCGCGACGAAAAATAGCTGCATGTCTTACGTCGGTCGTTGCAGCCGCCGACTTTTGTTCTTTGTACTTGAAACGTTTATAGCACCGTTCCTCCTATTCGCACAGACGTCGGCCTGGCTTCGGGTTGTTCTCCACCATGTATTGGCATGGGATGACAGAAGATGGACGAGACGCGCCGGGCACGACGCGCATCGCAGATGTCGGGTATAGTTGTCAGTGTCAATGGTCGTGGACGGCGCGCAAACTGCCTGGCTTTGCGTATCGGGTCCCGCGTCGGTCGCCGCTCGCAGCGGCACGCCCGTGTCGCGATCGTCGCGAGGCAGCTGGACGCTTCCCGCTCCCTCTGGGCCAGGGGACCAGGAAACATGATGACCTCATCGCTCCGAGCTCGTCAGCTGTCAGTCATTGGCACCGCCGCCTCGCCGCTTGCACACGACCCGCTTCCACAGCACCATAAATCCATGCTCTACCTATACCGCGCTCTGCCTTACGCCCGCAAACCTGTCCGCAGCCTATCGTCAGCGCGCCCGCACCGCAACTCACCCCGCGCACATACGGCAGCGAGAGGAAGGTGCCGATGATCGGCATCTGCCGCAGCGCCTGCAACACAACGGGGAAGAACGACCTGGGATCAGCTCGGCGCACACGGCCACACACCCAAACAAGCCGATGAAGCCGACGAGCTCGATCGCAATCCCAACCACGGGCCACTTGACGAACACGAGCACGCTGGTGTGAGCTGGCCCCGGGACGGACGCACATGCCGAGGAAGAAGCAGATGGTGCCGCGCCACTTCTCTTTGCGCGAGAAGAAGTAGAAGGTGCGCGTGGGGCCGATGATGAGCGGCAAGCCGGTCAGGAAGAGGATGTTGCCGAGCGCGAGGAGCGGGCCGTCGAAGAACAGGATGATGCCTGGTGTCAGAGAGCGCGAGCGAGCGTCAGCTCGTGCGGGTGTGCCGGATGGTGAAGCACCATAAAGCGCTGCATCAAGCGCCCCGATCGCGGACCGCGAGCCGCGAACCGCGAACCCAATACGACGTACCCAAGAACATGAAGAAGACGCCAAACGCGACCAGCGCAACGCCGATTTCTGTCGTCAGACCGCGAGACCGCGAGACTCCGCGACGCACTTTGCCTGTCGCTCAGCCACATGTTGTCCGATTGTCAAAGCCTTCGCCGTGTAGCCCGAGAGTCGAGTTCGAGTTCGAGTCCGAGTCCGAGTCCGAGTCCGAGCCCGGGATGAGTGCTAGGTGAAAGATGCGGAAGCGTGACGAGCGCGGATCATCTTCGTCGGTCATGACATGTCGTGTCAACATCGATGAAACGTGGCGTGGAGTGGCCACGTGGTGGGGCGCCTAGAGTGGTGTTTGGGTGCCTAATCATCCTTGGCCCAGGCGGAGAGTATGCCCCGCTCCACTGCACATTGTCATCGATCATCGACACCATCATCGTTGAGCCCAGTGATACAGCGTCAGCACTCCCACTCGATGCGTCACGACGACTTGCATACAGCAACGACCGGCGGCCGGCGACTGACTTTGCTAGACGTGTCAGCGTGCCAGGCAGGCTGCGACAAGCCTTCTATCGGGCCTCTACAATCCGTTTCGCCGTCGATGATATCATCACCCTGCTCCATTCGGGTGTCCTCCCACGTCTAGCGGGGTGATTAAGCGACCCAATGCCGGAGCGCGCAGTGGCGAGCATCCGTCGCCCAAACCCTGGGTGTGCATAGGTGGAGCGGCACGGCACATCGAGGTGTGCACAGTGCTTACAGTAGCTCGCCTGCGACTGGGGTTGTGCAGATCTGCGCCAGCGCGCGCGAGCCTGCGTCCTGGCATTGCGTGAAGCACGCAAGCTTATCAGCTCAGCAGCTCATCAGGCTGGGAACTGTGCATGCCGCGCGCGCGCAGCCGCAGAAGAGTATGGTCGAGACTCGTGAAGTAGGGTGCCCAGCAACACGTGCAGCGCAGCCGGCGGCAGTTGACCTCCGCCGATGGCAGTCTGTCCCGACGCCAAGCCGCGAGATAACCCCCCAGCTTGAAGGGTACAGAATACGGGGGTGCTACATGACGCCAGCCAGGGATTATCTCGTCCTCCCCACACCCATAAGATCACAATGTCCGGGGACCAGCCGTCGCTCGCGTCGCTGACGACCGCCATCATATGGCCTGACACGCATCACGCGCCAACAGCAGCCGCTGCATAACTGCTCATTCTCCCATTCCATCCTCGATCACTGACCATGGTCGCCGACGACCCGTTCCACGAGCCGCGCCCGCCTGCGCGCGCGCACATCCCCTCCCCCATACTGCGGGTCACGAGCGAGGGCGACCTCCCGGCGACAGCGAGCGGGAGTTACGTGACGCCCGAGGATCTGCCTACTGCGCCACCCGCCGCCTTCACTGGCCCGGGCACGGGCACGAGAACACCCAGAAGAGTGCAGTGGACGCAAGACCATATAGTCAACCTCCCCCCGCTCGAGGCGGCCGACACCCGCGAGTCACAGCTGAGCGACACCAATATCAACGAGGTAAACGATGCCCTTGAGCGCTTCCGTAGCCACCGCTACCGCCCCTCCAACTTGAGCACGGCGAGCGTGGCCTCGCTGGCGTCGTCGGACGCCAGCGACCACCACCACCACCACCACCACCACCCCTTGCGGAACATGATGCACCGCTACCCTCCCCAGCAAGCCGAGGACGACTACGACTATCGTCTCGACCACCACTCGGACGAGGAGCGGCGCGACGTCTTTGACAACGGGCTCAACGATCACACGGCACAGTACATCCCGCCAGGCGAGACGGACGGGCTCCCCTCCCTCCCGTCGCAACCGGAGAAGAGCGAGAACCGGGCCGAGACCCTCGTGCGCGCGCACACGAGCAAGTGGAGCACGCTGCGGCGGCGCGTGCACCGCGGCAGTGTGCGGCGCCAGACAGAGCGCCCGACGTCGGGGAGAGACGAGTACGACCGCGTCGAGAACGAGCGGCCGCGACGCGACAGCGAGAAGCGGCGCTCGAGCGAGTCGACGGCCGTCGACGCGCCGCTCAACCCCCCCATCAACCCGCCGATCAATCCACCGCTGGGCGGCATGCCACACATGCCGGGCGGGACGTCGGTGCTTTCCTCCCTGCTAGCGCTGTACGGGCGGCACCAGCACGACTCGGCGGCGCCGAGCCTCACGACGAGTGCAAGTAACACACCGGTGCCCAGCGACGACGAGGGGGACAAGTTCGGACGCAGGTCCCACGACGACGCGAACCGATCATCCACGAGCATTGCCGACCGGCGTTCCCCGCTGCCCAGCCCCGGGCTGAAGAACAAGTTCCAGCGCGCGGCGCATACATGGAGACAAGGGGACCGGCCGAAAGCGGCGCGCTCGGACGCGGGCGTTTTCGGCGCGCTCATCGGCGCGACGGGGGGGTTGGCGGCTAGCGCCGCGCCGAACTCGACAACCCTCGTGCCCGCCGCCAAGCGCACGGGCTACCATCTCACGCGGTACAGTCTGCCGGGGACGCCGCAGGAGTTCCTCAGCCCGCCGCGCAGCCCGCGCTCGCGGCCAGCGAGCATGGTCTCGGGCGTGAGCGAGATGGGGGAGCGGGACGACGCGTCCTCGAAGAGCACGGACGACCTCGTGATGATGAAGAAGCGGGGGAAGCCGTCCTCGTCCTTGAACCTGCAGGCGTTGAGGAAGGAGGGGGGCGCGGCGCTGCACTCGGCCCAAAAGTGGATTTCGGCAGGCACGCCGCTCACCGACGAGGAGCGGAAGCGCAAGGAGTGGGAGGCGGAGAAGCGGCGGCGGAAGAAGGCCAAGGAGCGGCGCAAGAAGCAGGAGGTGTTCATTATCCAGCACGTCGCGGCGATCCTCGCGCGGCAGCAGTTCCTGCTCAAGCTCGCGCGCGCACTCATGATGTTTGGAAGCCCGTCACACCGCCTCGAAACGCAGATCCAGGCGACGGCGCGCGTGCTCGAGATCAACGCCCAAGTCGTGTATTTGCCGGGCACGATGCTCGTGTCGTTTGGCGACGACGCGACGCACACCTCGGAAACAAAGTTCCTCAAGCAGTCGACGGGGCTTGACCTCGGCAAGCTCCTCGCCGTGCACAACGTGTACTGGAACGTTGTGCATGACCGGTGCAGCGTCGACGACGCGAGCCGCGACCTCGACGGCCTCATGACGAGCAAGCCGCTGTATTCGCGCTGGCAGACGGTGGTGATTTCGATGATGTGTTCCGCCTTCATCGTCGTCCCCGCCTTCTACGGCAGCTTCATCGACGCGCTCATGTGTGCCGTGCTCGGCGGGCTGCTCGCCGTCGTCCAAATGCTCGCCGTCATGAACGACATGTTCAGCAATGTGTTTGAGATCGTCATCGCCACGCTCATCAGCTTCATCGCCGCCGTGCTCTCCGACACAAACAAGTTCTGCTACACCGCCCTCGTATCCGGTGGTGTCGTCCTCATCCTCCCAGGCTTCATCGTGCTCACTGGCGCCCTCGAACTCGCCTCCCGCAACATCACGGCCGGCTCCGTCCGCATCGGCTACGCCGTCATCTACTCGCTCTTCCTCGGCTTCGGTATCTCGATGGGCGGCGAGATCTACTTCAAGATCCGGCACCGTGGAGTCAAGAACGCGGCGGATTACACGTGCGCCGCGACCCACGTCCCCGGCGCGCCGTGGTACATGGCAGAGCCGAGTGGCTACTGGTGTGAGCGTTCTTGCCTTGTGTGCCCTCTCGCCTCTTGCCCGTCCTGTCCTCTTCTTCTTCTCTGCCCCTGACACCAGACTACCTCTGCGTGCCGATGTACAGCCTGTGCCTGTCGCTGCGCAACGGGCAGCCGATCCTGCGCAAAGAGACACTCGTAATGATGGCGGTCGGCAGCGCGGGCTGGAGCGCGAACCACTTCACGGGCCCCGTCTTCCGCAACCGCTCCGACATCACGTCGGCCATCGGCTCGTTCTGCGTCGGCATCATCGGCAACCTCTACGGCCGGTTTTTCAGCAACGGCGCCAGCTTCCCCGTCATGGTGACGGGGATCCTGATGCAGCTGCCTTCCGGGTGAGTGCCAGCTGCGATGAGAACACACTGACACCAGACTCTCGCAGGGCGGCTTGTTCTCTTTCGCGGCCGAGGGCCAGAAAATCAGCGAAAGCAACGGCACATCCGGGACGACGACGACGCAGTATTCGCAGGGCTTCCAGGTGGCTGAGCAGCTCGTGTCCGTCGCGATCGGGCTTACGGTGGGGCTGTTCGTCGCGGCCGTCGTCACGCACCCGCTGGGCGGGGGCCGGCGGCGCGGCGCTGGTATTTTCTCTTTCTAGAGACTGAACCATTCATAGAACTGTAGACCATAGACTAGGCGCGGGCGCCTGCTGTAGCAATGACATGACACAAGTGATCCCGGACCGCGCTCGGTCACGCCCAGAACAGCACCAGGATGTGGGGCCGACACCCGACCTGCGTCAGCGCGGGACCACTACACGCGGAGCTCGATGCACACACGTCGCTCATTGGCACTGGCCTCGTCCCGACGCGTCAGGAATATGAGTGCGGACGCGTTGACGCCAGCAGGGATGTAAGGGAGATGTGAACCGGGACTTGCAGCGCCTCGCGCCGCATGTCACGCAATCCGTCTGATGGACGACGTTACACCGAGGAACAAGCAACTTGCACCAGCACCAACACTGCAACAAGGTTTTGCAGTGTTTTGCGACGCCTGTTTGGGCGCGTTTGGCGCTTCACCTGTCCCGGATGCGCCACCCGAGACACACCACCCCTGGCGTCGCGTGGTGTTGTGGCGTGGCGGCAACTGTGGCGCGCGCCACACTGAATACGACGCACGAATGCATCATACCAAAATGACCTACAGGAAGGAATTACGATGGCCAGCCATGCAGTGAAATAAAACAATGGGTCGCGCCTGCCTACGCGATATGGGGGGGAGAGAGGACTGGTGGGTATGGAAGGGAGGGGATGTATGGTTCGTGCTAATAATGTCCGTCTTACAGGCGAGGCCTCGCCTAGAAACAAAGTACCGCCTAGTGGTACTCGTTGAACTCGAGCGAATTGCCCTGTAGCGTCGGTTGAGAAATCATCGTCTTCTGCACAGAGCGACGCTGAGGGCGCTGAGACATGCGGGGAGATGACGGTCCAGACCGAGCGTACATGTCGTCGAAGGGGTTCTGGCTCGTACGCTGGGCCCCCTGAGAAGGCGACCCGTAGGCTGCACCCTGTCCACCAAAGCCCGTCGTCTGGAACCACGACGTGCCAAAGACAGAGTTGACGTACGAGGTCGGCGACTGGTCGCCTCCGCCAGCCTGGTCGGTGTAGATCGAGTCGACCTGGCGGCGGCGCATCGCCGGGTAGTTGTCGAGAGGCGAGGCATAGAACGAGCTCGGGCGGTCGTCAATCTCGGACGCTGCGATCGAAGGCGTCGTCGAGTGACGGCGGCCGTCGTCGCCGAAGGGGTTGTCGTTGCTGCGACCAGAGAACATGGACATGTGCTCCGACAGACGCTTGTTGACAGCCCGCTCGTTGGCGCGCTTGACCCGACGGTAGATCCAGTAAACAAGGATGATCCAGAGCACGCCACCGATACCAACACAGACGCCGATGATGATGTTGCGCTTGCGCGCGCCATCCGCGGTCGACTTGGAGCTGGTGTTGGCACGGACAGATGAGCCACCAGCAGCCGCAATGGGGTATGTGGGGTCAATCTGGTCCGCAAGGGCACCGGCCATGCCGGGCTGGTTGTAGAGCGGCGAGTTGCTGGTCGACACATAAGTCTCAAGGGTAGGGAAGTCCTCGGTAGGCACGTAGCCAATCCACTGCGTGCCCAGGGTAGGACCGTCAGCGGGCTGGTAGACACGAAGGCCGTAGGTGACGACGTCCGACTCGGGAATGTTGAGAGCCTTTCCGATGAGCGTGGGGAAGGTGTTGAAGAGCTGTCCCTGCGCCTGGTCGTTCTGAATGGTGAAGAGCCATGGGTAGCCTGAGAGCGACAGAAGGATAGACACCTGCGTCTTGCCCTTTACGGGGTCCAGCTCGTTGCCCGAGCCCAGGTTCGGGTTGCTGGCAAGATCGCCCTGAGGAGGGAAGATGAAGCCGGGAATGTCGGTAGGCACAGGCGCGGCCGTTGGCGTGTACGGCGTAGTCGGGTCGATTGTGCGCGAAGGCTTGTCCTCCTCCTCAGTCGGGGCCGCAATGACGAGCGACGTGGCAGTCGGGGTATACGGGATGTACGTCGTGGTCGTGGGAGACGAGTCGGCGGGAGAAGCTGTCTGAGCGTCTCCAGTCGAAGGAGCTGTTTCAGTGGGAGCAGGTTGACCGGTAGCCGGCTGCGTTGTGGGAGTCTCAGACCCAGGGGCCGGCGACGCAGTTCCCGACGGCTGCGGGATCACATCGGTGCCGGATGGGCCAGGTTGCTCGGAGCCCGAGACGGGGGGCTGCGAGGGAACACCCGAAGGGCTGGGAACAACATCGGTACCCGATGGACCAGGAGGCACTGATACCGAGGGGCTAGGAGGGACTTCCGTGCCCGATGGACCGGGGGGAACCGAGACCGAGGGACTAGGAGGTACTTCCGTGCCCGAAGGACCCGGTGGCACTGAAGTAGACCCCGGCTGCTCCGTCACACTAGGGCTGGGCTCAGGTCCGGACGGCTGTGGAACACCAGTAGGACCCGTAGACGGCTCAGCAGGCTGGGTAGTAGTCTGACCCGGGTTTGGCTCCGACACAGGGGGGTTCACGACAGTGGACGCCTGTGTTGGCTCCGTCGCAGGAGATGCCACCGGAGTGGACACCTGCGGCGGCTCCGACTCCAAAGGACCCTGAGTGGGCTCCGGAGTTGGCTCCGTCCCGGGAACGATCACAGAAGACTGCTGAGGCTGGGAGGGCTGAGGAGCAGCGGTGGTGTCGGGCTGGGGGGCGACAGTCGTCTCGGGCGGCACAACATCAGTAGTGGTCTGGGGCTGAGGAACCACGACAGTTGTGTCGGGGGTAGGGACGGGGGTAGTCGTGTCAGGCTGGGGCGCAACGGTTGTGTCGGGTTGAGTTTGAACGGTGGTGTCGGGCTGTGGGACGACAGTGGTGTCGGGCTGCGGGGCAACAGTGGTGTCGGGCTGCGGGGCGACAGTGGTGTCGGGCTGAGGAGCAACAGTCGTCGTGTCCGGCTGTGGTACAACAGTTGTCGTGTCGGGCTGAGGAACGACGCTGGTCGTGCCCGGCTGGGGAACGACGCTGGTCGTGTCCGGCTGAGGAACGACGCTGGTCGTGTCCGGCTGGGGAACGATGCTGGTCGTGTCCGGCTGGGGAACGACGCTGGTCGTGTCCGGTTGAGGGACAACAGAAGTCGTGTCCGGCTGAGGAACGACCGAAGTCGTGCCAGGCTGGGGAACTACCGAAGTCGTGTCCGGCTGGGGGACGACAGACGTCGTGTCCGGCTGAGGTACCACAGTGGTAGTCGGGTCCTGCGAGGTGAGAGGAGGAGCCGGGCTTGGCGCCTGCGATGACGGAGGCGGCAGGTCAGTCGTGGTCGCGGAAGTAGGCGGTGCAACAGCCGAGGTCGTCGGCGGAGCCTCCGCGGAGGTCGAGGGAGAGGACGACGGCTGGGGAACCACACTCGACGATGGGGACGAAGTGGGGGTCTGTATGGGAGAGGTGGAGGATCCGGACAGGGACTCGGAACTCGAGGGGCCAGCCGACGAGTCCGAGGAGAGTGCGGAGCCTGAGTCAGTCGAGCGCTCGGTGAAGGTGGAGGAGCCCGAGACAACAGGAGGAGGGCTAGAGGGAGCAGGCTGGCTCGACGAGGGCTGAGAAGAGGCTGACGGCGCCTGCGAATCGGAGGAGACCGGGAGGGCGGAAGAAGGCGACTCAGATGTGGACGACTGAGCAGAGGTCGAGGGCAGCTCGGACGACTGCTGGCTCGACGACTGAGCAGGAGTAGAGATCGACTGATCCGTCAAGGCAGAGCTCGACTGCTGGCTCGACGGCAGGGTAGGAGCCAAGGAAGGCTGGACAGTCGAAGCCGAAGGTGAGGTCGACTCGCCCGTCGAGGACTGAGGAGGAGTAACGGAAGCCGACTGCTCGGTTGAGGAAGACTCGACAGAGCTCGAGAGCTGCGACGACGGGATAGGAGTGGAGGAGACATCCGCAGTCGTGCTCGAGGTCGACTCTGAGACAGACTGCTGCGACGAGGGCAGAGGAGAAGTCGAGGTTACCTGCTCTGAAGTGCTAGCGGACGGCTCCACGGAGCTCGACAGCAGAGACGAGGGCGGGGGAGTCGAAGAGACCGGCTCAGCCGTGCTCGACGATGACTCGACAGAGCTCGACTGCTGAGCAGACGACGACAAGAGCGACGACGAGGGGATCGGCTCGGACGAGCTCGCGGATGACTCGACAGAGCTGGGCTCCTGCGATGAGACCGGAGGAGTAGTCGAGGTGACCTGCTCAGTCGTACTGGACGAGGGCTCAACAGAACTGGGCTGCTGCGACGAGGGCAGGACAGAGGAGGTCTGATCCGTCGTAGGTGACTCGGAGACAGTCGAACGCTCCGTCGAAGACAGAGGCGCTGAAGACAGAGGGGCCGACGAAGGCGAGGTCTCCGCTGAGGTTGACTGCTCAGCGGTAGTTGAGGCCGACTCTGAGGTCACGGGAACCGACTCCTGAGGGGCCGACGACGGGGACTCCTGGCTAGTCGAGGCCGACTGCTCAGTGCTCGATGTCAACTGCTCGGTGGAAGATGTCGAGGCGGGCACGGGGGTGGACTCGGGGGCAGAGGATGGCTGCTGCTCCGGGGAGCTCGAGGAGGACGACGACGGGCTCACGTCCGTTGGGGCCAGCGAGGAGGGTGTCTGCTCGGGAGTCGAGGCTGGCCCAGAGGGCTGCTGCTCCTGAGAAGATGTCGAGGGAGTCTCTTGCAAGGAGGAAGACGCTGGGGTCTCTTGAGGGGTAGAGGAGGGGGTTTCCTGCAAGGACGAGGACGACGGCACCTGCTCCTGCTCCTGCGATGAGGACGAAGGGGTCACCTCCTGGGAGAAGCTAGAGCTGGTGGGGGTCACCTCCTGCGAAGAAGAGGACGGCGTCGCCGGCTGGGAGGAAGAGGACGGCGCCTGCGCCTCCTGCGATGATGAGGAGGAGGAGGGGGGAACCTGCTGCTCCTGTGAAGACGAAGGGGGCTGTTCCTGCGACGACGACGACGACGACGACAACTGTGCAGGAGGCTCGGTGGGGGGAGGGGGAGGAGTGGGCGTCGGGCTGTCTGCGACAGGGGTTTCAGGGATGGTCGCCGAGTCCTGGGTGGGAGCCTCGGGCGAGGGGGATGGAACAGCGACTGGGTCCGGAGCGGTACCGTCTGCAAAGAGGGTCAGCATCATGCTCAGCGAAACGCGCGCGCGCGCGCGTGTGTGACCATTCTGCACTCACTGTCTTGGCGGCGATACTTGTGGAAGAGGGAGCGGGATCGCCGGGGGTCCGGGAGTGCGCGGTTGTTTCGGACGTGGAGGTCGGCTAGTGCGACTTGCGAGAGCATCATGACGACTAGGAGGAGGGCGGCCAGCAAACGGCGGTTACCGCCCGCTTGGCGGCGGCCGTGGCCGGAGGACATGTTCTGGGAAGAATCTACAGTTGACAGGAGCTAGAATAAGAGGGGGGTCGACAAGCTCGCGTCGAGATCTAGAAGAACATGCGCGCGCGCGTTGGCTGGGGGAGGGGGAGCAAAGGCGACACGGAAAGCTGCCTTGAGCGTGAGTGCAAGCAAACACGAACAAGGGCGGGGGTTGTGTGTCGAAGAGGAGGACGCGATCGACAAGTGTGTTGAAGATTGTCGAGCGTCGCGTGTCGAGCGTCCAGGACGAGGGCGAGAGAGAGGGGTCGCAGGCAGGCGACTAGGTGCGAGAGTCAAAGAAACAGGAAGCGAGGAGGACTGTGTCGAGGGGACGTGCCGAGCGTTGACGAATCAGTCGAGTGTGCTGGCGACGGCAAGCGGAACGAGCGTGGGGGTGCGGCACGGCGCGCACTGAGGAGGAGAGTGTTAGAGAAAAGAGTCGGCGGCCGAGAGGGAGGGAGGGAGGGAGGAGGAGGAGGAGGTCGGACGTCGAGCAGAGGAGGAGGAGAGATGGTAATGGGATAATGGAAGAAGATGTTTTGGAGAAAGATCAGGATGAGGAGGAGGAGGAGGAGGATGGAAAGAGAGGAGAAAGGAGGACGACGAGGACGAGGAGGGAGGAAGGATCAACGGCGAGGAAGAGAGTGAGTGCGGCGATGGAAAGAGGGTTGTCGTCCTTTGGGCCTTTGGGTGGGTGCGTGGGGTGGGTGGCCTCGTTCAGCCCAGGGAAGGTCACGGCACAAGGGAGGCCGCGGGTGGCCGGGTGGGCCGTTGGCAGAAGAAGCAAGGAGCAAGGAGGGAGCGCTGAGCAAAGCGGCATCAGGGTGCGGCATCAGCATCCTGCAGCAGCGCGACACGGCGGGTTCCCTCCTACTCTCACTCTCGTGCCTCTGCCCTCGTGCGCCCCCTCACTGTATTTCCCTGACACTTTGCGACAACAGTCCATGCTTGACCGAATTACCGTCCATTGCGACACCTTGCACCAAGCTCTCAGGGCGGAATAAGGAAATCCTCAGGATCACGGACAATCACTTGAGCGCTGCCGAGTGCTCGCGCTCGATCGTGTCCGTGACCGTTGGCAGGGCTTACAGGGCTACAGGGTCCAAACAGGCGGGCGGGAGGGAGAGGGGGGGGGGGGGGGGAAGGCTAGAAAGGGGGGGTGGATTATTTTCGCTATCCGCGTCCCATTTGGTTGCGGTTGTATTTCGAGGCACTGTGCGTATTGGTGAGGAGCACTGTGCACGGGGGAGTGAGGCCCTAGAAGAGATTGCTAGTGATGGGTGGCAAGACTTGTCGACATGATACAACATGGAGGCACGCCACTGACGGTTATGAGATTATGAGACTCCCACTCTATCCAGTCATCCCGCAGCCGTGACGGCCCGTAGTGCCCTGACAGACACACACCCGCACAGAAGCGATCCGACAATCCTCGTCGACGGGGAGATTGGCGCGGGGGCGTCACGATCCTCCTCCTTCTGTGGTCCTTTATGGATTTATATATGGATTAGTTGGATTAGTAGGATTAGTAGGATTGACTGGATTAGCTGGACTGACGTGCATCGGGGATTGGGGAGGGGGCGCAGCGCAGCGCATCCAAGCCATGCAGCGCAAGGCAATCAAATCGGCGATCAGGCGCCCCGGCACGGCGTGACGCGTGACACGCGAAACATCATGCTTTGGGTCTGCAGTATACTTGCCCGTCGCTAACAGAGTCTAAACAGCTGAAGACTACTAGTCTCTGGGATCTCTGGCGTCCCGGATCCCGGATCCCGGAGCAAGCTACCTTCGGGATACATGACACAAACATGCAAACGAAGATTGAGCAGCAGCAACCACGAGCAAAAGACATGCAAGCCAAGCCATGCAGACAAGCAAACACTGGGCGGCGGCGGAACGTATTTCGTTATCAGAGTCTGGCCCGTGCCGTGGCGTGGCGCCGACATCCGTCTTGGCCGTCCTAGTGCCGCACTAAAGGAACTGATAATAACGACCACCTGCAACCTGGGTGACCCGACCATCTCTCTTCGATCTCTTCTCTCCTCCCCTCTCCAACTAGTCCAATTGATCCAGTTCTCAAGCGTTCAAAGTCACAGTCGTAGACAATGCCATTCCCCCTCAACCCCTCGGTTGGGCGCAAGTGGGCGGCGCGTGTCCTCGGATATACCCATGCCGTCCACACCCACACCCACACCCACACCCACACCCACACCCACACCCACACCCACCCGCGCGCTCAGTTCCAAAATATCGCCTACCTCCCTCCTGAACACAACCGCGTCATCTACTGTAGAATCCCAAGTGATCACGCGCACCCTGTTTTCTGCCGATGCCGAGAGCGGTATGGGACCTGTCCCGAAGGACGAGGGTCGGCGGGCGGAGGAGCGCAAAGGGACGGAAGAAGGGACCGGCTACGGCATCGGGTTGGAAGGGTCTGGACTGCACTGGGTGGACTGGTGCAGGGTGGAAGTGTGCGCATTTCGCAGACCTCGCCATGGACCATGGGCCATGGGCCATGGGGCATGGGGCCATGAGCTACACGCCACGATGCCTGGGCCAACGTTGGATGCGTACGCTGGCTATGCTGGCAAGATGAGAATAGCAGCCACGAGGGATCAAGACTAGATCCAACTCTATCGAAACACCCCAGATGTGCCGACGCGTCCTGTGCCTCATCTTTTAATTCACTCGTACGCGAACTCTGCGACGATAGGACGATGAACGTTATTGTCACCGTCACCGTGGGAGAGCTCGTGTCGAGAGATCAGGGCTGTGTGGGAGTTGATGGGGAGAGGGGAGGGCTTGTCAGAGTGGATATTCTAACGCGGACGGCGCGGCCTCTCTATAATCTACAGAGCTGGAGAGATGATCGAGGACGCGGTGGCGGTTGGCTGGTGCTTAGCGTCAGTATTGAGACTTCCTCTAAGCTCCTCGTTTTGCCTTGTCGCGTTAGGACGACGACACGTATGAAGCATTCAAATTGCCAGAAACGTCTGCGGAGCATGCTGAGACGGCTCCTCGAGGCCTTGATTCCCAAACTTGGACTTGACCGCCGACTTGACTGACTTTCCCTTGCCACGTGTGCCACGTGCTGCTCTAATGGCCAGAGCATCGCGCTAATTCGCTATCTCACCCAATACAAACTCCTTGCGAATCCTGACGTAACCAACCCGGACTCGACAATCCGCGCCCTCCACCACTCCTGGTCGGTCACTTCTCGGTCTCCAGCATCTTCTTCTCACTTCAACAACTCATTCCCACTCATAATGGCGCCAGGCATCATTGAGATCGGCTCTACACAAGGCAAGCGGGCCTGTCAAGCCAGCTCTGACCTCAGCCTTTGACCAGATCGTCAAGTCGCTGCCTCCTTCACAGCTTCTCGTCGTCGGTACGTCTTCCGTTGACAACTCTGCTGACACACAGACTTCCATGCCGTATGCCGCCGCGCCGTCAACCACTAACCCCCAGGTATGGTGCGGTCCCTGCCATGCTATCGCCCCCATCCTCGCGCAGCTCGCGCAGAAGGTGTGCCGCCGCAGGGGCTCGCTCACAGCAGTACCCGCACGTCAAGTTTGTCAAGATCGACGTCGATGCGCAGGCCGAGCTCGCACGCCGCTTCCAGATCTCTGCCATGCCGACCTTCAAGTTCCTGAAGGGCGGGCAGGTCATTGACGAGGTGCGCCCCGCCTCGACTCTGCTAACGGCAGCTCCGCGGCGCCAGCCCTCCGCAGCTCACCCAGCTCGTGCAGAAGCACGCTGGCGCCGCGCCCTCCTCCGGCGCCTCCAAGGCCGGCGGCGCGCAGGATGGCCCCGCCGCCCCCGCCGAGGGCTCCCTCCTCTCGCACATCTCGGCGACGGGCCTCAGCTGCCTCGGCGAAGCGAAGGAGCACCCGCTCAGCTCGATCGTGGGCCCCAACGCCGGGCCCAAGGGCCGCAGCTACCTCGAGTCAGACGTTGACCCCGAGCTTCTCATTTCCATGCAGGTGCGTCACCGGTCCACTTGGGCCAAGCGCTGACGCCAGTTCAACGAGCCCGTCAAGATCAAGGCGCTGTCCATCTTCTCGGTAGTGTCGCCCGCGCAGGCACCCAAGACCGTCAGACTGTACGTGAACCAGAACCACATGGACTTTGGGGACGCCGAGGCGCACGAGCCGGCGCAAGAGCTCGTGCTCTCGCCCGACGACATCCGGGGAAACAAGGTCGAGCTGCGCTTCGTCCGCTTCCAGAAGGTGCACACGCTGCACATCCTCGTCAAAGACAACCAGGAGGACGACGAGACGACGCGCATCGACTCGATCGATCTGTTTGGCCAGCTTGCGTAGGGTGTGAGGTAGGAGATGGATGCATGGTGCTGAAAGCGAGGCGGCGACGCGGGTTGGCTGCGGGACATGATCGGAGATGGCCGATGGCTGGGCGATGTCAATAGATCGGCGGGCCGTTGGTGTCTCTGGCGTGACGGATTATGGTGCGCCATCAGGTGTTCAGTAGACCAGTCGCTGAGTCGCCGCCGCCGACTGCAATGCGCAGCTGTTAGTTAGAAAGGGAGACGGCAAGCTGGCGCGGGCGATGCAGACGGTGCCGTCCCCACGTCCCCACTGAAATGGCGTGAGACCGGTGGCAAATCAGGCCCAGCCCTGCGCGAGCCAAATACGTCAGTGGTCCATCAAACGTGGTCACCCACCATCTCCATCACTCATCACAACACTCGACATCTCTCTCCTCTCCGCCGCTCGTCTGCTTGCTCTTGCCGACACCTCTTGAGCTATCCCGCCTCCCGCCTCCAACCCTCTCTCCTTGCGCTCCCTCCCCTCGCTGCCCCTCCCCCCCCCCCGCCCCGCCCCGCCGCCATGTCCAACCACCGCCCACACTATGGCGCAACCGGCGCCGCGCCGTCCCCCGCCTCCCCCCGCACGCCCAATACCCGCACATTCCTCCTCCCCCGCTCCCCCGGCTCCAACTTCAGCACCGAAACAGGCCTCACGCACGCCGAACAAGAAGAGTACGAGCGCGGCCTGCTGACATGGGAGCGCGCGAAGAACTGGCGCTTCTGGCTCCGCTGGGCCTGGGTCCCGTGGTACTTGCTCGGCGGCGTGCTCGCCGCGGGCGTCTGCACCGTCGCGCTCTACCACCGCGAGGTGAGCGTCGCACGTTGCACTCTAACACCAGCTGATCATGTTGCTAATGCCGTTCGCCCGACACATCCAGCTCGCGCGCTACGGCTGGCTCGTGCCGATCGGGATCATGGTCGTGCTCTCGTTCCCGCCGCTGTTCGGGAACGAGGTCGTCATCATCCTCTGCGGCGTGGTGTGGGGCGTGCGCGCCGGCTTCCTCATCGTCGCGGCCGGCACGGTGGTCGGCGAGATGGCGTGTTTTACCGTGTACGGCACGTGCTGCCGCCGGCGGGCGCGCCGCATGGCGCACATGAGCCTCAACTATGCGTGTTTGACGCGCGTGATTTCGTCTGGCGGCCTGTTCATCGCCTGGGTCGTGCGGCTGAGCGCGATACCGACGCATGTCTCGACGGTGCGCCAAGCGCCGTCCGCGCTGACAGCAGCTCCTCTTCGCCGTGTGCGGCCTTCCGGTACGCGCGGAAACTCCCCAGCTGACGGCAGTACTCGCAGTTCTTCGTCGCGCTCCTCCTCTCCCTCCCGAAGCAGGTAGGTCTCGGGCGTTCGCGCTGACCCCAGTTCGTGGCTGTATACCGTACGTCTACTAACCTCCCTGTCCAACTCACAACTCACAACAGTCGGAGGTGAGTACCTCCACCTACCGCCTAACGCCAGTCATGGTCACGCGCCACGAACCTACGCGCAAGTCAAACATCCTCTCGTACACTGTGTAAGCCTCTGTTGGACCCGCTCACCCAGCGTCGGGTTCAGCGTCCTCGTCACCCTCCTCGCGCTGCACTACGTGCACCGCAAGATGCTCAAGGTCCGCAAAGACGTGTTCCTCGACATGCGCGCGGACCTCGCGCGCCGCGGCGTGCACGAGCCCGCGCCACCCGACACGGACGACGAGTTCGCGTACGGCCAGCACGGGGTGTAGCCCCATGGGAGCCACGTTCCCCGTGAGCCGGAGACGTAGGCGCCGCCTCATAGAGGCGTGCATCTACCCAACAGTTCGACAGGCCAAGGCACCCCCACAGATCGAACACCACCCTCAGCCATGTTGTACCAAATGTATCAGTGGATATTGTCCGGCCTGTCAGTGCAGCGGGCTGGTCACGACAACGTCTAGTTGTGGGCTGGCCCGGACATCAGGGCGGGTGTGGCGCGCGCGGTAGAAGCGATGCTGGGCCACATGAACGACAAATCGTACATGTATAGAGCCACTCGCGGGCCATCGTCATCTCTCGCTACTTGCTCCGCCCTCGGAGAGAGGGACGAGGGACGAGGACGCGGAAAGAAGCAGACTTGCTGCTAGGCATGTTTTGCCGCTGCACGTCCAAATTCTATTGCTCTCGTGCCCACTGCCCCAGCGAGCGTCCGCATGCCCGCATGCGCGGCCTCGCCCTTGTCTTGTCGCCTTGATCTGAGCCGGAGAGCTGACGGGCGTAGACACCGCCGAGCCGCGAGAGCGCTAACAGGCACGTGCAGCTCTCAGCCTCGTGCCCAACTCGGGTCGACCATGTACCCCTCGACACGACACCTCGCACCGGGCCAGACTGCTCACCATCCTCCATGCATTAACCGCATACCTATCAAACCTTCTCCGCCTTCTCGCCCTCGACCTCTTCGCGCAGCCACGCCCCAATCTCCTCCCAGTACGACGGCGCGACATACGTGTCGTTGTGCGTACCCTCGGGGAACTCGCGCCAGCGGCACTTGCCTCCGGTGCGCCGCCGGAGCTCGCGCAGCGCAAGCATCTGCGCCTGCGGCACGAGCTCGTCGCGCCGGCCCGAGAGGAAGAGGATGGGCGTGTCCTTGCGGATCTTGGGGATCGCCGTGGCCGCGTCCCACCGCTCGCTGAGCAGCAGGCGCACGAGCAGCGGCGGGAGCATGGGCATGACGCTCGGCACGAGGCTTTCGAGGCTCACGAACGTGTTCTCGATGATCGCGCCGGACACCATGTCCGGGAAGGCGGCGGCTGTGTCCAGCACGACGGCGCCGCCGATGCTCTGCCCGTACAGCTGCTGTCAGTTTGGTTGGGGAGATGCTCACGACAAGCTTCGTTTTGCTCAAGATCGGGTGCGTCGAGATATACTCCATCGCCGTCTGCCGTCAGATAGTTCGAGGTCTGACGCACCGCCGCGTCGACCTTGATCCCCGCTTCGGAGGGGAAGCCTTCGCTGTGCCCGTACCCCCGGTAGCTGAGCATGAAGACGTTGCAGTGGAGCTCCGAGACAAACTTGCGCGCGAGCGGGATGCGGTGGCCCACGTTCCCCGCATTCGCGTGAAACATGACCACCGTCGGGCGCGAGCGCGCGTACTCGACCGCCTCGGACGTGTCCTTGACGGCGTCCCATGCCGCCGCCTCCTCCATTCCCCGCTGCTTGAGCTTGGCGCTGTCCAGCCCGCGCAGCTCGTGCAGCGCCACGATGCGCTCGCGCGCCGGAATCACATACGCCCGGATCTTCAGCCCGTCCGGCGTCGTCAGCGTCACGTCCTCGTAGGGCATGGCTGCGTCCGTCGGCTTCGGCACCACTAATGTCAGCGCGCGCACGGAGGTAGGCTTACTTGTCCGTGATCCCTCGGGGAAGTCGGCGGGATAGATTAGCCGGCGCTGAAACCACCACAGCGCACCAGCGAGCACGACGGGTATTGTGATGGTCACGCCGAAGCCATACTATTTGTGAGCTCCACGAGGTTGCTGAAGGGGCCCGAGTTCCTCAGACGAGGCGCGGTCTCTCAATGCCCGGGCCCCGCGTTGGACAAGATCGCACCCACCTTGAGCATGGTATAGAATGTAGCCGAAGACACCATCATGTCCAGTGACCAAACGAGTGTCAAGATGCAAGATACAAGATGAGGGGAATGTCGATCGCGTCTACGAGACACCATCTCCTCGGCCTCCACGATCCACGACCTCCACCGCATGCTCCCACTCAGGCACCATCTCGGACATCTCCCACCAACTCCGTCGCCACCCACCGCACAACGCGTCACGCGTTCGTGTCTCTGTCGAGCCACCGTGGTTTGCATCTGAGTCGAAGCGAGCAATGCATTCAGTGTATCGCGGCGCTGGCGAGGATTAAGAGTGAGAATGTGTAGCGTGTGCAAGCAAACTTGCATGAATGTACCGCCTGAATGGAGGACGGCTGACGGTTGTGAAAAGCGGGAGCTGGGGCGGATGAGAGGAGGGCTACGTCACTTTGTTCCACACTGCAAACGAGCAATCTCACTCACTCATCATCCCTCATCTCTCAACTCTGGCTCGACCCATTCATTGTTCAATACACAACATCACATCACCATCACCATGCTCTGATCACCCCCCACAGATTCTATAAAGCATCGCATTCGCCATCTCCATTTCCATCTCTTCATACTTCTCCCCCCCCCTTTTCTCGTTTCCCAAAAGGCCTCGCCGCATCCACGCACAAGCCTCTCACGGCCCCGCATCACCGCCGGCAGCGACGCCTCGAGGTACTAGCCTCCACTCCACCCCTCCTCATCTCTCCTCTTCATTTCTCGCATCACATCTCTCTCCCGTTCATCCTGCCCCCTCACGACGGCCGCAACCATGTTGGGCATCGTCAAGTGGCTCATCAGCTACATCCTCGGTGGCATCAGCTTCGTCGCCATCCTCGTCGGCTGCGCCTGGTGTAAGCCTCATGTCTCTCGCGCCGCTCTAACTTCCCAGACCTCACATTCGCTTATGGGTCGAGCCCCATTGGAGACTTCGATCTGCGGAAGCGTGACAGAATGAGGCTCGAGCAGGAGTCGCTCAAGGCATCTGCGAAGCGCAATGGTCTCACCGACGATGATCTCACAGTTGCAATTCAAGGCTGGCTTTCCGTCCGTCGGCATTTCGGACATCATACAGACAACTCCCAGGAGCCGTTGACCAACAACCCGCCAGACGCGGTCGACAATGTCAACGATCACCACAATCCCTCCAAGCTCCCTGTCACAACGCGCATCGCCCTGGCATACCGCACTTATCGCGATGCCTCAACCAAGGAGAGCTTTCCTCGCGACACGTACTTTGTCCGGCTAAGGGGTCCATTATTGTTTATCGACCAGGTCAAGGAAGAGGCCAAGGCAAAGGTCCAGCCGTTTGGTCCTGACCCCGACCCCGATGACTTGGAGAGCTTGGTAGTCCTCAACCTGGAGCGCTACAAGATTACTATCGAGACTAAGAATGGAGCAGCAGGTCTAACGGAAGGCAAGCTGTTCAACAAGAGATCCGCGATGGTTCTTCGCCTTGTTGACGAGTCGTCCAAAGAGAAGGAGGGGCTTCCGATGATTGCCCGAGGCATGAGCTCCACCAGCAACCAGTTGACGCTCGACGAGGAGGTGGCGCCTTGGTACCTCCAATGCCGAACCCCTGTCAAGTAGGGCACCACTCTAGCCTCTCGCTGACGCAAAGAACGGAAGACTGGTACCTGAACATTCTGTCCCGGACACGCGCCCACCCTTCGTTCTCGAAAGTGTGGTCTCAAGATCACATGCATTGGTTCATCAAGAGCGTCCAGGAGACGAGAGAGCACGACCCGTCCAACCTCGACTGGCTCAACGCTTTCGTTGGCCGCATCTTCCTCGGCATCACCCACACAGCCTTGGTTGAGCAGGCAGGTCTGATCTCTCTTCACAGTCGACTAACATCAGGCAATATGCGCAAGAATCACGAAGAAGCTCACGGCCCTCTCACATCCGATGCTCGGCCCATTGGTGGCTACTGAGGTCAATCTGGGTCATATTCCGCCGACGTTCTCGCGTGTCAAGCTCAAGAAGCTCAACGAGGATGGTTCCATCTCCTTCCAGGCACATATGGACTACAGTCAGCCGGACGAGCTGGAGGGGAATGGCGTCCGTATCACGATTGAGGCAACACAGATTGGATTCAAAGCTGTGCTTGCCTTGATAGTCACCAGTCTGTCCAGCGACGTAGAGGTAATGATCAAGCCCCCTCCGAGTAATCGTCTCTGGTGGGCATTCACACGTGCACCCAAGATGGACATGGTCATCGAGCCTATCATTGCCGCGCGTCAGCTCAATTGGGGCTACGTCCTCTCATTCATCGACAAGAAAATTCGCGACGCAGTGAGCAACTTGTTCTTGCACTGGACTGACTTCAGATGACCGAGTCGGTTGTTCTGCCCAATATGGACGATCTGCCGTTCTTCCCGACTATGGGCATGGCTATCCGCGGTGGCATCTTCAACGAAGCGAGCAAGTACGGGACAGAGCAATCCCAGGAAAGCGGATCCGATTCGGCCAGCACCAAATCGGATAAATCCGCCAAGTCCATGCAGACCGCGCCTACCTCAAACGCGGGTTCCACTTCAATGACGCAGCACAGCAACGCTTCTGACGTCGTGGTGTCTACGGCCACTTCCAACAAGCACCACGGCTTACGCCATAGGAATCAAAATGGCGGTTCCGCCGCGCCGCACACTGATAACGAGCCGGGGACGCGGCCGGTTGTCCGCGCTGAAACGTCCCCGGCCCTTTCCCAGCCGACGCGTAGCAAGACGCAGTCGTCGTTGAAGTTGTTTGGATCTCGCCCGTCGTCTGTTCGCACCGACTCGGCTGCCACAACTACCACCGGTACCCAGCGCTCGGTCAGTGAGACGCCTCGAAACGTCAGCACGGACTCAAGCACGGCGCCCGCCGTTGACTCTTCGGCAAACGTGACTGCCGAGTCTTCCCAGGTGTCCCTGACTGGAGGGCCCATCCTATCCATCCAGGAAACGAGCGACACGCCGCGCTCGCTCACGCCAAACGAGAGAGAGCAGTTGTCGCGATCGGTCGACCTGTCCAAGCCATCAGCGGCCGCGCCCAAGGAGCCTAAACCCAAAGAGACTAAGCCCCGGGATCCCACGGCTGCAGTGGCTGGTGTCACGACAGCCTCCCTTATTGAGGCCGTCCGCACCCGCGACAAGGCCCAAATCCAGACGCAAGCCAGCATTGCAAAGGAGGGCCTCAAGAAGTGGGGCGTTAACTTTGTCAACAACCGTCGCCGCCCTAACCAGCCTGATGACGATGGCGGGGCACATGCTCACCACTCTTCGACCTACTATGCCCCCTCGCCCGAGCGGGAGCATCAGACGCATCACCAGACCGCGCACCAGCATCAGCAGCATCAGCATCAGCAGCATCAGCAGCACCAGCAGCACCAGCAGCACCAACACCACGGTCCGCGCACGTCGCTACAGGAGCGTCTCAATGCGGCCGCGCACGCCAATGCTGTCGCTGCAAAGCGCGACAGCTCAGCGACTCACCGTAGAACGAGTTCCACAAACTCGCAAGATCACACGACATCAGGGGCATCCTCCTCACTCCTTTCACAGGCCCTGCCGGCCAAGAGCGCGCCGGCCGTGGCAACACCCATCAAGAGCGCGCCGCGCCTCCCCCTTCCCCCGCGCCCCGTCACCGATGCGCACGGCACCTCGCCGCCTCCTGCAGCGCGCATGGTCGTGCCCTCGGTACCCAAGCGCGCGGGCGTAGTTACGGGCATTGGACACAACCCAGCCTCGTCGTCCGCGGATGCGCTGGACCAGGTCGGCGCGAGTGCCATGCCCAAGCCTGACGTTGCGCGCGCCGACTCAGACCCCGCGCGCGTCCAGTCCGCGCCCCCGGATCCCGAGTTGGCGGTCTACCAGGCGCTCACGCCGCAGCCGGCCGTGACCGCGACGTCGGTGACGGCTCGCACCAAGGCGGCGGAAGGCGAGTCGCCCGCCCGTCAGTCGCTGCTTGGACATGTGCGGAGCACCAGCAATGGCACGAATAACAGTGTAAACAGCATTAGTACCACCATCAGCAACGGGAAGGAGGGCGCGTAGGTCAACACGAAGAGCTCATGCTTCAACGATCAGGTAGATTTCCCTGTATGCACGGCCATTTCGACGCGGCGGGTGAGTGCAGCGGCGCGGTATCTTCGTTGTTGGTGGAAGTTCCAGTTACGGCCGAAGCATGGCAAGTCATTGCGGGGCATATTGAAGCCCGGAGGTGTGTTGCGCAAAGCATAGCAGTCCGGCGTGAGATGTATCGGCCGGTCATCCGCGCTCTCCCGTTTACAAGCGTGACTCGTCCTCAACCTCAACCTTTGGCTGGAAACGACTGGACGATGATGGCCGCAGCAATTTCCAGACTGGTTCTTCCGCAAAATCTTCGGCTCGGAAAATGCCCGGATAGATTATTCTACTCCGCAGCTCGATCGATGTGCAGGAATTGAGTATGGTCAAAGCCGCGAGAGGGGCTCCCTACTAAAAGTGCTCACAATATTATGGATGAGCTTACTGTACCTCAGAGCCTGCGCAAGCAAAGTGGGGCCGGTCCGCACGGTACCCCGCATCTTGCCGCCACACTCGCGATATTCATGAAATGGGACGCGTGCGCTCCGCAGCGGCGCAGTCAGTCTGTCCAATGCGCTTCGTAATGTGTTAGCTCTCTCTTAGTGGACGGAGTCGTAACGTCGCATCCCGGCAGAAGATGGTATATAGTTGATCCGCCTTCCGAGACCGATCAGCCTGAGCCACTATGCCTTCGCCCATCGACCCGCTCTCGCTCCCGAACAACGCGGCCTCCTGGTGGTTCCGCGACCCAGGCCTGCGCGCGCTCGCGTGGCCCATTGTCGTCGGCTTCGCATCCACAATCTCGGCAGGCTACGACGGCTCGTGCATGACCGGTGAGCCTCCTCTCTCTCCCGCTGATTCCAGGTCTGCAGGCGAACAAACGCTACTTCATGCCGGCGATCGACAACCCCGACGCGAACAAGCTCGGTATCATCGTAGCCGCGTACACGCTCGGCGCGCTCCCCGGCCTCCTCCCCGCGTCGTACTTCGCCGACCGGTGGGGCCGGCGCGTCGCCCTGGGTATGGGGTGTGTCATAATCATCGCAGGCGGGCTCGTGCAGGCACTCACCACGGGCGGGTGGCATATGTTCGCCGGCCGCTTCATCGTCGGGCTCGGCGGAGTCATCGCATCCATTTCCGGAACCCCTTATGCTGCGGAGATCGCGCATCCGCGTAATCGCGCACAGGTTGGCGCGCTGACAAACACTTGTTGGTGAGTGCCACTGCACTTGGCTGGAACTGTGGCGTGCCTGTCCTCTCGTACTTTGCCCTCCCCACTCCGCGTTCCCGCCCCACGGGCGACTCCCTCTCCCACTCACGCCAGGTACGTCGGGTCAATCATCGCGGCGTGGACGGCGTTCGGGACGTCGTTCTGGGCCAACGAGTGGTCGTGGCGCCTCGTCTGCCTCATGCAGGTCGTACCGCCGGCGTTCCAGCTCGTCTCGCTCCCATTCCTGCCTGAGTCGCCGCGCTGGCTCGTTTCCAAGGGGCGGTACGAGGAGGCCCACGCCCTACTGGCACGCTACCACGCCAACGGGGACCGCGAGGACGCACTCGTCCTCTTCGAGCTGCAGGAGATCAAGGAGGCGCTCGCGGCGGAGAAGGCGGCCACCCAAGGCGTGGGATACAGTGCGTTCCTGAAAACCCCGGGTAATCGGCACCGCCTCGCGATCCTCATCATGGTTGGCCTGTTCTCGCAGTGGGTCGGCAACGGGATCATCTCGTACTATCTCGTCTCGATTCTCGAGAGTGTTGGGATCACCTCCGAAGCACAGCAGCAGGGATACAATGGGGGCCTGCAGATCTACAACTGGCTCATGGCGATCGCGGGCTCGCTGAGCTGCGAGCGCGCCGGCCGGCGCCGCTTGTGGCTCACCTCCGCCGTAGGCATGTTCTTCTCCTTCATCGTGATTATGGGCTGCTCCGCAGCCTACGATCTCGGACTGCACTCCGCCGGCCCCGCCGTCCTCGCGTTCCTCTTTGTGTATTTCGGCTTCTACGACATCGCGTTCACAGGCCTCACGCTCGCATACCCCCTCGAGATCCTGCCGTATTCGCTCCGCACCCGCGGCCTCGCCATCCTCCAGTTCTGGGTCACTGTCGCTCTCTGTTTCAACCAGTACGTGAACCCCATCGCTCTCCAGGCCATCGCGTGGAAGTACTATTCCGTCTACATCGTCGTGCAGGCCGTCGCAGTCGTGTGCATCTACTTCTGGTTCCCCGAGACACGCGGGTTGCTCCTCGAGGAGGTCGCGACGGTGTTTGATGGCCCGAACGCGGTGACTTCTCAGCAGGAGACCTCGGAGGGCAAAAAGAGGACCTCAATTGAGCATAATGAGGTGTTGGGTGGACGTGACTACGGCGACGCCCGTGCAGCTTGAGGAAGAGTACGAGTATGTGACGGGGGATGTCCATACGCTTCTTTTAATTGTCTCGCTTAGAAGCGTGTCTATGCAAAGGTATTTCCAGCAGTTTTGGTCCTTGCCGCTTAGGTCGTAATGCTTGCAGTCTCAGCTCTGAGAGCGATGTTACCCCTGGACTTGAGTGGGAAACATATTCCTTCAACACCCTCATACTCTCGATGCGTTTCCCATGGCCTTCCTCGTTCACTGGACCTTTCTGAAGAAGCTCGACTTCCGCGCCCACTCTAACGCTGCGATCTCCCATGCCTGCAAGTTATCGAATGCACCGCGGGGACATCGAGCAGTCTGCGCTTAGACTGACGACGCTTTCCTCCATCAACAGTTGCGTGCTGAGGTACAAGAGCAGGGAGAGCGCGGAAGAGGCTGACGGCCATTGTGAGGATCGCCGTGGTACAGGGATGAAGATCGCGCACTATCTGACGAAGATGGCCCGCTGTATTACCTCAACGGTGTACAGGCACCAAACTCATCGTAGTAGGATCCCAGCTGGAGGCCTGGGAGGTCTTCTTGCCGCGACCTCCATTTTCAGCCGCACGTTGCATACACTTCTGACTACTCCTACAACCTAGTCCTGGTTGCAGCGCACGCCGTCGGAGCGGAGTGCGGCGTTGCTGTACTTGCGCGTCTCGATGCCTTCGTCCGTCGGGAGAATGTCACGGTCAAAGATGGCTGTCGGCAAGCCCATGGTGACGCAAGCGTTTGGCACGTCGACGATGGCGGCGACATGCGACTCGACGGGCGCGGCAGAGAGCAGCAGATGCGCCTGCTCCTTGCTGTACCCTAGCTTGCGGAGGTATGCCATGCAGTTGCGCGCGGCCTGCTTGTACGCGACGGTCGCGTCCATGGAGTACTGCTTGCCGTCGCCGTGCACGTCAACACTGATACCCTCGAAGATGATCTGCTGCGAGTACATCGGGTCGATGGGAGAGGGCAGGAAGATGGGCTGCTTGATGTCACCGAGCTTCTTGACGCCGTCCTTGATCACGCTGCATTTGAGCGTCGCAATGCCAGCCATCTCGATGGCACCGCAGAAGCTCAGCTCGCCGTCGCCCTGGCTGAAGTGCAGGTCGCCGAGCGACAGGTTGGCCCCGTCAATGTACACGGGGAAGTAGCAGCGCGAGCCACGCGACAGGTTCTTGATGTCGACGTTGCCACCATGCTCGCGGCCGGGAATGGTACGCGCGCCCTCGTCGTAGACGCGCTTGCGCACATCGTCGGGGATGTCCTGCCCAACGTACGCGCCCTTGGGGTTAGGCACGAGCGCGACTTCGGGCACGGGGTCGCCGTGCTCGGCGACGAGCCCACGCTCGCGCTTGTTCCACTTGTCGAGCAGCTCCTGCGAAGGCGCTGTGCCGATTAGGCCTGGGTGCGGGATGCCGGCGAAGCGCACACCGGGGATGTGTCGCGACACGGCGTACACGCCCTCAAAGTCCCAGATGGCTTTAGCGGCCTTGCTGTCGAAGTCGCAAGAGAAGAGGCCGCCACCATTCGTCTCTGGACGTCAGTCGCCGTCGTGAAGGCTCTCACTCTCAAACACGCCCGTGTAACCCCACTGCATGTTGGGGAAGGGCGTCACATCCAGGATGTCGACGACGAGCACGTCGCCGGGCTTGGCGCCCTCGACCGCGATCGGGCCTGAGAGATTGTGGATGCGCGTCAGGTCCACATTCTGCTGTCAACGCTGACGCCGGCCCCGCCTACCTGGATGTCGTCCGAGTTGTCGTTGTTGCTGATCTGTCCGCCGGTCCAGTCGTGACACTCGACCTTGAACACCTCGCCTTGCTTGACAGAGCAAAACGCCGGAATGTCGGGGCTGCGTGAGCTCTCCCCTTCGGAATGCACATACTGCCAGCGGTTGTGCAGGCCCTTTTGCCCGACCTCGGACTTGAACGGGTCGACGTGGACGACGGTGCGCGGCTCAGAAGGCTCGGGTGCCATTGTAGTCTGCGGTGGGGTATGAAGATACTCGCAAGAGGGGAATGCCTGCTTCTTATCGTCTGATATCTGTGGGTGTGGGAACGCAGACGCGCGGCACGTGATGCATCGATACGACTGAGGGTCAGGTCCAAGTTACTGGTGGGCTTGACGTCGGCGCGAGCAATCATGCCAGCCCACTTTCCCAGGCGAAACATGAGCTCACGGGCCAGGCCCATTGAATTGGTCTTACCTGCCCCTGTGGCCGCGCTCTCGGCGCGCTCGGCGCTCGACCAGTCTCATTGGGTCGCATCATGAGGCGGCGGCGAAGGGATGTATCCGTTTCGCCGTCGCCGAATGACATCGGCTGTGCGTCATTGATGGCCTCGGCGTCTTCAACCCTTATCAGTACTTTTGAGTTACCCTACTTGAGGCCGTCACGGCCGAGCTCCACATGCTCCGTTTCACTACGTCGAATACTGTAGAGCCTCTCAATGTGGGCTAGACGCTACCTTGGCCAGCGTCATGCATGGGGCCGTGCAAGTCAGCTGAGCTCAACGAGCCGTGCATGCCGAGACACGTGCCTTGCGAGACGGAGTCCCCAGATGTACAACTGCAGAATTCACCGAGACTCGTATCGAGGAATTCTCGACTCGGAGCACCTCATGCTGGCGGCAGTCACGGACACGCGCAGAACATGCGTGAGGAGATGAGCAGACATACCTATACTTCTTATAAGACTGTTCAACGCTATTATATCTGTTTATACTTTGTCAACAGCGCCCGAAGTTATGTCGGGAGCGACGGGAACCGAGAGCTCAGTTTCGAGTCAATCGCGGAACGTGCAATCCGACACACTCACATCCCCCGCTCACGCTCTTGCCGCTACTTCCCACACCAACCAACCACGGTACTCACCATTACACCTCACTCTCTCTTACGATGCTCGACCCGGTCCGCAACGTCCACGCCGCCCTCGAGCACATTGCGCACCCATGGCAGCCGCACCGTGTCGCCACGATCAACAACTACGAGCTCAAGGCCGTCAAGCTGCTCGGCGACTTTGTGTGGTGCGTCCTTCCATCGCACTCACTGATGGAAGGCACAAGCACGACGACACGGATGAGCTGTTCTACGTGCTCTCGGGGCATCTGCGCATCGATGTCCGTGGGAGCGACGGCGAGGTGACGGTCGAGATGGGGCCGGGGGACGTATATGTTGTGCCCCGCGGGGTAGAGCACCGGCCGCGGGCCGCAGAGATGGTGACTGCGCTGCTGTTCGAACCGAGCGGGGTTGTGAATACGGGTGATGCGGTGGGGACGGAGCTTACGAGTGCGGTACATGAGTTGAACTAGAGACGGGTGATGTAGCTGCGTACACCAAGTTCAGCACTGCGCGTTGAGGGCAGTGTGATGAAAAGGTGGTGGACGTGAGATTGCTAACCCCTCTGCTGTACTGAGAAGTCCGAAGATGTTGAAGCATCTGGACGCAATGGAGAGGCCCAAGTCATTAGAGCGATAACAATAACAACTTGGTATTAGCGGATGCATTTGCCGGGACCCAGGCCACCACCACTTTCAATGCATCAACGCCCCCGATCGACGGCTCCTCAGCTTCGTCAACATCTTCTTCCTCATCCTTCCCAAAGCTCATTCTGATTTTGTCTGCTCAGACAACGTTTGGACACGGTCTGCGACCTCTCTGCGACCGCACAATCTTCCAGTAGCCACTCCTCTCGACTGATATTGAAATCTCTTCTACCTGGTGAAACGGGTCTGCCTGCTAATACCCGCCGCCGTCTTCCCTCCACCATGGCATCATCTCCTCCTCAAGATGCTCCTCAAACAACCTCTAAGGCCAGCGAGCCCGGGCCGTCTGTCTCGTCGCTGCCCTTCGGGTACGGGGCGAAGCGCAAGCGTATCAGTGTGAGTAGATGGCCGACTTCGCCGCTGAAGCACTCATGAACTAACGGGCAGCGAGCATGTGTGAGCTATCCGGTGGAGCGCGACTGACAATCAGGACCGCTGCAACAAACTAGGCCGCAAGGTAAGTTTGCCTCCCAGCGCAACCGCATAGCTTACGCCAGTGTCTGCCGGGTTCTGACAAGATGTGCCAGTCGTGCGTTGATTACGGTGACGAGTGCACCTATGATCGGCCGAAGGGGAAGCGCGGGGTGAGACGCCGATTTGTGCTCATTGACAGCACTAATAGCAGGCTCCCCCGAAAGCCCTACGACACCTGAAGAAAACCAAATGCAAAGAACTGCCAAAGGGCCTTGGTCATGAGCAGATTCTACACCTCGTCAACGCCTGGCACACAACCGTGTACCCCATGTACGCCCAGGTCTTTCTTGGTAGCTGTTCTGACCCCAGGTACCTTTACTTCTCGTGGCCCCACTTTCGCAGTGACGTTCATGCGATGCGGTACGAGCACGACCACGCTTTTCGCTCGACGGTGCTTGTCATGTGCGCGATAGCCGCTGCCCGCATTCGCGACGGCGCGTACAACGTTGCTTCCGGCGACCGTGTGGCTGCTAACTACATCCCGGTTGACCCGGATGTTCTGCGCACCGCGGCTGTCGCATCTTTAGTCCCTCTGCCTCCTCACCGCCCCCTTGAGTTTGAGGATCTGCGCGCCGCGAGCCTTCTGCACGTGCTCGGACAGCAGAATGCTGACATCGAGCTTGTCCAGCTCTCCCTGGCGCGGTATCACGGCATCTCAGCGTGCTTCAAGTTCCATGACGAGCGGTTTTGGCCCGCAGATTTGGAGGAGTGGCAGCGGGAGGAACGGCGTGCTTTGGTGAGCTTGACCCCTGACCTGATGCTGATGGCAGTTCTGGTCAACGTACACTTCGGACGTATTCATCTCGCTGCTGTGGGGACGGATGATTCTGCACCGCGCCTCACAATGCCACGTAAAATATCCAAGCTCGCGGCTTGACGGTGCCGATGTGGATGGGGCAACACATTGGATCGTGGGCTGGAATACCGTCACCGATCTCTACCGTATTCTCCACCGCATCATCGACACGGAAGAACACCAGACAGGTCGGACCCTGGCTGGCCCACCGCAGTTGCCACTTGACTTCGAGGAGTCGGCTGTTTGTCTCAGCACCGCATGGCCGGCGGTGCGCTCGCTCGTGGACACCTTACCCCCGCAGCTGCGCGAGTGTCCGCCGCTGACAGGCGAGCTTTATCGCGACATTTACGGCTATACGGCGGCCAATCTACTTGTGACGCAACAGGCGGTGCGCATGGCGATTGCGTGCGCCTCTGCCTTGTCGATGCTGGAACGATGCGCAGTCGCGGGCGAGCTGCTCGACACACTGGCTAGCATCCCCCCCGCATACATGCAGGGTATGTCGGCGCCATTCGTGCACCAGCTCGGCGCAGTCGGCTCTCTCCTGGGACGTGTCGTACAAGGTCCTCTCACGGTGAGCGCGTACATTCATGTGCGCCAGGTACTCCTCACCTTCGGCAACATTCTGTCGTATCACGAGAGCAGCCTCAAATACTCGGGCGGCATCGCCGAGCGGCTCTTCAAGCACGTTGGGCGTATCGACGCGTTCATGCAGGCCAAGGCGAGCGGGCGCAACCAGGAGATGTTGCAAGATGCGATTGGCGCACAGCGCGGCGCGCGGAACGCCGAGAGCAGGCCCGCGCTGCCCCCCACCGGGCCGCCAACCCTATCGGTGCCCCAGCCGAGCGCAACACTGAGCGGGACCAGCGATCAGGAGATGTTCACCATTCCCGACGATCTCACCCAGGATTGGATGTTCCCGCAGGATCAGGCGCTCTTCGCTTCGCTTCCCGTGGTCCTGAGTGAAGGTGTGTAGTATGATGAAGACCAGTGACCGCCATCAGTGGATGACGGATGTCCTGCTAGCGAAGGTGTGGCGCAGGCGTCTCACAGCATCACGTCAGCAACCATGGTGTATGGACTGAACGTAGTTCTGCAGGCATCTGCGGGCCGCTCGGCGCGGCGTGCTGATCGCAGAGCTCGGCGTCATCTCCGACCGTTTGCACGGCAGTCGCTGCTGGAAACGAGGGTGCCGAGGTCCGCACATTACCGCTGCCCCGGCCCACCTCATCCGCCTCGATGCCCACCCGCATGCCGAGGACGCTCAGGCACCGTGCCAAGCGCAAGTAAGCTGGATCTCATCACGATTACATGCCCCAACGCAGAACTCCCAAACGATGCTGCCATGACCTCTGACATCTTCTTGCCTTATCGATTGTCTCACAACTCACAATTGCTTATCTGCAGCGTCCGGCACTCGCAGACTACTGCTGTCCATCTGGCTTCGAGGTGTGAGACATGCACGTTCAAAGACCCACAGGCCCAAGGCATAGATGATACACGTCGTGCCCACTCTGTCCATTCACGGCACGCTGTATGGCCATGCTCTGACCTGCGGCACGCAAGCGAGCCCGAAACGAAGCATTCCATTCCGACCTGTGTTTAAGGTTAGGCCGACTGGATCGGACAACGAGTGGGTGATGTATCGGGCGGAGCTCGTTGGGTGTGGGGGGGCATCCCCCGTAACGAGGTGACCAACTCGCGGTGCCTGCCTCGAAACGAGGTATTCACCCGACGCGTATTCACCCCTCCACCACATCATCCCACTCGCCTCCTTCTCTCTTCCTCCCGTGTGCACACGCACAATGGGGCCATGCGGGATGACATTACAGGTGGGGGAGGTGAGCAGATGCGGAGGGGCCGTGGGGACCCGTGCAGTCATCTCCTCGTTACGGGACAGGATCTCTGCTCGTTCCGCGGCGGACGCGAGTGGCGCATAGCGCCGCTCATTCGAGCAAGGCGCGTCGCCTGGCCGGACGCTTTTCGCAATGACATTCGTTCTCAATCCTCTCTGTGTGAGCATGTGTGACGCCGCGGCGGCTCTTCACCTCACTCCACTAGCCGCCCTCGTCGTGACACAGATCAGCGCAGCGTCTACGTCTCCCTGACGCCACCGCGGGCCGCCGCGCTGCCTGTTGTGGGGCAACCAGTCGTCCTCGTATCGCGCCACTAAAGGTATATAACTCGGCGCGCTGACACCCTTCTGCCCCATCATTGGATCCTCTCACGCCTCATCACCTAACATGCTTCGCACCCGCCTCGCAGCCCAGGCCATCCGTCCGCTCTCTCGCGGTGTCGCGACATCAGCGCCCCGCGCCCTTGCGACTCACGCCCCCGACACCCACGTCGTCAAGGCTAAGGCATGGGCGAACCCGTTCCCGGGTGACACGTTTTCTGTCGGGCCCAAGAACGGTTTTCTGCCCACCAAGGACCCCCTCGAGACCCTCCCGCAGGAGTACGAGGCGATGGAGACGCTCCTCGAAGACATGCGCCTGCAGAAGAAGGACGGCTCGCCGGGCCTCCTCGCGACCGGCGATTTTGGGGCCGCCGTTGAGCGTGACCTCCCCGAGTACGATGTGTCCAAAGTCAACGACGGCGAGCTTCTCTCCGGTGAGTACCTCTGAGGGCTGCCCTAAACCCAGCCCTCCGCTGGCTCGCATCCTGGTGCTGATGGCCCAGCACTCTACCGCGATCTCACATTCGTCGCCTCCGCCTATCTCCTCGAACCCTGTGACATCCAGTACCGCAAGGACAAGACCTACGGCCTCGGCCGCCAGGTCCTCCCCCGCAACATCGCCGTCCCTCTCAACCAGGCCGCTGAGAAGATCGGCCAGCGCCCGTTCATGGAATACGCCCTCTCGTACGCACTGTACAACTACAAGCGGATCGACAAGTCCAAGGGTCTCGACTACGACAACCTTGACCTCATCCGCGCCTTCTCCGGCTACCCCGACGAGTACGGTTTCATCCTCGTACACGTGGCGATGGTGCGCCACTCGGGCGACCTGACCTCGGCCACGCTCCGCGCGCTCGACGCCGCGGCCGAGGGTAACCGCCCCGGCTTTATCAAGGCCATGCAGGACCTCCTCGCGACGTACCAGCAGATCAACAATGTTATGGAGACCATGTGGGGCCGCTCCAAGCCTGAGGGCTACCTCTCTTACCGCACCTTTATTATGGGTACCAAGAACCAGCCGATGTTCCCCAACGGTGTTGTGTACGAGGGCGTCTCAGACCAGCCCTTCAAGATGCGCGGCGAGTCTGGCGCCAACGACTCGATGGTGCCCCTCGGCGACAACCTCCTCGAGATCACCTCCAAGATGCCCGCCAACCCCCTCACCGAGGTTCTCCGCGACTTCCGCACCTACCGCCCACGTAACCACCAAGAGTTCCTTACGTACGTGCAGCAGCGCGCAAGTGCGATCGGCATCCGCGAGTTTGCGCTCCAGGATGCCACCAGCGCGGCCATGTACCTTGCGAACCTCGACCAGATCCGCGCGTTCCGTCACCGGCATTGGGCATTCACGAAGGAGTACATCATCAAGCGCACGGCGCACCCCGTCGCAACAGGTGGCTCGCCCATCGTTACGTGGCTCCCGAACCAGCTCGACGCTGTGCTCCAGCAGATGATCGTCACAGAGGCCTGCATCGACCGCAGCGCGCTGCAGCCCCAGCACCGCGTCATGGTCGAGGAGATCTCGCAGCGCGCCGAGGCCCAGCAGCGCGTGCTTGTACGTGAGGTCGCAAAGCTCTCCGTCGAGCGCGGGCAGCAGTCTGTCGGTGTCGACGCCGTTGAGCGCGCTGGCGCCGCGTCGTACGCCGCCACGGCGTAAGGATATTGAAAGAGTAGAGGAGTCGCGGTGAGGACGCACGAGGATTGCATTGTTTGGGTCTGCTCGTTTCCCTGATCGTCGACATTGTAGGCATAGTATGGAGTTATGAAGCTTGATGACAATCACCGATGACACATGAACGAGGATAGTGTGATCACCGACACTGGGTCGGCAACTAGCTGGCCCAGCTCGGGCGCCACATTGCGCGTCTGGCATCAGCTGATGCAGCGGCGTTGCACGCGGTGCCACCTGCAAGCCACTCGCAGCACTGCCGAGACATGCCGACAGTTCCCTCGACGTATCGCATCGTCTTTCGAGGAGGGCCTGCAACTCTCGGCCGTGCTGTCGGCATGTTGAACGCCGGTACGTGCCGAGCCGGAAATAGTGGAGACCCCATACTCGGCGGGTAATCCGGCAACCAACAGACTAGGTGCCCACCTCTGTCTCATGCGCTGTCCCCATGCCCTCTGCCTTTCTTTCTCAACTGCACACTACAGACACTTGCAGCTCAGCCAGACAAAATGACCACCAGCAACTCGCTTCCCGCCACCTCCAAGGCCGCCGTCATTGTCGAGCCGTACAAGATCGAGGTCAAGGATGTGCCTACTCCTCAGATCAAGGAGGACAACGACGCGATCATCAAGAACACCGCATCGGGCCTGTGTGGTGCGTCGGGATGTGGTGGAAGGCTGTGAAATTGGGTTCTGCCTTGTCACCTTGGTAGCGCTGAAGCTGACATCAGGTTCCGACCTTCACATCTACCGCGGCCACCAGCCGGGCCCATACGGCTATGTGATCGGCCACGAGGCTGTCGGTATCGTCGCTGCCGTCGGCCCTGGCGTCAAGAAGTTCAAGGTCGGTGACAAGGTTGTGGCGCCGTTCGCGACCACTTGCGGTGAGTACAGGCGCGAGGAGGCTGAGCGGAAGGCGCGCAAGGCGTGGGAACGAGAAGGAGGCCATGAGGAGCGAGGGTGAGAAGGATGCTCGCGTCAGGCTGGGGCTGACCTACTTGCCGAGCTGACACCAGGCCGCTGCTACTACTGCAAGCAGGGGTACACGTCGCGCTGCAACGGCGGTGGCCAGCTGCTGGGCTCTGCCGCCAACCCCGGCGCGCAGGCTGAGTACGTCCGCATCCCCGAGGCTGAGGCCTCGCTCTCCCATGCCCCGGACGACATCCCCGAGAAGCTTCTCCTCCTTATGGCCGACATCCTCCCGACGGGCTACAGCGCGGCCTACAACGCCCGCCACCTTCTGGATGACCACCAGGTGGCGCCCTCGTCTGACTTCCAGGTCGGCGCCGTCAAGCAGCCTGAGGGTAAGCGCGGCGTTGCGGTCGTGATTGGCTGCGGACCTGTCGGACTGTGCGCCATCACCTCGGCGCTGAGCATGTTTGAGAAGGTGTTCGCGACCGACCTCGCGCCCCACCGCCTTAAGCAGGCGGAGAAGCACGGCGCCGTCGCGCTTCAGGGCGAGGAGCTGAAGAAGGCCGTGCTCGAGGCCACCGAGGGCCGTGGCGCCGACGCCGCCATCGAGGTCGTCGGGCACCAGAGCGCGCTCGACACCGGCATCGACCTTCTCCGTCCTTGGGGCGTGCTTTCCAGCTGTGGCCTGCACACGCACGACGTCAAGATTCCTGGTCTGACGCTGTATGGCAAGAAGTGAGTCGTCATGCCCACTCGAGCGCTGACTCTAGTCTCCGCCTCCAGTTTGGCCGCTGCTCAGTGCTCACCTTCACGCCTGCCGCGCTCGAGATTCTCCGCCAGAACCAGAGCCTTTTCGCCGACTTCATCGAGCACGAGGTGCCCCTCGAGAAGGCGCCCGAGTACTACAAGGAGTTCGAGCAGAACAAGATCGGCAAGACGGTGTTTGTTTTCTAAAATTGAGTGCCAAAAGGGATGTAGCGTTTCTGTGATGCTACTTGGATGAAGTTTATCATTGAGTACTTGGTACAAAAATAGCCATGGCGCTACACTTGGTCGGCTGCCTCCTGCCGCCTCTGCTTCTCCTCCAGTGCCAACTTATCAGCTACTTCCCGCACTTCGCCATGCCTCATCATATACACGTTTACCGCCTCCTCCTCGAGGTATTTCCGGCACTCGTAGCGGCTCTTGCTGATGTCCACTGTGGAAAGTATGCCCATCGCGATGACGCCGAGGCCGAGGAGGAACGTGAAGGGCATATTGTTGTTCCCTGTCCGGTCGATGATGGCTTTCGCCACGACGAGACCCACGACACTCGTCTGGCTGACGATCGCGAAGAGCGAGAAGAACATAAACTCCTTGCCGCGCGGCACGACCTCCGAGACCATGGCCTGGCTGATCGCGTGGAAGGGCGACACGAAAATTCCGTAGAAACCTGCTTCAGCGCTGCCACGCCCCCTGTACCTTGGTATACCCAAAACTCCCAAAGATTATGAAACCCGTACGACTGCGTGATACCAAGACAGCCCCACGCCGTGATGAGGAGGAGGAAGAAGCCGTTCTGCGTTAGCCACGCCGGCACGGACGCACGAAGAGGAGCATGGTTTTGGTCTGGAGGAACCAGCGTTTTTGGACCACCCAGAACACACCGATGCCCAGCGCCTGCGCCGCGATCCCGTCCATGAGGAGGTAGTTGAGCGTGAGCGCCTGAAAGTCGGCAACCTCCTCCTGAATAGTTTTGATCAGGATCGCTTGGTCAGCAAGCTCGCGAGCACCATACCGGTGGTGTTAAAGCAGTCTCCGAGGAAGAAGTGGGCGGTCAGGTAGATGAACGTCTGCTTGAGGCGGCGGCACAGCGTGAAGGCGTGGTAGATCTGCCGCGCGCCCGCAGTGCAGTACGTCGTGCCCGGCGGGAGCTGGTGTCCGGGCCTGTGCTGCTCGTAGTACATCCATGGGATGGAGCAGAACACTGCGTAAGCTCACAGATGGAAGGGCTTACTCCACACGCCACCGGAGTACGCGCAGACAATGGAGAGGGCGCGCGCATTGCTGTCGTCGTCGCCCCGAGCAATGGAGAGTATGATGCCGCAAAGGATGGCTAGAACCGCCAGCTCCCCGATCGAGCAAAGGAAGAAAGAGACATGTGCGAGGTTGTTCCGCGCCAACATGTCCCGGCGCTCAAACTCGGCCCTCCTTGTATCATTAGGTGGCCACATGCTATTTCGAGAGGCTCACGAAATACGCCCGTCTGCAAGTCCCCTCTCGTTCTTGTGCATCTCCGGTGTGTCACGGGAGAGTCCCGGAAACGCGGCCATCCAGAACGTCAGCGCAACGCGGTACGACAACATTCCCAAGACGTAAAGGGAGGTGCCGATGCGCCATCGCGGCGGCGCCGTGACGCCGAGCCATGCAAAGCTCACGCCCCACCCGACGACGGTTGCGATTGTGACGATATGCGGCCGCCAAGACCCGTAGTCGGCCATGCTCCCGAGCACAAGGTACACGGCGGCCTGCATGCCGAAGCTGATGGCGTTCGTGATAAGCATCGTCGAGTGCGTGCTCCGCTCGGCCCCAAAAGCGTGCAGGTAGCACGGGCCATCACTGCATCTCGAGGCGTGTCCGAGGGTGGGATCCCACCCCGCGCGATGCAGGAGGTTGTGCCATGCCGTGACCGCGAAGTTGAAGGGGCCCAGGCCGCAGTTGCCGACGTAGTAGATGTACCAGCTCTGGGGTCAGTGCTGACGCAGGTGGCGCACGTAGAGCTCGCCGCGGGTTGTGGTCCTGCGCACGCCTGTTGTCGGGAGCGGAGAGGAGAAGAGGGCGGCGTCGTCCGCGGCGGTGATGTAGTCTGCGAAGCGATCAGGTTTCGGGAGCGGCATCGGCGTGATCACCCGCGCGGAGATGCGACGCGTCAGCTCGGCTCCAAGCTCGTCCTCTCGCCCAGGGTAGGACCTCCTTCCGAACGCCCATCCGGGCTCGGAGAGGCTCGTCCGCGCCGTGGCGAAGGTCGGATCCCTCCTCAGCTCGAAGCTGTGTGACTTAGGCATGGCGGCCTTGAGTGTCGTCTACGGTCCGTCGTTACCGTCCTTGCCGTCGCTGTCACGAACCCCGTTGCGTAGCCCATGATGAAGTGCGTAGCCGTTAATGGGGTGCGTGCAGAACGTCAGAATGGAGGGCGTAAGAACATCTGGACTGTGGGCCGGATCTCGGGGCGTGTGATTTTCAAGGTGACCGCTAGGCGAGATCAGCATCTGATGACAGTTGGATTTAACATCAGCTACGAGAGGGGCGCAGCTCCCAACGTATGATGGTAGAGGGGGGCAATAATGTGGTCGTGTGCAGACCAAGTGGGGAAAGTAGAGACATCTTGTGCATCCCGACCTAATTCCCGACATCTGATGATCGGCCCGAGATGATGCCGACAAAGCCCATGCGAGTAACAAGTCACACGCGCTTCATCGGGCGCCGATTGGGCATCCCTGCCGACATCGGTGTCTGTCAATCGATGATCCGGAGACGACGGCGGTCGCCGAAGCATTCCAGGCCCACCTGACTTGCATGACCGGCCAGCGCGCATTATAAACCGACGGCGCACGCGTACGCCAGCTCAACCTACGACACCATGCGCGAGAACGAGCTCACCGCCCCCGTCTCACTCACGCAGAACCACAAGTTCAACCGCGCCGCCCACGGATGGGCGCGCCAGCCGATCGTGGACACGTCGGGAATCCATGACAGGAAGGACGACAACCCCGGCTGGGGCAGCAACAAGCGATGGGAGTACTGGTGCGTCATGACGCCCACGCACCTCCTCGCGTGTACCGTGGCGAGCCTCGACTTCCTCGCGAGCGCCGAGGTGTGGATCTTCGACCGCGCAACCAACGCCCCGGTGCTAGAGAAGGGCACCGCTGCGCTGGGCGACGACGGCAGCCGCGCCGCCACGCTCCCGGCGCAGGTGGAGAGCGGGACGGCGAGCTACGTCGGCGGCGGCGTCGAGGTCGTCATCGAGCAGGTGGAGGGTGGGACGCGGATCCGGGCGTCTGCGGACGGCGGGGGCTTCGATGTCTTCGCTGCGCGCCCAGAGGGACACGAGCGCCTCGCTGTCGTCGTGCCATGGAGCGACACGCTGTTCCAGTACACCGTGAAAGACGTGTCCCGGCCCGCCTCGGGAACCGTCACGGTCGGCGGGGTCACAACGCAGCTGGTCGAGGGAGAGAGTTGGGCCGTGCTCGACCACGGGCGTGGGCGCTGGCCGCCATCGTGTACCTGGAACTGGGGCGCTGGATGTGGGCGTGCGACGGATGGGCGGGTCATGGGGCTGCAGTTCGGCGACCAGTGGACGGACGGGACGGGGAGCACCGAGAACAGCTTCATGCTCGCTGGAAGGCTGTACAAGATCTCGGAGAAGCTCAAGTGGGATTACGACATCAAAGAGCCGCTCGAGAAGTGGCGCGTCCACGGTGCGGGGCTTGACGCCACGCTCACCCCGTTCTACGACAAGTTCTCGCAGACCGACGCCAAAATAGTCAGCTCGCGCACCGACCAGTGCTTTGGCTACTGGAGCGGGAGCTTCAACACGGGCTCTGAGGTGGTGCATTTCGAGAATGTTATTGGGTTTGCCGAGGATGTCGAGCGAAAGTGGTAGATGCGGGATGTATCTTGGAGCATTAGAACTTTTGAGCGCTGCCTGACGTACGGCCGTGGCAATCACAAGCACCCATATCTCACAATTGTTCCATGGATGCCATTATGCTGCTGCTACCTCTACAACGTGTAATTTCTATCAAAGCTTCGCCTGCTCAACCATCTTGAACTCCCTTCCTGGCGTCTTACGGCGCGGGTTCTTGAAGGTCGTGTGCATCCCGGAGCAGATGGCCTTGCCCGAATCCCACTCGCTCATGAGACAGCGGGCTGTCGACAGCTGCCCGCCCATGCGGTCAATGACCGTCGTGACGCGGAGACGTGTTCCGCTGTCGTCAGCACCCTCTCTTCGTTGGTGTCAACTCTTTGGAAACTCACGCTGGCGCCGGGTTGTAATACGACATGTCAATTGCGATGGAGGGACCTCCGGGGTTCCATGTCTTGGTGCGGAGCCGGCTGAAGCTCGAACCAGTGCACATGTCAACGAGCCACGCCGCCGCAGCTCCGTGCAGGCCTCCGCCGCCATTCACCCAGTCTGCCATCAGCTTGCATTTTTGCTTTCCACGCCCGCCGTCACTCACTGGGCTGCACGATCGCCTCGTACACCGCCGTCCAGCCCTCGACGTCGCGTCCACCGCGCGAGTTGACGGGCGGGATCGGCTCAGCCTCGATCGCCCGCACGTACGGCGCGAACATGTCGCCCGCGAACGGCATGCGTCGCAGGATCTTGCGCGTGTGCTCCGTGTCCGCCTCCGTGGCGGGGATCATGCGCTTGCTCACGATCCGGCCCTCGGGCTTGGGCGGCGTCGCGTCGAGCGCGAGCGTCTCGGGCGCCATCTCTTCGCCGGCGCTGCCGGCGTATCCTTCTTCGTCGCGGGGCATTGTGGGTTGTTGCGAGATGACAGACTTAGGACGCGATATTTACGGGAGTGGGGAGAAGGGCCGTCTGAAGGAGCGGATAGCCGGTGCCGGAGTTGGCCGAGCCGCGGTGGGCAGACCGTGATAAGCGCAGAGCAGCTGTTGGGTCGGGGTGCGGAACCGTAGATGTGATTCTAGACGCGTCCAGCAGACTGTGGAGGTAGGCGGGCTAGAGATGGGGACGGCGGAGCGGAGAGGTGTGAGCTCGCAGGTGAGTGGCATCCCAGACGCCTTTAGAAACTGGGCAACCTCGGCAACGCCGGGCTTGTCTAATGACCAAGCGCTGATAGTGTTAAGCGGACTGCACCATCTTAGTATCCACGGCTACCCCTACAGAGTGGAGCGCTGAAAAAGAACAACTCAGTTCTAGCCCGATACTGATACAGAGGCAAGCGCGGCGGCGTCGGATAGTGGGATAATGATGGAACGAGCAAGTGGGGCGGAGTTCTCAGCCCTATTAGGGGTGGTACCGATTAGGAAATGATTGGAGATTCCTCCACCTCCCCTCCACCACCCCCAACTCAACACAAGCCAGTTCCATAGACTCTCCCGTCTGATTCTTCATCTCCCCTCGATCCCTCCTCGCTCATCGCCCGACCCGCTCACCGCTCTCGCAACTCTTCGACCGCCAATCGTCACCCCCGTGCTGAAGTCTGCTATGTTATGTGGTCCTCTTTCGCCTACCATGAGCCCTCCACGAGCGCCACCCTAATCCTTCTCGCCTTCCTATATCTTCTCAACCTCGCAGGCTGGTTCGTCCAGCTCACCATCGGCGCCGGCCTCCTGGGCCAGATATTCATCGGCGTAGTATTCGGCACTCCGCTGGCGGGATGGCTCCCAGACACATGGGAGGACGCGTTTGTCGCGGTTGGCTACATTGGTCTGCTCGTGCTGGTGTTTGAGGGTGAGTCGCGGCTTCTTGACTCGAAGAAATCGGCGCATAGGCGGCCAAGAGACAGGAAGGGCTCCTGTCCGGTAACTGCCTGAGATGGCTAACGCCAGGCGGGATGCACTCTTCCATCGCGCACCTCGCGCGTATCCTCCCTCTGGCGAGCACCGTTGCGCTGACCGGCATTCTTGCCCCCATCGGCCTCTCCTTCCTCCTCGTTCCCATGGGCTTCCCAGTTGTCCACGCGTTTGCCGGCGGTTCTTCTCTCGCCTCCACCTCGCTCGGCACCGTCCTCACCGTCCTGCACCCCGCATCCGTTGGCTTTGACCTGCGACAGACTAAGCTCGGTTCTGTGCTCTTCACCGCGGCAGTAATGGACGATGTGGTGGCCTTCATCCTTGCCCGCGTTATTTCTGTCGTGGGCGGCGAAGGTAGCCTAGGCGCCGAGATTGGACGCACGCTCGGGGTTACCGTCGGGATCGGCATTGCTTGGGGAGCGATTACCCATTTCATTCTCAAGCCTGCGTACGGCGCCGTTATCAAACGCCGGGCTTGGGAGCACACGGTGTGGGGTGGAGAGGGCCTCATGTTTCTTTTCGACGCGTTAAGCTTCATTGCTCTGGTAGCGGCGGCCGGCTACGGTGGGACATCGCCTCTCTTTGGCGCGTATGTCGCCGGTCTTTCCGTCGCGTACCTCTGCAGCGTTGAGGCAGAGAAGCGTTCGCCTCCACGCACGGAGATGGAGTCTATTTGTGACACCCCTTGCTCGACTCCAGAGTCGGACATGTCGGAGCCATCCCTCATATCCGCGTTCAATAGCTATGCCGCCAAGCCGCTCGCGTACCTCCTCCTGCCTATCTTCTTCGGGAGCATCGGCTACTCAATCCCATTCGTTCCCCTCTTCCGCGGGCGCGTCATTTGGCGGGGAATCGTATATTCAGTGCTCATGGCGCTCGGTAAGATGCTGTGTGGCGCGTGGGTCTGCCGTCGGAAGAGTTGGCGGGCAGCCGTTTTCCTCGGCGGGGCTATGGTGGCTCGAGGCGAGATCGGCCTCCTGTAAGTCCATTTGTTATGGATGGCATGCTAATGGCAGGATCGCACAAATCGCCCGCGGCACACCTCGTCCTCTGCTTGACGAGGAGGAGTTCCTCGTGGTCGTCTGGGCCGTCGTACTTTGCACAATCGTGGGTCCAGTCGGCGTTGCGATGTGCGTACGCCGGTGGGGCAAGGACGTGCTCCGCGGCGGAATGGAGTAGGCTGTGTCTCTGCCGCCATTACTATTTAGCGTGCTGAGAGAGGCGTAGCTAGCCAGCGTCAAAGTGAGCCCTCCAAGACGGAAGAGCGAGACGGCTATGTAGCTCATGTGCAGCTATCGCACAGCACTATGTATGTCCATTGTCTCTGCACGATGATGCCCCGTGTTAGAAGGGCTGCCTTGGAAGTGGCTCTGTAGTTTACCAGTTCAGCCTATTCCCCAGCCAGATGATGTCAACTTCACCTCGTGACATCGGGTCTCTCCAGGATGTCAACTTTTGTTCCAATCTTACTCCTCGCACGATGCACGTTGACTCGAGCGATACACGCCGTCTCGGCGCACGGCGTGCGCCTCTCGATCAGACGTGGTTTCCGCACATTCTCTCGCGCATCGTCGACCTGGCGCCTCTCGATTCGCTCCTCCGGCTCCGCGCCACCTGCCGGCGGCTGCGCGATCGCATCGATATGCGCCTGTTTGAGCACGTCGTCCTCGTGGCTGTTGCGCCGCGCTACGCAGGCGCTAAGACTGGCGTGGGATTTGCCCCTCCCGACGCACTGCACCGTCTACTCCCCTGCATCCCGAGCGTACGCCAGCTCCCCCGATCTAAAGATCCACAAACTGCCGCGCACCTGGCGTCGAACCGTCGCAACATGAACCACATACGCATCCTCGACTCAGCGACCTCAAAGATATACGACCTCCCCTCTTTCTCCCTCCCCCTCGTGCGGCGGTGCAACTCCTCGGCCGCCGGCTTGCCGGCACACGTCCTAGTACAGACATTATCCCTCAGCCCCGCAGACGACGACGAGGGCGTCGCGCGGCAGTGGGACAGGTTCCGGCAACTCGCGGTCACAGCGACGGGTACGGCGCCGCTGGGGGCGGGAGTCCGCGCCGCCGGTGAGTGCGGCACATTCGTCGCGCACCTCGCATACGACGGACCCCCACGCCGCGGCATCGTCCTCGACGTCCGCCGGCGCTACACGCGGGAGCTCGTGCTCGTTCTCCCAGCGGTACCACAGGACGCGGCGGTCCGCGAGGTCGTCGAGGGCCTGCGGGTCACGCTTATGATGGCGCTGCCGGGCGGGACACGGGTCACGCTCGTGGGCGTCGATAGGTTCGGCGCACGCCACTTCGGGGTGCCCGACACGGAGGACGCGCTGGAGGCTGTGCGCGGCGCGCTGCTGGCACATTGCCGCCTCGAGCCGGAAGATGAGAGGCTGGTGTGTATCGCGTACGGCGACTGGGCGGCCGACGTGTGCCCCGAAATCAGCGCGCCGCCGCCCAACATCCCCAACGTCATCATCGACCCGCCGGAGCTCGTTCCCGCTCACGCGGCACCTTAACCTCATGCGTGCATACATTTTGATCAGACCAAGTATACTACCGCACTTTTGCGGTTTGCCTAGCCTCCTCCTCGACGCCTCTCGCCCATGGAATATGGCGTGTGCACAGCACAGACATAAATGCGATCTCGACATCTTACCGCTCTCTGGTCCTCGTTGCGATGACCGGCCAGCCAGGCCGTAGCGCAAGTGTCGAGTCAAGCTTCGCCGTCGCGGCCGCACCAGGCTCTTACTCTCCGCAAGCTGCCTGGGGGGACCAAGGAAGACTACGGGCCGACTCCACGGGAGGTATAACGTCATGCGCGCGAGGAGGGGTCGTCATGTCGCGTGCGCCGTGCGCCGTGGCCTCTTCTCGTGGCAAGTGCACGACCATAACCTCTCCAACGCTAGCAAACCGCTAGTGTGAAGTCAACGAGCTTTCCGCCCGCGCGACAACTCCGGGGTGTGGGCCAGTGTACTCTGCCACATGTCAGTGGTGCGGAGGGGGCCGATGCGATGGGGAGGGGGAAAGAGGACGGTGGTGCCGAAGATGTGCGGCAAGCTGGCCGATGACCATTGGGCGATGCATCGAGTAAAATCTCCCTGATGGGCGAGGTCGTGCTACAATGCTGACTCAGTAGCGCTCCAATGTCGCGGTCCGAAGCGAGCTGGCACGATTAACGTGTGCTTAACAAGTCAGCCTGCTGCTGCGGACCGCGCCACTTGGGCCTCGGATGCGCTCCATGAACGTTAGAATACAAGTCACGAACTAATCACGACATTGCGGTAAGGATGGGAACAGCTCCTGTGCCGCTGCGCGGACTTCGCGGCCCTAACTCGTCCTCGGCAGAACGTGTGCGTGGAAGGAGTGAGGGCTGGTTGCATCTGGCATCACTCGGACGCTGGAAGCATGCGACCTGTTCATCCATAGTCAAACCCGGGTCGCGCGCGATGACACGAGTCCTCAATGATGAATGATGGGGAGCTTGGTCACCCCAACGACTAAATGCTGTGATCGGGCAGATCAGCGCGTATCTCGCTCTGATACGCATCGCCTTCCGCGCCGCACATTTGAGCGCAAAGGCTCGCGGTTGGTCAGTTCTGACGGCTGGTACTGGAACCTCTGCGTGCGCCGTCGGCGCGGGGCAAGCCTCGTACACATTCTTCGTCTGCGCCGCGGAGCCCTTAGTCTACCCACCCGAATATCTGGCCAGGCAATCGCTGCCCTCCGTGGCAAGTAGTCGTGTGTCATTATCAAGTACGTGTACTGTAGGACCGACTCGCAGAATTAGTAGTAGAGGTTATTGCGGCCGTTTGGAATACCCTGCACGACGCGGGGGTAGGTCTGGCGAATGAGCTCGAAGAGGGCGGGGGCGCGCTGCCCGAGCACCATGGGGTCCTCGCCGAGGCCGACGAAGATGGTCGACACGCCGGCGTCGAGCACACTTCCAATCGTGAAGGACAAGTTGATGCCGATCGCGAAAGCGAACAACACAACGGGGGCTGTGTACTGCCCGTCGCGGTTGTACGAGGGCTCGGTGACTGACTGTCAGCTTGGTATGCAGAACCGCTTACACTTGAGGTACAGGAAGCCGTAGAGGCCGCAGAGGAAGCCGTTGATGTAACTTCCCCAGAGGACGACCGTGCCGACGAGCGAGTCGTTGACGAGGGCGTCGATGCCGCGGTCCTTCATCAAACGCCAAGTGTCCTTGGCCGCCTCGATGTAAGCCTTGCCGTACAGCGCGATCTCGATGTAGGCGTCTAGTGTCAGCGGGAACGGAGCGAAGACACACATTTGTTGAACCACTCGACGATCCAGCGGATGAAGGAGACACAGCACGTCGCCTGGGGTCAGTGGGAAAGACGGACAACTTACGCAGCATGCAAGGATCATGCCAACCGTGTCACCCTGCTGAGCGTTGTAGTTCTGCAAGGCCTGGAAGAGGGTCTGAAGGATCTCGAGGATGGTGACAATCAGCGAGCCAAATGCGATCGAGCCGAGTGAGAGCGTCGATGCGCGCACGAACGCCTTGCCCGTGGCATTCTTCGGCAAACCCGAGCCGTCGTTCATCCGCGGGCCGTAGTAGTACCACCCGCCGAAAACACCGCCTGCGAGCGTGCAGAGGATAACGTTGGAGACGACCTGGGACGCCCAGTAGAACGCGAAGATGGCGTAGAAGATAAGGCCGGCGACCTTGCCGCTCGAGCACGACGTCGTTGCGCACGCTGCTGTCAGCTCCGTCCTGGCGCGGACTCACATTCGCTTCCTGGTGTCCACTTCACGTAGATTGCGATGGCGGTGAACGAGAACCATACGCTCAGTGCCGCCTGCACGAGCAGGCCGAGGAACACAACCACGTACACCGACGGGTGGTGCTTGGTGATGTCGATCGTCGTCTGCAGCAGCAGTTTGGCAAGTGGGATACGCTTCCTCATGCTCCAATAGCAGATGACCGAGATGAGCGCGATGACGAGGAAGATGATCGCTCCGGACCAGTACTTGATGTAGAAGTAGTCTGGTGTCAGCCATGCCGACGCGGCACGCACAGATGCAGATGGCGATATTGAGCAAAACAGTGAGCGCGAGTGTAATCTCCATGATGATCTTGGTAAACATCCGCACGAGGCCGAGCCACACGGCGGCGATCACAAGCGCGAGACCGCACACGGTAAGGAGAAGATACGCGGTGTGGCTTAGATCAGCGTACGTCGCAGTGCACAGACGTACCGGTCGAGCGTAATGGCCGTGCCCGTCTGGCCCTGGCGCTGATTGCCGAGCCCGCCGCCGAGGCCGTCGAGCGACACAAATGTGCGCAGCGTAATAACCGACAGCGCGACCCAGCCGCCCATGGCCGCGATGAATAGGAAGAGGAATATGGGGTCGCGCAGCCGCGACTTGGGTCGGAACCGCGCGCCCGTCTTCTCCGTCGCCTGTGAGAACGGCGCCGTGTCCCCATACTTGTTGCCCCCGTTCTCAGCGTCGACCTGGTATGGCTGGGCCTGCATGCCCTGCGGCGGGCCGGCGGGTGGCGGATACGAGCCAGCGCTCGCGTACGGCTGCGAGGACTTCATGCCGTAGTCGCCCTGTGCGCCGGTCGGCGCGTTGAACGCATACTGGTTCGGCTGGTATGCACTCTGCGGTGGCGGCGGCGCCGAGTTCTGGTAGTACTCCTGGGCGCTCATGAGGATGTGGATGGATGGAAAAGTGCGAAATCGGGACGCGTTCACAGGTAACGCCTAGGATGCTGCCGGGCGGAGAGGGTTTCCGGCTTGAAGTTGATTGTTTATTCTTGGCGCCCAGGCTGGCCAGTGACGGCAACCTCAAGGTTTGCTGCGCAGTGCGCAAGGGCCGAGGGTGGTGTGCGGGCCGTTGTCCCAGGGCCTAGTGACAGTCGGACAGAGGGGGCTAACTGAAACGCGGCCTAATTTGCCACGCTGCAATCGACATTGCGACTCTTCGCCTGAGCGGCTTGCAGGTGCACCTTCAAGCGACCAACCCAGTTTTCGAAGCCCACCGAATATTCTGTTGGTAACCCGCGTGTGGATCTGTTTGCGAGGCGGTGATACATCGTGCAACAGTTTGAGCGCAAGCCGAAGTAGGTGCAGCGCAAGCCGAAGTAGGTGCGATCGACGCCTCCTACGGCATTCATGCCAGCAGAGTGACATCACAGCCGGAATTTGGGCGTCTATCGGTGAGAACCGCGGCACGCAGCTTTAGACGACGCAGCATTGGACTGGTCGCACTCGGCTTGCAGCTACGCGGACTGAGAACAAGCTGCAGACATACAATGTCTATAGTTATGCAAAGGATGGTGCCAGACATGGGTGGGTATACGAAAAACGAACACAAAAGCTCTATCAGGACAAGATGGCAGGCTAGCGATTTCCCTCATCAGACTTGAGCTCAAACGCGACCGGGGCGTACTCCAGCTCGCCGAGCTCCTCCATCGACCTGATGGAGCGCACGGTAGCAGCCGTGGTAGCACGATACAACTGAGGTCGGCCGTCGAGCACGGCTTCCTCGTCGGAGGCAGGCGCACGGGTCATGCCGTACTCGTTCAGCTCTTCAGTTTTCTCGGCATGTGTTGCCGCGGAGGCAGCACCAACGGCGGCACCAGCAACCGCTCCGCCCGCGGCGCCGGCCATCTGCGCCATCATCATCTTGGCCATCATGTGACCCAGGTCGTCAGCCTCACGGCCGGGCTTGGTCATGCGGCGAATGCGCTGGCCAAAGTAGTAGAAGATACTGCTGTCAGCTGCGCCAAGCGCTGGTGCTCACATGGGACACGGGATGAAGGCGAGTGAGAGGAACGCGACGAGTGTGCCTGCCCAATTGGGGCCGAGTGCATCATAAATCTCGAAGGTGAACAGTGGGAAGACTTGTGTAAGCTCAGGAGTGCTATCAGCTTACCGACACCAAGAATTGAGCGGACCACTGTGCCGGCTGCAAGGACGGAGGCAGCGTTCAGTAGATAACTGGCTGTCAGTCGACGATATCGGCAGACTCACGTGTCAACAAGGTAGTTGGACATGCCGAGGAAGAGCATGACGGTGCCGGCGCCGAATGGGATTGTGGCGATGATGCAGCCAATCCAATGGATAGTGGTGGGGACGCATGTCCACGCGAAGATGAACAGGCCGACGCTTGAGTTAGGCAAAACAGCGGATACACTCACGGAAGCAGGCTAGCGCCGAGAATTGTGCTGGGAAGACGCGCCTCCGGGGGCAGATACCCCATGCTGGCGAGACCGCGTGCATAACGCGGATTTTCGTAGAAGATAATGTACGCGAGAGCGCAGAACGCGCCGACAGTGACGCCAACAAAGGCAAGTGCGGCGATCCCGGGAGACCAGTTGCGGTAGCCTTGGAAGACGATGGGGAATGCTGTGAACTGCATGTAGAGGATAGCGAAAATGACGGCCATACTGGGGTCAGCGAGGACGTGGAGCTACACACTAGAGTGATGCGAAGAGCACGATGGGCTCAGTGAAAAAGAGGATGTAGGGGACACGGAGCTGGTTGAAGAAGAGCTGCTTGGTCTTGAGGGGCTTGCGCACGTCCTGCTCGCAAAGGTAGACTTTGCCTGTTGCGGCGTTCAGCTTGCGCGCGCGTGCGCGCAGCAGGACGGGTGAGTAAGTCTCGGGTAGCCAAAGCCAGCCGGCGAACGTGAGAACAGCCGAAAAGAGGGCAATGACAGCTGCCACCCACTGCCACTTGGCTTTCATGGAGAGGAAACCGCCAGCCACGGGGCCAATAGCTGGGCCGAGGAAAGGCATCGCGGAGAAGACGCCCATTGCGAGACCTCGATCTTTGGCGGCAAACATGTCGGCGATGACACCGCTGGGGGTCAGCTCTGTCGCGCCACATACTAACCCCGAGTTGGTCATGGTCGAGCTGCCAAATGTCCCGGCGAAGAAGCGCATGACGAGCAGGACGTTGAGTGATTTGGCACCGCAGACACCGGCGTTGAAAGCTGTGTACGGGATGTAGGTGAAAATGAACATGGCGCGGCGACCGAACACCTCAGAGCAGGGAGCCCACAGAAGCGGACCAACGACAAAGCCCAGAACAAAGATGCCCGTTACTGAGGTCAGTTCGATCACCGACGCATTCTCATGGCGAGAGAAATGTGACGAATGGGCGCCTCCGTCGTCTGCACGTACTCATGATGTACAGCATCTCATTGTATCCTGGGAACGATTGCATTAGGTTTGTGATGGCAGCAGAAAGCATCGATGAACCGAAACCCACAGCGAGCGTGCCGGTTGCGGCTGCTGTCAACCTCCCATTCACCTATCGGAGGGATCAAGCCAGGCCAGCTTGGGATAAATGAGCACTCACCCAGCATGGTGACGGACCACTTATACACCTGGCCATAGGTTTGCGGGTTCTCGGGGTCATTTGGCAGCCACGTCACAACGCATGGGTCCTCAGCAGTTCCAGCGCCCTTGTACTCGTGGGAGAGGATGTCGGCCCACGACGTGACGGCGCGGCGCCACGGGCGGACTTTCAGCGTGAAGTCTGGCGATGGCATTGTGGAGGCGGACGAGTCCGACGAGGCCTGCGTAGCATGCTTGAGTGACGTCGCCTCAGATGTTGAGACCATGAAAGCGGTCAGAGAGATGAGGGGGAGGCGAGCGAGATATCTGGAAAGCTAAGGAGAGTGGGGAATTGGAGAGGGCGGAACACAGATGAGGAGAAGAAATGACGGGTGTTAGCATGAGCGTTATGATGAGCTGGCAGCTGTCAGTTGCCCCGAGGCCGAGCCCGGCATTGAGAGTGTCAGTGGGCATGTTTGGGAGTAGTGTTGATGCACGGAGCGCTACTTGCCGGGCGCCGGTCAGCTGCCACGGCCGCCAGGTCAGCGGTGTGGTGCCTGGCTTGGATACCTGCTGTCGTCCACTCCTCGAGACATGCTATCCGCAACCACCAAGCCGATTTCTCAATGCATTTGACTATCGGAGACGACCTGAGATCACAAGACCTCAAAGCTCGGAGTATAGTCTTGGTCTGGGGCCATAGCGGAGACGTCAGCGAAACTCAAGAGTCGTTGTATTCCATTCCCCCTCGGCCACATCCGACGTGCATCGTCGGAGGAGGCCGTCGGCGCCCGGCGCGGAATCCAGTCCAAGCAGAGGAAGGTGAGCTTGGCACGGCTTGTTGCCAAACATAGAACTGCGCACGAGAGCACGGAGGTGATTCGGCGTGCCCTCGAGCTCGCAATGCAAGGCGCCCGCAGTCATCAGCGCTCAGCGCCGACTCATCGACACGAGACACACTTGCGCTGCCGGCCCAAACCCGTCCCTGCTCCGCTATATTAATTGCACCACTGCCCGTGCAGGCTGTTTCGCAGTGCCGCAGTCGGCGAATCGTGCTTGACGACTGTCCGCCTCCGGTTTTGCTGGGAGAGATCATCACCACTGCTACACTATCCAGAGCGGGTATCACATGCGGTTTATGGGACTTAGCTTCCTCAGAGGACGGTGTTGCTGGCCTATCGCAACAGAGTTCCCCTCGGTGCCTTCATGCTCACGACTTTCACTGGGGTATACTGACCCTTCCGACTTCAGCAGAAAACGCACAGTCTTGCCCAAGGATATTGTATGTGTGTGAGGGAAAGGTCGACGGAGGTTTCAGCGCACCTGCCGGCTGCCCAGCTTATCACCAAGGCTGTCGGCGGTGCGAAGGTACCGGTGGCAGATATCTTAACGCTTAACGACACCACCTTACTTGCCTCAGAAGCATGCAGGTTATTGCCGGTGATTCCGGACAACCTGTCACGCAGCGACAACCGCCCGTGGCTGGCGAGGAAACTGCTCGGTAGCAACATCTACTGCGATGGCTGATCGCACACATGGCAGCCATGACATCAACCCCGGCGTGCCTCATGCAGTTGGCATGGTGAATCCGCTGGCATGCCGCCCTGTATCCTTAATGTCCGGAAGATCGCTGCTGATGCTCTAGTAGAGCAATGACAGTGTCAGCAGCTGGCGTGAGGCGATTTCCGGCGGGTCGTGATGCATCTTTCGTACAGCTGACTGACATCAGGAACACACGAGCTTGATCGCCATTTCAATTTTGTCGAAAGATGGATTCGCACTTCCTTCGTCGTCGCAACGAGCTGGCACAGACATGACATGTACCGTACTTAACGTTGAGAGCACACTGCGCATGTCCCAACCGACGTGCTGTCTCGAGATATTCATCATCTCGAACTGAGCCATCTCACAAGCCTTGCAGCGCCTTCATTCTCCCAGCGCTCCTCGCAAACCACTTTCCAGAAGCGGTTTTCCCCACCCCGAGCGTTCGCTGCGTTGGGCGCACCCGTCATAGACGCCGACCAACAAACTTCACCTGGAATGCGGTTTTTCGTCGCCGTTGCTCTATTCCTCTCCACTGCACTCGCGCGGCCGCTACACGATCTCGATCCGCGGGACGTGAACCCTCCCTTGGTCATCGACGAGCCACAGCGGCCCCTCGCGCCCGAAGCGGTAGCAGTTTTCAGCGTCAGCATGTCCTCCGACCGAGCCTGCACTGGCGCACACATGCTCTTCGGCGCCTACAACACCAGCAGCACAGGATGCCTCGGTACGCGCGGTCCAGGATTCGGGAGCATGCGCGTACTCCTAGCTGGCGATCTTCCGCCGCGCGCGTGCCGAGCCCACATCTACGCTACTGCAAACTGTGAACGCGAGATCGGCGTCGCGGACGTCGGAGTAGAAGGCGTCTGCGTTTACCCGGGGGTGGGGCAGGTTGCATCAGGGTGGAAGGTGGTCTGCAGTGCGGCTTAGACAGAGATAGGTGAGATTTAGACACGGAGGTGCGGAGGGGGATAAGGAGCGACTTGATGAACGATCGAAGAAGGACCACATTCATTGCCTAGACATATGTTTAAATTGTAGCGTAGAATCGTTGCCAGCGGTGGCGGCATGGGTCTTCCCCTGATTCAAATGCGTATCCGCTTCCAGATTCTTATGATATGTTCGGGATAACCGATATAGAGACGCTGGCTGCTATTTCCACCACCAAGCAGCGGTGAACAATGATCTGCATCAAGCGTGGGTCATACTGTCATAATCAGAAGGGTCTCCAAAACCAGCCACACAATTCACAAATTCGCAGCAATCGCAATCAACTTCTGTTGGCCCATTGGCCCATCTCCGAACTCTTACCCCTCCGAGCCACCTGTTCCCCCTCTTATACTGTATGGTCACTGAGTGCACCACGGACCGACCTTACTTGCCAAGTCGCAGCTGGCATTCCCGCCATACATGAGGAGGTCTTTGCTTTGATTGTTGTCAGGATTACAGTATCGGCCCAGGTACAGGCACCGCCCGCAATGTCGCGTATCCAAGGCTCAACTGCGATATGACGGCAGCCCGTGTGACACTGGTCGGTCGACTGATGCTGTACGAAAATGAGAGGATCAAATCTCGACCGTGGGAGTAGCATCTCGTGCTCTCACAAACCTCTGCCCCATGCTTCGGGAGGGTACAGTCATATCGTTCCATCCTGAACGTATCTTCTCCCCACGCGTCCAGGTTTGGCCAGTTCACGCTTGCGTCGGAATCACGTACTTCAACCAAAGCGCTCCCGACTCCCGGGGCCTGGTGGCTCATGTCGCTCATAGGTTTTGTATCCCTCAGACATGCGCGGCCACGACGTCGCATCGGAACATTGTCTCGTCCTCCGCGTAGCCCTCACGCTTCTCGTAATACAAGAAGGCGAAGCAGTCGGACCATGGCTGACGCCGCGCCAACCCGCGTGCGTCTTGCAATGTGAACGGCTTAGTGCCTCCGGGGAGACGGGTGTCGCGGGGGTCCCCATATCCCTCACGCGTGGCAGGTCGCTCGAGCAGCATATAAGCCAGCATTTGTGTCGCTTATGGGCATATGTCGTCAGCACCCAACAGTTAGTACACCGTCGAACCCGGCTCACACAGATGCTCACTTCCCTCATTGCTGCCACTGCTCTAGCCGCATCCGTCGGCGCTGCGCCCACCGAGCGCCAGGTTTGGTGGCCCGGCCTCCCCGACGATGCCCCGTGGTACCGCGTCACGTGTTACACGAGCTCGCGCTGCCCCCAGACCGACTCTGGGTCCGCCTACCGCCTCGACGTGAACAACACCCTCACGACTGCCTGCACCCAGCTCCCGCCCAGTATGCGGTCGTGCCGTCTCGAGCGCTTCCCCATCGAAGGCGGCGTCCCCGAGGAGAACGGATGCACACTCTCGCTGTACTGGCGCCACCGTGATGGCCAGTGCCAGAACAAGGTCATGGACCTCAACCCTCTTGTGTGGCAGTGGGGCTGGACTTGTGGCTCCGTCTGGGGAAGCAGCATCCAGGGCTACTCGGTTGACTGCAGCCAGCCTGCGCCGGGCGGCATGAGCCGCTTTGCAGCCCCGGAGATTCAGAAGGGCGAGAATGCCGAGGCCGAGTATGGTATCGGCGGCCAGTAGTTAAAATACAGTAACAGATGGACTTGGTTCTGAAATGACCTTTCCAGCTGATTGAGTGGGTGTTTGATTGACAGTGCTACGCGACCTGGAATGTCAACCTGGGTCTGTTGTGCTACTCTACCACGGCAATCATTTGGCATCTCTTTACTTCCGGTACGTCCAGTTTCCGCCGAGCATGGTGCCACAGGACACCATTCGTCTCAACTCAGCGGCGTCGAGAGCGAGCGGGTCGCGGTCCAGCACCACAAGATCGGCGCGATCGCCCTCCACAATATCGAGGCGCCCGTTGTGGGTAGACGCCCGGTACGCGACTTCGAGGTCAATCAGGTGCTGAGGGCAAAAGGTTTTCTCGCCCTCCCCGGCCCGGCTGATGGCAACGGCCATCGCCTCCCACGGCTGCAACGGCGCGACAGGACAGTCGGTCCCGAACTTCATGGGAATGCCAGCGTCCACAAACCACTTGAAAGGGAAAGTGCGACCCTCGCGCCCCGCCCAGAAGGTGTGGCAAAGCTCACGGTCGTCCACCATGTGTCTAGGCTGTACAGAAGCGATAAGGCCAAGCTCCGCGAACAATTGTATGTCAGACTCTTGAACGAGCTGCGCGTGTTCGATCGTCGAGCCGGGTAGAGCCTGTCGGCCTGCGTCAGACTCCGCTTTGAATGTCTCGAGGATCAAGTGCATCGCCTTGTCCCCGATCGCGTGCACCGCGAGTGTCAATCCGTGCGTCGTCGCCTTGGCCATCTGCGCCGCCAGCTTGTCTTTCGTGAACACGAAGAGGCCGCGGTTCTCCGTGCCCGGATATGGGTCGCAGCAGTAAGCTGTCTGCGAGCCCAGACTGCCGTCCGTGATGAGCTTGTGTGCGCCTGCCAGCACCAGCCCGCGCGTCTTTGGTACCACATCACCGGACTTCAGGCCCGCTGAAATTGCATCGTCCAGGTGGGGCACATAGAAACCAATGTGGACACGCAGCTTGTCGAAGCCGGCCGCGACGCGGCGCTGCCAAACGGGGATGTTGTGCTCCATCTCGAGGTCGACGATCTCCGTCACTCCGAGACGAGCGGCTGCCGCAGCCTCGTCGGCGACCCATTCGTCCAGCACCTTGACATCGGCTGTATCCTGCAATTTTCCCCACATGGCGAACGCAGTTTCCTCCTCCAAGTATCCATTCGGATAGTCGGCACAAGTGTACCCGCCGATTGCCAGAGCCGGAGTGTTCAAGTACCCTGAATGGTAACCGTTCGCGATGATAATGAGAGGCTTCGGCGAGAGAGCATCGAGCGCCTCGAGTGTGAGGTTGTCGCGATCCCCCCATGCTCCGAGGCGGAGGTTGATACACACGAGCCGGCCCCCTTCGTCATGCCTTGAGTCCGATAGGGCTTCCTTCACGCGAGTGAACACGCCCGCCACGCTTGTGCAGTGGTACAGATTCAGTCGCCGCGACGCAACGGAGTTCATCGTAAAGTGGGTGTGCCAGTCAATGAGGCCCTTGAATTAGCGAAGAAAGCGAGGGGTTACAGCTCGGAAAGACTGAGCCATGGTCGGGGCAGCGACGAGCAACCTCGAGTTGGGCTCTCCACTGTCCATCCAAGACATCGAGTTGACCAATTTCACGATACCCATGGGCAGGTCATCACATACAGGGGATATCCACTTTCCCGTTAGGTCTACGACCTCGGCACCTTTCGTGTCGACCTCCGTGCCGATGTGCTGAACCATTCCATCAGCGATACGGACGGTGACCGGGCCTTCGCCGGGACGGCCGACGAGGTTGGCGTTTATGAAGACGGTGGGACGTGAGGGTGTTGGAACGTCGAGGGAGGACGGAGCCATGGTGTGTTAAGAGCTATGGAGAGGAGGAGATAGTCAAGGTGGTGTGAGGGCGACATGGATGATGATTCTGCTCGTGCGGGGTATCTAAACAATACATGCGGGCACGCGGCTCATCATGTGGTCATCCAGCGGAAAACGAGCACAGGGCGGTAATCAATTGATCGGTTGTCGGATATGGTAGTTCCCAAAGGGCCGAGGAACGTAAACACTGTCCACCGAGCCTGTAACCGAGGGCGTGCAGGTTCAATCTCGGCCAAATGGGTTTATGTGCGGATGCGCAAGCTGGCATATTGTGGGAGCTCTTCACCACTGTTAGCGGGACTGATGCGCTGTAATTAAGGGTGTCGGTCGTCTGTGGCAAGACATCTCAAATATGGACTTATAGGCGGTACAACAAGGGCTACACGGTGTAAGTCGGAGCTGAGAAACCGAAATCAAGTGGCCTCGCGACGTTCATCAACGCAAATACACAGCGCTGCCATAAGACAGATGTCAACGTTTGGCGCAATCGTCAAGATGTACTGACGTCAGTACAAATGACGAACCGGCAAGCCCAGTGCGACGTACAGTGTTTTGTCCGAGAATATCGCGCTTAGTCAGACGCCTCATGATCACTGCGATAAGGTGGCCATGCCAGAAGACCTCGACGATGTCGCCTGGCCATCGTCCCTGGATCGTGACCGTCTCGGGGGTGTGCGTGAAGGTGTTAACGAAAGTCGCATCGAGCTTGGTGTCGGCTGTGGTGAGTACGGCACAAGCATATGGGGAGAAAGGGCCGATCATAGCTGTAGAATCCACTGGCCCCTTCGACAGCCATGACCGTGAGATCGGCGGGGATGTCCAAAGCCTCACTCGCGCATCGACTCACCCGTCACGACTGGGCTGTGCACAGTCAAGACCTCACGCTGGGACGAGTCCAGCCCCGTGAAGGCATACTTCTTTTCTTTCAAGCTGAAGACCGTATGGCCATAATTGTCGATGAAATCTTGTATTAGTGCTTTGCCCAGGGCAAGGGAAGCGACTTTCGCAGACCACGCGCTGCCGAATAAGCACCTACCCTTTCTCCGAGCGAATCCGAAGCGGCTCTTGAGGCTGAGAACGGGCTGGTTGTCGATGTCACGAATGGAGAAGTTGTCCTATGCGCGTTAGGACTGAAAGAGGGGGGCATGGAGGGGCATGGCTCACCAGCGACTCCTTCAGAATCAGCGTCACCTGGCTTCCGATTGCGAAGCCAGGCACGACCTCAAGCTGGGTAGGTGCAGGGTACAGCATCGGGATCTGGGAGCGGTCGATGTTCATGATTGCTGTTGTTGTGCCTCGCGTTAGCTGGGGAGGTGCCGTGCACGAATTTGAGAGTAATGGAGCGATGAACAACTTGTGATGTCTGGGAGGGGTAATTGTTGTTCCCGGATGTGCCGGTGGAGGCTTGTCATCGGGCGTCTGTTATTGAGATCACGCGACTCGCTCGGTCACATTCACACGTCCTGCAGCGCTTCGCACAGCTTCCTATTACTGTGGCTGGAGTGATGTGTACCTGGACCGGTGCCATTCATTGATTCATAAGAGACCGACGCATTGTTGGCCTCATCTAGGGATATGCTTCTCACGTCATGCTTGTCATGCAGGCTAATTCTCCTCGGGGCCGATCTGCCGATCCATTGAGAAGGATCTAACGAACAACGACGCCAGGGGGGCAGCACACTGAGCCCTTATCGCGAGGTCATGTCAGCCTGTGGACGTCAGGAAGCAACAGATCGCAGCGTCTGTAATCCGAAAGCGCTGCTCAGCTACTGCTCACCAGGCGAAAGCTGGTTGAAAACGCGACTCGTGAGAGGTCTCCCTGTAATTTCCGCCCTTACTTTCCATTTTGCGACCTCTTCCCATGCGTGGCTTCGCGAGAGTCGCTGGGGTTAGCTGTAATTGAGGCCAATCAGCATGACAAGGATGCTGCTCAGATGTGAACAATAGTTTGGTCGGGCCATGTATACTACACTAACACTCTACTTAACTGGTGACGAGAGGAACATATATCCTCAGCTGTATTCGGGATCATCCAGGAGCAACTGTGATGCACAGATGGCTGTGCGCGTGTCCAACTTCAAGGACAAAGCTTGCGTCAGATCTCGAGAAGACAAGAGCACCGCATCGAGGCTGGCCGAAATGAAATTTGTCCAACATCCATGCCACCGACAAACATGCCTATGCAGCTGAACTCTACATTGGCTCACGCTGTAGTGCGACCGCCCTCTCCTCTCCAGTCAGCTGTGAGGTCGATTAGAGTGTGCCATGCTTGGCCGCAGGAGAAATGGAGGCGGTTGACAATCCCTCGGTCCTCAGCTCGTTCACCTCTTCAGGGCGATTTCAGCTCAATTCCGCCCTTCTGCCCGCGCTGATCTACGTCACAGGGCGTAAGCTTGACCGACCAGCCGTCCTCGACCTGCCTCTCGCTTCGCAATCTGCTGCCATTTCGCCGTATGGTCCATCCCATGGGCCAGTCTAGGGATCCTTAGGCTTCCGATACGGTGGGCAGCGATCGACAGGCCCGCACTAGCCGTGCACCCAGATCTCTCATTTCCCCAGGGCCGCCGGCATTGAACTTAGCCTGCCAACAGTCGGCCATGCGGCCAGCTGCCAGTGCCCAGCCACCATGGTCATGTAAGTGGGATGGTCGCCCAAGCCCAGCGCTCGGTGACAACCCATTTTCCCAGCCCGTTGCCTTCAATTATGCTCACCTCACCATGCGTTTCGCCTTGATTCTGTCGTGCGCTGCGCTCGCGCGTGCGCAGTACTCGGCGAACGAGGGCGCAATCGCCTCAGCCGCTACATCTCTGCCTGCCACTCCGACGCCTCAGGCCGCGCCGTCTCCCACAGTCAGCGCCGCTGTCATCTTCCCCTCCGCCGATAGCTCGTGGTCCCACAACGGCACGGCGTACTTCAAGTACTCGTTGCCCGACGGTGTGAGCCCGAAGAGCATCGTCTACGTCCTCTCCAACGACAACTCGGCGCTTCTCAAGGCTGGCAATTCAGATTTGGACGAGTTGAAGTCCTACTTTGTGTTTCAGAGGCTGATCCGTAAGTTTTGTCTCCAGGCTGCGCCCTACGGCCATTGTAACGTTGTGTCCACGGTGGTGGACCTTCAGAGTTACGGCGCTGATTTCAGGATCGACGGCGCAGCCGGCTGGAACCGGGACATACTGGATCAAGTGGATTCCTGCGTACGGCGACAATCCCGATGATGTGCAGCCGGGCTCGGGCTTCAAGGTCGGCGTGGCTTACCGTCTTGGTGAGTGGGAGGGTGCAGAAAGACACGGAGGCTCGGCTTTGAATGGAGAGGCCGTCAGCACTCGTGTATGGTTGGGTGAGGCGGCATATAAGGCCAGGTGTGTGTGGGAGTTTGTTTTGCAAGCTCATTGTCTGACCTTCGCCGGACTCGTGCCCCGGCGACGAGGCGAAGCACGGTGGCAGGGGTGTAGATTTGCGGAGTGTTGATCTGCGGATCGACGCGCTGACACATAGGCGACACCACTCAGCCGCTCCAGTTCGCCTGGTCTGTGCCCTTCGAGATCCGTGCCGATGGAGCAGACAGTCTTCCGGCTGATGTGTCGGCGTACCCAGCGAACGCAACTATGAGCAACTGGAATCCGCCCAATGGACCGACGCAGTCTGCCGTTTTGAGTGGTGGAGGCCTCAGCCTCGCCCCACTTCGGTGGGGCGCGAGCGTCGGCGCCATAGTGGCGATGGCTGTGGGATTGTGACCTTTGCCCCTCGATGGGGCATATGTGGACAGTGGGAAGAGTATGCGGCGAGGGAGGGTTGTCGAGATGAGAGACGTTGATTGTCATATTCACGGACGTGACAACCCTGGGTATTATAGGTGATGAGACGCGTTATAGCAGTGCACGATGTCATGTAATGTTGTCTGCAGGGTCTCAATGGCAGGGCTGGCGCAGTGGGTTAGCGCCCATACCGGAAACCCTCCCTCCGTTGATGCATAACCTCGCGCTCTGCACCCCAGGCTCACTAAGACACGTAGATGTACATTATAATGGCTCTTCTACCTCTGCGGTCGTGGATACCGATGCGCCGGGGCTGCGACCCCCGGCGCGACTACTTCGAAACAGGAGTCTGCGCTGGCGCTGCTCCTCGCGGCAAGCTTGCCCCTTGCAATGTCGCGTTCGCGGTGGAAGACGCGCTCAGCGGGGCCTCCTGCTGAGTGTACGTCCCATTGATGTACGGCTCTTTCCACGGCGCGAGCGGTGTTAGGGCGCTGGTCGACCCCGTCGTCGCAGACCTTCCGTCGGTACTCCATTCCGGCTGATATTGGGGCGGAGGGTCGAGTGCACCGGCATCAGTTTCCTGCATGGGCGGCGGCTGCGTGTTGTAGTCTGAAGTGCCGAACGGAACGAAGCCAGCGTTAAGCCCGGCGAGAGCCGCGGCTTCCTCCCTTTCGCGACGCTTGCGGGGGCGACGGACGAGGAAGTGGAAGCCGACCGAAACGAGGATAGTCAGGCCGGCGACAGCCAGCTGACGTTAGCCCCAACAGACCGCACAGTGTATATATGCGCCCGATCTTCTCTCCACCTCCGAACTATCATCGAATGCTAAGCACTCACAATAGCGCCAACAATGACTCCAACAGGGGTCTTGCTACGGCCTGGGTCTGAGACAGGCGGTTGTGTCGGTTCTGTTCTGTCGTCAGCAGAGGGCCGCGCTCCTAGCATACATGTTGGCGCTGTAGAACGTCACTGAGCTTAAAGCCACAGCGCCGAGCCTCGACTGGGCGATATCGAGCATGTAGTCGAGGTCGGGATCTAATCGTTGCGCGTAAAGAATCTGTTCAGATACCCAAGGGCTGTCCGCGCTCCCGCCTTTCACCGAGCTCAAGCTCCCATTTGGAGGTGCAGGAGTCCACTGATAAGTCGGGAAGGATCGACCGGGGCCGACTGTTCCTCTGATGAGAATGAAAGCGGTCGCGGGTGGTATTTGGATCGTCACATTGGCTCTCGTCTCCCCTGGTGGGGCGTAGAGCTCCGTCAGGTTGCTTGGGAACACTGTCATCAGCACGACAGGACCCCCTGCTACCACGACATACTGGTGCCATAAACCGTCGAGGTATTGACAGTCCATGATGAAGAATCCACCTGAAACTCGGGGTTGGGCTTGCCATCCACGACGAAAGGAGTTGCGGTTTGGGGCACCTTGTCGAAGCTGTTCCTGTCCCCAATTAGCACGGCTGGACGTTCTATGTCGTAAGGCGGAGATTAGACTTACGCCTTGCTCCAAAGAGCCGTCGTAATAATAACATTGCGCACGTTGTATACACTCGGTGCCGCGTCCGTGATCGTAAACTCGACCAGATGCGGCTGCTCCGCGCTGAGGTTGCTGACTCGTGCAAGCTGGCCGGAGGACAGTTTGAGGCCTTGCGATGCGGTGACGTTGGTGACTTGTCCATCACCGGGCCCCTTGCCGGCCTCTTCCTCGTACACCGTGACCGTAGCGGAGATCGCGTTGTCGGCAGGCGGCGACCCATTAACATCGCCCATCACGATAACATCCGACGCGGACAGCCCAACGGAGAAGCTGGGCCTCACGACGCCCTCCCAAGTTGAGGTGTTGATGTAATGCAACGATTCCCCTATACCCGGCTGACCCTCAGTATACGTGGACCAAGCTGATTGACTAAAGGACGAGTTCCATCCACCGGGACCAGCCGGCGTGAACTGAACGAGGGGGGACTGGTCCGTGACGGAGAGCTGAAAGGGAACAACGTTGTGCGTTGCTGCCACCACGCCAGCGGCAAGGAGTAGAGCGAGCATTGCGGGGGCGCAAGCGAAGCCGGTACCCAGAGGATTATAGTGCGACAGGAAATTCTTGAGATGCCAGTGGTGTCGATGTGGGGGGTGAAGTAAGTGTCACCGAAGGAGCTGGAGCGGGGACATATTGCCCTCCCCCGACCAGTGATAAGGGCATCTGAGGGGAGGCACCGCAATCCAGGGTGGGTCGAAGCACCACGCCAAGGCAGACCCCAGCTCTGGCGCAGGCTGGCACAATGCAGAGAACCAGGAATGCAATTGAGCGATGCCAAGACAACCGCGTTACGCAGTCGTGTCCGGATGGCCGGATACCAAGATGATGTACAAAATATGAGCACATACGTACTCAGCAATGCCAGCTACACAGAGCGGTCAATGCCGCACAGAAAATCCGCTCCGACTTCACATGCTACAAAGGAATGAATGAACGTGAACACCCTTCGACAGGGCAGCGCAGCCCTGACAGCTCAACATACTATCACCTCACCTTCTCGACGTTGTCAAACTTCCTCCTCCCCATCGCCACCCCACGCTCGCTTTAAACAGGTCAAACAAAGATCAACAAGCTCATCATGAGGCTCGGACGGTCGTATCAGGTGTGCATCGCGGTGCTTGCACTGGTCGACAGTGCGTACGCCGCCGATCCTTCATGGCAGCCCATCTCCTTCACTATCGATCCAATGTCACCAATGGTTCTATGGTCACCTTTGTGGAAGCCGGCATTCGGGGGTGTGACCAATCCCTCCCGCTTTCAAGTGGGATGGGGAGCCTCTCAGCGCATTCTCAATACCGCGGACGTCCCGCCTGAACGTCAGGGCGATATCAACGCTACCGGCTTCATCATCTCGCCCTTCGTAGGGAGTGAGCTGAGGGTGTACGGTGGGCGCGCACCTTCACTCCCCAACGCCACAGACATCTTCCGTGCCATTGTTAACGACGTCGCAAGTTCCACCGGCGTGAGCGCTCCGGGAAAGAATGGCTCAGCGATCAGCATCGATCTCTCGACCAACATTTCGTCGATCCATGTCTTCGCGGCGGAAGGTGAAGGTGTACTCACCATTGACGCTCTCCAATACACCTCGCGCATTGCTACCAACTTGTGAGTGAAATTTTATCATATGGGAACTCTACGTTGTGTCGTTATTCACCGTGTTTAAGATGCTGATATCAGCACTTCTGCCGATCAAATCCCTCGCGTCACAGAGTATTTCATTACGGATGGGGCTCTTAATCCACGCCTAACCTGGGAGAACCACACCACAGACCCATCAGCACGCTGGCGCGTTCAAAAAGGTGTCGCGGATGTGATGGAGGTTGCTGCATCTCCCATTCCCACTGCCACTGCCACGCAGCCGCTCACCGGCCCCGTCAGAGACTCTGGGCCAAGTGCCTATTGGCAGGCTGTGTCTGCTTCCAATGACACCAGCTGTAGGCTTACAGTTCCGGCCGGTACATCGTTCTTGGTTATCAATGGAACTACGGGCCTTGGTAGGGGGGTGTTGGCAGCAGAGTTCCAACCATTGCCGCCACTCCCTCGCGGTCGAAGCAACGAGACCCCTTCCGACATCGCTTCCGAGCAGTTCAACTCCGCAAATAGCTCGTGGGCCGCCGACACAATCCTGTATGTGCGCGAGTTGGATCCGACCGTGCAATACAATTTGAGTGTGCGCTCCGCGGCCTCGGAAAAGGGAAATATTGGCATTCACAGCATCACCTACTTCTATGGACTCGATACGTAAGGACTACACCACCTATTCCGGCGCTGATTTGCTAGCGGGGATAAACCCACGACTGCGGCCAAGTCCAATACCGCGGCCATCGCCGGCGGCGTCGTCGGCGGTGTGGTGGGAGGTCTGCTGCTGACCTTTGTGGCCGTATACCTGTGCATTTGGAGGCCCAGAAAGCGGAAGGAAAGGGAAGAAGCCGAGCGCGAGGCCAACATCGAGAACTCGCGCTTCACGCCGTTCGTCCAGCCGCAACTTGGTAGCGAGGCGCACATCAACACTGTTCCGCCAAGCTATGACCCGGCGTGGGCGGGCGCATTCCCCCGCGAGACGAGCGCTCCGCGCACCAACAGCGAGAGCGACGCACCCTTATTGGGAACCGCAAGCGAAAAGCAGTTGTACACAGATCACTCTGGGCTCTCAACCCCGTCACCGTCCGTGGTGCCGGACTGGAAGAGGCCGTATCTTCCTGAGAGTCATGGCGGTGTTCCGCTCGGTCGCGCACCGAGTGCCACAGAAACGTCTGGTCCACGAGGTTTTTTCCGGAAGAGGACCTCCACCACTGGGACCTCAGAGCAGACCTTGACTACAACGGCCGGCGCATTCAGCGAGAAGTCCAAGCAAAGCCCCCAGGACGGGTACAGTGAGGCCATGTTGCGCGCCGTAAACCCCGACCCATAGTAAGATGTGGTTGTATAGCCTATGTGTATGTACCAAGATGAGGTCTTCGACGAAAAACGACATTAGATAAGGGGAGATAGGGTTTAACTTAAGTACGGTTCTAATCGTCTTCATCAAGCTTCCGCGACAGCAACAGGAACGGCCGAGGTCACCTGCCACGGAAGGTTGGCAGCCGCCCGATTGCCAAGCGGTCACTTGACGCAGGCCCACCCGCTGTCGCGATGTCAGCTGTATCGAACCGCGGCTGTGCGCTAAACGGAACTGGTCAACCTCAGTCCACTTGTTCACAACTGCCGATACAGCGGCGATGGAAGCAGGCCAGCTCCTCTCAGAGGCTCTCATTAGCGCGCTCGAATCCAGCGAATCTTGGCCCGGAGCGCGGCCGTGAGTGGCATCGGTGTTGTTGTCTCACGGCAGAACAGCAACAGGGGACGCGACAAGGGCTGATGAACCTTTGAGGCCGACAGTCAGCACTCGACCAGGACTTGATCCTCGGCCACGACCAACCGCGCAGTCCCCGCTCAGTACGCCCCCAAGCGACGCTTTTGTGCCCAGTGGAGCACAGGCGGCTGGTTCTCCCTCGACCGTCCCATTGCCAAGCAATGCCCAGGCGGTGAGCTCGCCGGGCAAGTTGAATGTCGGGGCTATTGTCGGTGTTGTGAGTATGACACGTGCGCGGCTGACGAGAGGTTGGCGGGGTCATCGGTTGCATTGCGCTCGGAGCGTTGGTGTTCTACTGCTGCGGGTGGCGGCGCAAGCGGGCACGGCACACCATCCAACGAATTGAGGAGACTAGGGAGCCACAACAGCGGTTCGAGATAGACGAAGTGACACTGCCTCCAGCGTACGACCCACAATGGAACGCGGAACCACTCTCGCCAATATCGGTGGCGCAGCTGAATGAGAAGGGGCGTCTAAGGTGGTAGAGTTCGGCAGGATGGGGTTCAGTGTACGTCGGATTAATGAGGCGGAGATGATTTATGACCACGAATCCTCGGGCCATGGGAGTTAGCTGAGCAGTCATACATGTGTCCAGTTCCGTCTACGTCCAAAGTTTATCGATCACGAGCGAGCAAGATACTACTAATAATAACACCCCTAGCCTGGTTTCCGCTCTACCAAGGTTCCGGGACGACGCAGCGCTAGACTGAGAAGGATTGGTTGCTCTGCCCATTAGCGGTCACCGACGCATTGCTCACGCTGCGTTGCCCACCGTGATCGTCCTTATAGGAGGGAGACTTGAATTATTTCCAGCTGACTGGGTTGGTGCTTGCCCGTATGTGAAAGTCGCCCCATAAGCTTGCCCATCGCCAGCCACCCATGAGGGATCCGCCGTGGGGTCCCGGAGGAACCTGACGCACGCCTCGCCCAACTGCAACTCCCAGATGCGGTGGTCTTTCCGCCGATTCTCCTGGTTGCAGTGGAAGCAGTCCGCGATTTCGCTCCACTTCTGCTAAGGTCAGCGATTCCTTGCTAGGGCGCACATAGCAGTGCTGAAGGCACTTCGTGAAGTTGACGAAGATAAGGCAATCGTCCCACACGCCATCTCCTTCAACGCAACGCGGCTCACACGGCCCTAGGTCCATAGGGATCCCCGCGCGCTTTGTATGCCGCGCCTCTTCTCTCATAACTTGCAGTTCTCCGGCCACAGAGATGAGGACATCCAAAGCCGCCTGTACGCTGGAGGCAGCTGAGACGGCCGTGGTGGACAATGCTAGGGTCAGCTTTCGACGCTCGCTGACACTTACCAAGCCATGCGAACGCGAGGTTAAGGCGCATGCTGGTTGACTTGGACTAAGCTCTTTCTCATGGTGATCACTCATCTTCATGAGGCTGCCCCACTGTCACGCTTTCTTCTCCACCCTTGTAATGCGGCGGGCGGGCAGGTTGATGCCGCGACCAAGACGGCAAAATGGACGTGATCAGCGCGGTTATTGCACCAGCCCGCGCAATATACGTGCATGGCCGGCGAAGCCTGGCTTGGCTCCACGGCGAACCGCCGCCGGGACGAGATGATAGCGATTCATTGTGAGCCAGACCACTGGCGCCTACTCGGTTGCGAGCTAGCCACCGAGCCCGCTCGGCGGCATGGGCGGGTCGGCTGAGACTCATGTCAGCTGCCCCCTCATATGGATGATCTGCACTGTGCCTTACACCGGGATTCAATCTGCACCCTCCGAAAGTGCCGGCTTGCTGGCTGATGATACATGATTGTGCCCGCGACTCTTCTTCGCTCAGTGGGATGCACTCGGCGCCCGCCCCACCTTGATTTTGCTGCTGTGCACTCCACTACTCGCTTGAGCGTAGCCATCCTCCGTCCGAACAACGCGCCGTCCATTGAAGTCGCTCTCAGGTGTAGCGACATGGTGGCGTCCAAGCGCCCACCGGAGCGCCTACCCTTGGCTCATATATCCCTCTTGGCAATCGCCTTTGTTTGTCTCGCTCGCCCAGCCTGTGCGGAGTACAAGTACTTCTCCTTCGAGTACAACATCACCGACATCTCGCCGTTGTTGAAATGGGGCATCCCGCGGCTCCATCCACTATGGGCTACCAACTTCACCAATGTCACCTCAGCCTACTCAGCTTCCGTCTACTCCCCGTGGACTTCGTTTTCCAACTACACCGGTCCAGTGGGTTGGGGAGACTCGTATCACAGTGTTCGGCCGCAGCCTGGAGCAGAGCCACCCCGCCTCGTCCTGATCACGGAGACCACCGGAGTGCGGGTCAACGGCTCACGAGATCCCGCGGCCGAAGGGTCTGCCACGGAGATTGAGTATAGCGTCGACAAACTCAACACAGACCTGAGTCCCGATTCTGTCGCGCCAGCACCAACAAACGATTCCTTGTTGTCACTGCAAGACCTGAAGTGGGGCATGCGCACCGTCGTTATGAAGGCCATGGACCCGGCGCGAACTTACACTGTACGCGGGGTTGCGATCAGGACTCAAATAATGTCGAACGCGTGAGTGTCCACACTGGCCGGAACTTACATCAGATCCTCATGGAGTCAAGTTCCCGTATCTTACGAATCTTTTGTGGTTGATGAAAAACCCAACCCACGCCTTCGCTATGGGGGTACCAACACCTCCCACTGGCACCCAGAGAACCGAAGAACATCTGTGAATGGTATGTTTGGGATTTGTGGGCTTGGAGGGGGGGAGGAAGATGGCCTGACACGTAGGAGGTCCAGCAATTGTCACTGAGCTGGTGGCTGGCAACTCGTCAACGGTCACAATCCCCGTTCCACCTGGCACAACGTACCTTCTGCTCAATGGTACTGTGGGCCCCGACAGGGGTGACGCGCTGGTCAAGTGGAATCCCCATCCACCCGACTTCCCCTCCGAGGGATGGTACTTCATTGCGACTTGCGGCTGGTCTGCCCCCGCACTGCTGTATGCCAAGTATCTGGATCCCGATGTGGTCTACAACCTTACGATCCAGACACTAAGTAGCGAACTGTACAACGTGACCAACATTGGGCTTCATATGCTCACGTACTACTCCGCTTGGGCAAGCGAGTGCGTCTTTGGCAGGGCAAGCTGATGGCAGGGAATCAACGGTTGCTGCAGCCGAAACTGTGACAGCCACGAAGAATAACCGTGGTAAAGTCATCGGCGGGGCGGTGAGTGCTCACTAGCGCCAGAGCTAAGCCCAGATCGGAGGGGTGCTAGGCGTCCTTGTCCTCACTGCCATTCTAGCCCTCTTTTGGAGGCGTCGGCGGCGTCAAAGTATGGCGGGCGCTGACTCGCCGCGCGACCTGGATCACCGCACCTCCCCATACATGCGGGAGGTGGACGGCGGTTCAATTCATTCTGCTTCATCCTCTCAGCACCTTCGCACTCTCCCTCCCTCGTACAACCCACAATGGTCCTCACGTCTGCGCCTTGATACATTGTCCGGGGCCGCACCTCGTGGGCGGCCTGCGCTGCCATCAGCGGCTCCGCTGAGTCCAGGCTTTGCTGGGCCGACGGGCGGGTTCTTCAAACGCCTTCAACCCCAGCCTCAGCCCCAGCCCAAGGCTACATCAGCCAAGGTCACAACAGCCGCCTTGGCCGACTACAAGCAGCCCTATCTTACTGGAACGTTCGAAGGCTTCAACGCGGCCCCGCCTCGAGACGCAGTCGACCCTGGCTCACATCCAGAGGCCCCAGCCCCTCAAGCGGCACCACCCAGCTTAACCGAGCAGGTTACGCCGGTCAACGACGTGCCGTTGTCATCAACACCGAGGAGCAGGCGCCCACTTCCGACGCCCCCAATCGGGTCCAAGTAACTGTGGCGTCTTTGACGGTGAAACGTCAAACTCGTGATGGGATATAAGCTTTAGTCAGTTACCTTATCGTTCTCATTATGCACAATACTGCCATTTGCTGCAATGTCATTAGTCAGTCACTTGGCGCTTGGGCAGTCATCAAAACGGCAAGCCTGATGCTATTGAAACACGGTCTTGAGGCGTTGCGCTCGGCTGCGAATGTTGGTCTCACAACCAACATACTAATCGTTCATCCCGACAGACGCCGATGTCTATACTGGCCATTGCACGACCCCCTCCAATGTTCGAAGCTCAGGTCCCGGTGTCAGAGACGCTATAAGACGTACTTGAGACAGCGAGTTGAGGTGTGGAGATGTGGGGCGTCGTTTTCCCGCGCATGTCCTACCTTTTGTTTGCACTTGAGGCTGCTGCCGAACTCGCAGGTTGCAGCCGTTGCAGGTTCGTACTTGTGCGGGACGTTGCCCCTAACAGCACCCCGGGTGTGGGGTATGTCAATGTTTGTGGGGAACTGGATTGGCCCCACCTCAGGCTGCTCCTTGCCGTGTCACGCTCCAAATGTGCTTTTGCTTGGCGAAGGAGACAAAGTCGATCGCAACAGGCGAGGCCTTAATACGCCCGCCCTCGGCGTGCCTTGTGTCATTTCAGAGGGGTTCGACTGCTCAGTTCTGTTGGATGACAGCATCGGGCCAACCGTGTCAGGTGCGCTGGCAGGTGACCGACCCCCCTCTAGCGAGCCAAGCGCGTGGCTCGTTAGGAGGGGGTTGGGGCACGCACGCGAGAATCGTCGCTCTGCCTGGCTGCGCCGGTGCGCCTCGCCTGGTGCGCCGGAATACGTACGCAATGCCTACCTCGTTGGTTCCACAGTGCGCAGTCCCTCTCTGAAAGCGCCGCCCGTTCGTGCGGTGCACGACACCCGGCAGAGCCGGCACAAACTCACCACCACGCCCATGAACACTTTCTCCACAACACTCCGAACCAGACAAGATTGTTCGCTTCTCTGGACACGAAAGAAACGATCCCAGCACACCACGGATGCGGCATGTGCGCGCGATCCTTGCTTTGCTGGGGTCCACCATGTTGAGGGCTGCTGCGACCAGCCTGAGTGGAGGTCCGTCCGACACAAGATCCCTCGCACTAGCACATCCCATCTCGAACCTTTCCATCTCTTTCGACATAGACAACACCAGCCCCATCTTACGCTTCCACGGCGCGTGGGAGCCAGATTGGTCTGACACACTGCGAAGGGAGGTGTACACAACGCAAGGACCCGCGCGCGCCTCGGTGGAGCTCGCTGTCGAGGGCACCGGGCTCGTGCTATATGGTGCGCGCGACCCGCCATCACCCTCCGCGTCGGCCATCACTGTTCGCGATAACGCCGGGCGCATATTGCAGTCTGCACGCGCGACGGATGGAACTCTAGTCGATGTGCGGAACTCGTCATTCAAACGGGTGGAGGTGACCATCGACGACAAGTCGTCAGGGGCGTACAGCGTCAGCGGGGCCACCATATATACACACCTTGCCAGCAACGCAAACACGAGCGATAGCGTGCCCAAGACGAGATTACTTTTCATTGAGAACGGGAAGGCCTACGAGGCCTTCAAGTGGGCTGGCAGCTGGGCTCATGAGAGCGGCTTGGGTATGTTTGGACTGGCGAGACAGGAGTGGCTGACGCCAGCCGATCATGAAGGGGAGATTGTTGGAGAGAGCGGCGCATCCGTTCACGTACCTGTGCCGGTGGGAAGCTCCCTTGTCGTCGTGAAAGGATCAGTGGGACCAACGCGAGGAGAACTTGTGGTCGAGTGGAAACCTCCAGTCGAAAATGAGCGAATCAACACGACAGCCTGGTTCAGCGCTCTCACAATGCTCTACCTGTGTCATTTGGATCCTCACACGGCGCACACACTCATGCTCCGGGCGGATGGCGCAGTGGGACTGCGAAGCGTCGAGTTCTATTCTGCTGAGAGCCTGCCCTCTACCATTATGTAAGTCTCCCCACGCTCGCAAGAGTTAACGGCAGCCTTGCTTCCAATATGCAGCTAGCTGCGAATGAGTCAGCTTCGCAGGGTACCTGGGACCAGAACGCGGCGATCCACGTTTCGCGCATTCTAGGTGGTGTCGTGAGTGAATCCGCGAGAGACTCTGACCTCAGGTTGGCGGCATAGGTTTCCTAACGCTCATCGCCGTGTTGCGAGCCTGTTGGATACGCAAGAAGCGTCAACAGGCCGAAGACGAAGAGGCGCGCGCTGCGTACACGGCCTATTTGGGCACTCGGCAAACGTACCATGCATACGACTGGGGCGGGGGTGACGGCGTAGCATCCACGAGTGCTTCGCCAGCAGTTGGCATGAGCGCTGGCGAGGGCCCGGAGTCCGAGGCATCCTACACTACAACGACAACTTCGCACGCCAATCAACAGCCAACCTCTCCCACCGTGTCCGTCACGCCCGCACCGCAGCCACTTCATACGACTGGGCTTTACCGTGCGATCTCCTCGCCCCAGCCCATCCGCTCTGGACTCTACCGCACTACCTCGCCTGGGCAGGGCTCCTCCATTCTTCTCTCGGCGATGCAGCCCATAACGCCAACAGCTTCGCCAGGGGATACTCGTCCACGTACGGCGACGGAGCGCCCCGAGTCCAGTATTCCAGGCTTCGCAGGCAAGCTGGACGTGCCGGAAACGCCGGTGCGGACCCACAAGCGGAGGGTGTCTTTCACAAGCGACGAGCGACCACGTCCGTCACGCATTGTGATGGAACGAGTGCAGGAAGCCGTGGAGGACCATCCGGTTCCGCCGAGCCCAATCAGACGCGGGTCGCTTTCGCGCTTCCTCGAGGAGCCATTGTCACGGCGCATTACTCATGTTGGTGAGCCGCTCGCTCGCCGCATCTCTCGCGCAACCGACCAGAGCGAGCAGGATGTTTGGGATGACATCGGCATTGCGCCACCGGTATCGACAGCCGCGGTGCTTGAGGGGCGCAGAGCCAGCAGATCCAGTACGGATAAGGCGGTCTCGGTATCGGAAGGGCGATCCAGAGGATCAATAGACTCGACGCACAGCTAATTTGGGCGGAGTTTTACAGGTGTAGCATTATGGATGTACAGATATTCTGGGCTCCTCGTGAGCGGCAGAGGAGTTGTCAAGCCGCCAGCTTCTACCCTCACGTAATCCAGCTCCGGAAGTCTTGCGATCTCCGATCAGCAGATCAGCAGCAAATGATGCAGCGCGCAAACCAATGGCCCGCAAGCGTTGGTCATCAGGCCAGCTTGGAGGAGTGTTCGCACATAATCGCGGGAGTTGCGTCAGGCCTAGAGGGAGAGTGCCTGAGCGTGTGTGGGGCCGACGCCACCACTTCGCTCCTCTTATCCACCCCGCGCCGGCGGCGCCATCAGATAGCGGGGTTGGTCAAAGCCTCTCTAACCCCTTTGCCCTGGGACCTGCGGCCCCCCTCCGGCCTGCGGCCCCCCTCCGGCCTGCGGCGTCGGCGAATAGCACCATCCCATCCTCGGCGCCCCACCTCACGACCGACAGCGCCCGTCGCCTATTTGTATCTCCTGGTGCTCCCATGCTTTCCCATTAATCACACAATGCTCTTCACGTCGCTCCTCACCACAGCGCTCGCTGCCACCGCTGTCCGCGCGGCTGGTGCCGCCAGCAATGCGCTCGAACTCATGAACACGACTGCCGCCGGCAGCCAGATTACTTGGCCTACCGCGGACACCACTAGTACGTTGAGGATGAAGAGGGGACACGGAAGACTACAGTCATGCGCCCGCCTGAGTGACGCTCGGCTTCTCCTTGTTTTGCGCCCTCTCGCTGACAGCAGTCCCCCTCAACGGCACCGTCTACGTGAAATGGGACTGGAAGGAAGAGTCCTCGCCCAAGCTGATGGTCCTTCTTACGAACAAGAACACTACTGTCTTCCACGCGGCCGGCCACGCGCCGGACGCGACGACCGGCCTGGGCGGGAAAGGCCTGTACGACACAAAGGAGTGTAAGTGACCAGCTGGCTGTTACCGCGTAGCAAATAGATCACTTACAGCAGCTGTACTCGCCAATGAAACCAGCGTAAGTTTCGGTCCAATGAAGCCACCCGGAGACACGGGCATCAAGGCAGGGCCGGGGTACCGCGTCGTACTCGGCTGGCAGAACAGTGGGTCGAAACCTTGTCATCCACGCTAATATTGAAGACGGTGCGGACGCACAGACCAAACCCTACATGTTCCTTGCGTCTCCCGAATTTACTGTGGGACCGAAGGGCGCGCAGCAACTGCCGGAGGGTGTCAAGCCGTGGGATGCCAAGCCTGCCAGTGCTGTGCGTGCGAGCGCTCCTGTTGTGATGGGTGCGGTTGTCGCTATCGCCATCGCTGCTATCGTGTAATCACAATATGTATGATATTGCAGCTGGGAAGTTCTTGCAGGTTGATCGCCGAACGTATTCTGCAGTGGATCGCAGTCCAGACCAAAATGAAAGAAGTCCGGCAGATGAGTCGAGAATACAGCAAAAGATGAATCGTGTGGACGAGTTAGGAATCGAACCAAAGACCTTGTCAAGAACACCTTATAATGCTAATGACACGCTCTACCAACTGAGCTACACGCCCTTCACATTTCAATTTCATTGTGGTTAAAATAAGTGGGCCTCAACCGAGAGGTTTTCCTTTTCTCTCCCGTCCGGCTGTTCATATGTCTCGACTCTACAGCTTGGGCTCAGGGGGACTGCAATCAGCGCCATACTATACAGGTCTTACATGAGGGGCAAACACTCAGCCGCTGCGCGGTCCAGCCGCTCTTGGGTGATGTCGAAGCAGCGTGGGAGGCGATCGTCGCGGACGCCGCTTACGAGATGCTGCGCCAGACAGCGGGTGATGTTGACAATGGTCGCCATGCCGTGGCCTAATGACAGATTAGTGTTTACCCGCCTAGTAATTCGTCCCACTAATCTCACCATTGTAGCCAGCAGCGATGAACATCCCCGGCTTGCCGGGCACCTCGCCAACAAGCGGCCGCCAGTCGACCGAGTGGCACATAATGCCCGACCAAATTCGAGAAAGGCCTTCGCCTTCAGCTTCATGACCCCAGCCCACGTAATATTCCCGGCAGTACCTCGTGAGCCCTGTGGTCAGCCAAGTTCTCGGTGAAATTCGCCCCGGAAGGGCAACCTCGAGCGGGACATTGCTAGTGTAGCCCCGTGCGGGGTGACTCACACTCGCGGAACATGGGAACAACGACTGAGTCGTCGTCGATGCCGTACAGGTCGCGAGGCGAGCCGAAAGTATTGAGAACTGTTGCGTTGAACGGCCCTAGCACAAGGCCTGCGTGCGGCGTCTGGATAAGGTAGGGCCCATTCTCAATTCCGTACGAGCCCTCGAGGGCGTTCTTGCCTGAATATGTCACGGGAGGAACAACCAGACCAGCATGGCCGCGGTAGGGCGTCAAGCTTGCGTGAGTACACTCACAACTTCGACCTACTGCGCTGCAATCCCCGTGTTAGCAGCCAGGTCGTCCGGGAAGAGATGACGGGTGTACCCATTAGTAGCGAGAACGACTTGCTTGGCGCGGATCACGCCGCGCTCTGCACAGTCGACGGTCCAACCGCCACGGTATTGTTTGAGAGATGAGACAGGCGCCCACGAGTAGAAGCCAAGATCCTTGTTCTCCAGCGCTTTCTTCAGCAAAGCAGTGAGGCCGCGGTGGGGATGCCAGCTTCCACTCGGAGTCCACTTCATGGCAAGGGCGCCCTTAACACGGGACACGCGCTCTGCCTCGGCGGCATCAAAGAGAGCACAGGCGTCGAGGCGCTTGTGCCCGTGCTTCGCGCTGCGCTTCATGGCGCGGTGATACGCATCCAGCGTACGCTTGGATTCTGCGACGCGCTCAGGGGTGGTCGCCACATCGAGGCGGTATCCTCGCCAGAAATCAACATCCAGGCGCTCGCGCAGAATGATCTGCTCGCACAAGTCGAGCGTGTCTTGCTCGAAGAATAGAACATCAAGCGCATCCTCTTCCGTCAAGCCTCCGCCACCTTCCGAAAGTGGGGCGGTGAGGCTACCCAGCAGTTCCCACGCGTGGGGGGCAATGTGTCCGCCATTCCGTCCCGCTTGCGTTAGCGTAGTAGCTCTGAAGGTGGCTCACAAGCGCAAGATCCAACGTCTTTGGCATCCAAAAGAACAACCTTGCGTCGAGCCATGCCGGGCCTCGTTAGATGATACGCGAGCGATACGCCCGTCGCCCCCGCGCCGACGATCACAATGTCCGCGTCGGCGGGGAGCACGGCGTCACGGCCATAATCCCACAGAGCCCCCGGGCCGCGGTTCTTTCGTCAGTACCGTCTGAATAGAGCCCACCGTAGCCTGCCAGTGTGAGATGGTTGACGTGTACGTCTGTGGAAAGACTGGCATGGTCGATATGTGAGTGGTGTGGAGAAGCCAATGGATGTAAGCGCATTCCAGGTGATGCGGGGTAGATAAGTGGGCATGGAGTCGGTGAACGCCGAGGTCACGTGGGGTTCAGCCAAAGATTGGTGTTGCTAACCACTACTTTGCAGTGGGCAGAGGGATGATGAGTGGTCGGCGAGGTCAACGGGCCATGCACGCCATGATCTCCAGCCCACGTTTCTCTCCAGCCAGTGTTATGGCTGAGCCAACTACCTCATCAAGAAGTCTCGTAGGCAGCAGAACGAGTAAGGGATCCTGAAATTATCTCGAACTTGCCTAATTGAAGTAACACATAAAGACAATGCGTCACGCCTCCTGTTTGCAAGGCTTACGACGCATAATGACTATGAAGGCACCCCTCTGGCAAGAAGCGTTCCCGCGCTGAGTACACCGTGCTGATCGTGTCGGTCGCAGCCTTGCCTGTCTGGGTCACTGCCGACAACGCATCGGGAACGTACTATTGTAACATTAATGTTACTAGCGGAGCGGAACAGGCACGGAGACAAAAGCTGAGTGGCACAAACCCATGGCATCAGCGATTAGGTCACACACTTCCAAGCCAAGTCTCACATCAGATGGCGGCGATCGCCACCAGGCATGCATGTTCGTTTCCAGCGAGGGTAACGCCATTCCATGTCTACGTCAATCCCTAGGATCACCACTTCCCATCCCAGATCTGAGGCATCTATTTTCGACTGAGATTGAAGACCATTTGCTCGCGCCGCGGCGAGCGCTCGCAAGAGCACTGAGGCGACCGTTAGAAGGGTCCGATTCCCGATGCCGAGAGGGAGTTTTCGGGGGATCATCTGCTACGGCATCGGTTTTGTCCACGAGTGCGCATGTGTACGTACCTCCACTACAAGCGAGCTACGCGTTAGAGATGCTCACCCGCAGAGCGCAGACCAGAGGGCTCGGGAAGGCTCAACCTGATACACTCCCTATGTCAGCCTCTTCCGCCTGCCCTGGCCGCACTGGCGTGTGCTTTTCATCGCGTTATCTCCTCATCTTCTTCAGGACCGAAAAGGCAAGCCGAAGTCCGAGTGAGATTGAAAGGGCAGCTGATGAGAGAACAGCAAGGTGGGGCGAACCCTACGGGACATTTGGTCGCCAATAAGCGTTTCATGTTTGGTCCTGGATTTCGTTCCACCATCTGGATCGGAACGATAGGCATCGCGCACGCATGCTCCGTATGTTCGGCATTGCAGGGCACGCTCTGCTGCTGCGATCTACATATCTTCGCACATCTCGCTGTCCATTTGCGCGCGCAAGCAACAAACCGCAGATATTGCCTGTACGAAAATGTCGAGTAGAAAGAGCACGTGGGGGAGGCTGGCTCGTGTCACCAGGGTCAGGAAAGAGGCACAAATGCCGGCATGCCGCGTCTCTTGGAACTCCATATTCTGTGGCAATCAATACTACACTTCTGAAATGCAACACAGGCGCTCAAGACTTCACGAAGATCATTCTCCCGCGCACGTCTTTGCACATCTCCCTTTGTTCCTCGGCCATCTCCGTGCCGCTCGCGTCCTTGTGTTTTCCTATAACCTCAAGGAGTTACTGATCCGTCACAGTTGATGCAGCAGAGCGAACGTGGGTTCGTGGGTGGATCTCTCGGGTTCCAACCCCTCCCGTTCCGTTCGAGCGCTAAGTTCCCATCCCCGCGCGGCCCCTTGCCCGTATCGTAACACGGACTTAACTCCCTCCTCAATATCCTCCGGAACAGTCCCGTCACTGCTCCCCAGCCCTCGCAGCGCTCGTGCAAGAACCTCTCCAAGTGTCTAAGAGCCACATAGCGTGCGAGGCCAAAGGCTACGATGCCGAGATGCGGATCGTCGCCATCCCGAACCGAACTAGCGGGCTCGCCACGACCTGAGAAAGGATCAAGGAGGGCTCAGCAGGGCGCTTCCTTCCCGGCGGCAAACATGTTCATGACCATGTCAGTCATGAACTCCGTCTCGCGGTCAGATATGAGCTGCACATGACTGTGACGAGTCCATCCTTCATCCGCTACTCATCATGGCTACAGTTGAGTCGGCTGTGCGCCTGCGCCGGCAAGATGGGGAGGGAGCAAGCTCGACGAGCACACGAGCGAGGTCGACGCGCACACGAACGACACCCTCACCGACCTCAACTGAGGAGCGATCATCGGGTGCAAGCGAGACTGCCTCCACCTCAACTTCGGGCGCACAGTCTTCACTCCAGAGCGTCGTCACCGTCACAGCTACGCCCTCTGTGATCAGTGAGACTCCCTTCCGGCACCGCTGACTTAAGCCACGACCGCCGTCTCCACTGCCATCACCACCGCAGTGTCCACAGCAATCACCACCGCCCCCACTATCACCTTGATCGCTAGCCCCGAGCCCACCTCGTCTAGCCTCTCACCACACGATCTCGCTTGGAAATACATCATTGCGCATGAGTCGTGGCCAGAGTGCGTATCTCCCACCTTCGGGCGCCCCAGTCTAACTCCAGCCATCCCAAGTACCGCTACATCTATATCTTCTGGATTATCGTTGGAAGTATAGCGTCACTGTACGCCCTGGCTCACCACCTGCGACTCAGTGGAGGGAGCATAGGCGCAGCCTACAACAAATGGGGAATGAGGCGGCACAGCATTCGCCTGTGGCCCCGATCATGGGGGCGAGCTTTCGTGCTCCCCTCTAACTCATATCTCCTCACTATTGGGGCTGTAACTCTCTCGCTCATTCTTCTGTCGGTGCTTGGCCCGGATCACGTGCTTGAAGCAAAGGGCATTATGGACTTCACCAATATGGGCGACACTGGCATCGTCAAGCGAGCAATAGACACTTTTGCCCAGCTTCAGCAAGAGGCCGCAGGGATGAAGATACGCCGAGCCCCCAAGCCCGATAACACCGTCGAGGAGCTGACTACCCACGTGAGCTGGCAAGTCGCTAAGGCTACATGGACACAAGGGAACCGATGGGGCTTCATGGCATTTGCAGCTATGCCACTCATCGTTACGCTCGCTCTCAAGTCGTCGCCTTTCGGCATCTTTACCATGCGATGGTTCACAGGGCTGCACTGGGACAAGGTGGGAACTTTCCACCGCGCTGGTGGCTGGGTCGTGTGGGGTCTTTGCACCATCCACGTGGCGGTGTGGACCGTCAAGCTGTTTGACGACTACTATGATGGGCGGCCGATGTGGTTTGCCATGCTCACTGTCTACCGCTTCCGCTTCGGCATCACCGCATACACAGCCATGACGCTCGCGATGGCCCTCTCGCTCCGCCCCGTGCGACACAGGAGCTATGAGCTGTTCTACTGGTCTCATTGCGTGCTCATGTTCATTATGATGGTCGGCGCGCTGGTGCATCACTACAGCATCGCGCACTGGGTCGGCATCGCTCTGTTCCTTTGGCTGGGTGACAGGCTCTGGCGCATGATCCGATACTGGTACATCAACGGTGCGGGACGAGCCAAGACCCACGCCACGCAGAAGTTTTCGCCGAATCTTGCCTCCGCCGCAAGCTCGGGTACGCTTGTCGACGGCCGTATACCGAGCGTTGTCGACCTCGACCCCGAGATGTTCCGGAGCCCCGTCAACATCCCTCCCGGCATGGCGCACGTTCAGCTCCTTCCTAGCCGCACCGTCCGCGTGTCGATCCGCACCACCCGTCCGATGAAGTGGCATGCCGGCCAGAGCATCCTGCTCCACCTTCCTGAGCTTAGCCACTTTCAGACTCACCCATTCACAATCAGCAACAACGACCCAAACGAAATTGTCCTCATCATCAAGGCACGCAAGGGCCTCACCCGTGAGCTGTACAACCACGTTCTCGCCCTCATGGAGGCCCGTGCCGCCCCGACTCAGCGCAGCTCTCGCGCTTCCTCGGTGTACTCTGACGCGAGTCTCCCGCGCCTAAGCCACTTGGATCCCGTTCTCATCCGCGCTGGTGTCGACGGTCCGATGGGAAGTGCTGGTCGCGTGCCATGGCTTTCATACTCGACGGCCCTCCTGGTGTGCGGCGGCTCCGGCGTCACTTTCGGGCTCGCTATGACTGACTGGCTCTCGCAAGAGATGGCCAAGCTCGACGGCCAAGGGATGTTGTGCAGGGTGCGCTTCATCTGGATCGTCCGCGAGTACGCCGAGATCACTTGGTGCGCCGGTGCCATGTGTCGCTTCAAGGCCGCTCTTCCAGACCCCGATCGCTTGCAAATTGACATCTACGTGACGAACGGTGAGAAGAGCCGCCCCATGCCGCGCTCCACCCACTCTCGCACGATGAGCCGGGACAACACTTTCATGGAGAAGCTAGGCGATGTCGAGCTTGAGCCACCCCGCCGCCCCTTTGAGCGCAAGGACTCGACCGACAGCATTACATCAGTATACGGTGGCGGTGGCGAAGAAGAGGGCACGACCGCACCGCAGCGCGGGTTCTATGAGGGCGTCGACCCCGAGACTCGTGTGCACTACAATGATGTGGTTTACCTAACGAATTTCGAGGGAGAGAGCGATGTCGACGACGCGGCTGAAGACACGCTGTCTCGCGCCCTTCAGCGTGAAGGCCGAGTCCGCCGCGCGCGCTCCCGCAAGTTGAGGAAACGATTGATTCAGCCGGGCGAGGAGCGCAGTCCTCTTCCCTCCCCCCGCGAGCCGGAAGTTGAGCAGCTTCACGATCGCCCCGAGTACCCGGATCCAGACGAGGTCGGCGCTCCCCGTCCCCGGCTCAAGGCCACAACCCGCCCGGGGTCTGCATACGACCGCCCCAGCTCCTCCTTCTCGACCCACAGCGTGGAGCGGTTCGAGCCTTTCAAGCGAGGCCCCTCCCCGGCGCCCAGCCTTGACGACGAGAGCGTGCGCAACACAGTCTTCTCACTGTCGTCGCGCACGCAAAGTATGGTCCTCCTGGAGGACACCCATGATGGGAAGGGCCACAGCTGCGCGGGATGCGGCCGCGCTGGGGCCGATAACTTGTGGATCGACGAGGCCGACTACGCCGCAGCGCTGATCCTGTCGGAGAATGCACGGACGGGACGGCCGAAGCTTGCGTCGATCGTCGAGGAGGAGCTGCGCAACGCCCAGGGCGCCATGATTGTCGGCACGTGTGGCCCCGCCGCGCTGGGTACTGCGCTTCGCTCACTTGTGTCCGATGCTATCGACCCCAGCAAGCTGCGTAAGGGCGATTCGCGTGGGCACGTCACCCTGTACACCGAGGACTTTGAGATGTAAACGGAAAGGCATAGGACATTAGAACATAGAAACGGACACAGGTTAGAGCTTTCGTTAGGTTAGATGCATTGTCCACAAGGCCCGACATCGGATTGGTGGCAATCGGCGTCCTGCGACACACTGGTAATTGTCCCTGTGACCTCCACCCATGTACTCACACTCCGCTGGGCCCATCCCAACGTCGTTGCCATCTCCGCTTAACGATGTTCCGCTCCGAAATGGTGAACCTCTCTTCATCCCGACAGACGCTCTGCAACACCGGCGTTATGGTCCAACGGTGTTGCCCCGCTTTATTGCGGATCTGAGCCCTGCGTGCTGCTGTCGGCCACATGCGCTCCTGACATGCACTTCAAACACCATCTCATCGCGAATTGGTTGAGGTGTTCAATTTTCCGAACCAACTTGAAACCTTCCATCCTCGTGCTCCTAATTGAGTTTAGCGTTTGTCTTGGCTTCTTGGCACGCCGTTCTTATCAGCCCGAGACCGAACTACCCACAAATTACTGAACCTCATGGCCAATTTCGGCCGACACGTGCAACTCATCGGCTCATCCTTGTGCCTGATGGAGGCAGATGGCGGCACGCTAAGAACGCAATACCAGATCAGATGGTGTTTCTGTCCTCTTGGCGCACGCACGATGGGCACGGGGCCGGAAAGGGTGCGACACAGCACTACATGGGGAACCTTGTGAATTGCAGTTGTGCACCAATACGGCCGCAATGATTGCACGGAGATGCAGAAAAGTGGAGTTGACCGACAACTGGTGGGAGAGGAATATATCATAAGGTGAGTATTCGCGAGCGCTCCTCAACGAGAGAGTAGAAAGGAAAACGTAAGTCACGCGAATACCTCAGCTCACCTCAGAATGGAGTATCTGCTTCCTCGGCAGCAGCAGGGTGGAGCCGGCACTGGTGGTGCGGGGGGAAACGCGGCCAAGCCCAAGGACCCCATGCTGCAGCCCGCTGGTCCAGGCCTGCCTCCATGGATCGTTTGGCTGCCGAAGCTGCACTCGCGCGTCGCTTTCAACATCCTATGGTGGATTCTGACCGGGGTCGTTGGTGCGTTGGCCATCGCGCAAGCCTTCCGTATCGTGCGGGCCCTCAGGCTACGCAAGCGCGGCGCTGCTCGACCCAGCCCTGGCTCAGCGCGGTCGACAGCGATTGAGTCGCCCACCCCCCGCGCGGGTGCGATGGCAAAACTGTACGCCATGCGTGCAGCGTGGACGAACTTTACGCATGTCCGTGTTCCGCTGTACTTCTTCCCAAACCACAGCGTGAGCGAGTGGTTCTGGACGGCAGCGTACGTCGCTCTCGTCATTGGCCTCACGTTCTGGGGAGCGACATACAAAGGGAAACGGAACTACACGCGGGTCTTTGGTCTTGCGGTGAGTGCACAACACATCACGGCCCCTGACCGCAGTCCATATCTCAGATCCCGCTCATTGTTGGCTTGGCGGGGCGGAATAATCTCATTAGCCTCCTCACAGGAATCTCGTACGAGAAGCTGAATTGGCTCCATCGTGTTGCTGGACGCACCTGTGTTCTTACAGCGTGGACACACATGGGTGCGATGGTGGGTCAAGTTGGCAAGCCGGTGGTCAACCCCAAGAACCTCACCACCGCGACCGGTATCCTCGCTCTTACCTGCATCTCCCTCATGTTCCTCAGCTCTTTCGGCGTCTTCCGCCGTCTGGCTTACGAAGCTTTCATCGCCCTCCACATCTGCATGGGCATCGCTCTCCTCGTGGCCCTCTATTATCACCGCCCCATGTACAGGCACTGGATCTGGGCAAGCATGGTCATCTGGGGCTTTGACCGTGCGGTATCTTTCGCGAAAGCGGTGTACGCCAATCTTGGGCGTAAAAGCGATCAGGCGAGCGTCACTCTGCTGGGTTCCAATGCCGTCCGTGTGGTCGCCCACGCACCAAAGCTCAAGTGGCGCGCAGGACAACACGCGTTCCTCATCATGCCCTCTGTCGCACGTCTCGGCTTGGAAAGCCATCCATTCACGATGGCAAACGTGCCTAGCGAAACCGGAGAGGCCGTCTTCATCGTCCGTGCCCACACAGGCTTCACGCGACGCTTAGTTGAGCACCTCCAGTCCTCTGAGGGCCAAGTAAAGTGCTTTGTCGATGGGCCATACGGCCTCCCGCCCATGCTGGACCACTACGCCGGCGTTCTTCTCGTGGCCGGCGGCACGGGCATTACATATGCACTTTCGCACCTGCTCGGCATTGCCAAGGGCGCGCGTGCTGGCAAGAGCGCCGTGGCGACCGCTCGCCTAGTGTGGAATGTCCGCGAGCGTGATGACCCAATCTCCTGGATTTCGCCTATGCTTGGTGATATCGCGGCAGAGGGGTTGCATGTCCGCGTCGATGTGTACCTCACATCGTATGGGTCTGGCGACCCCACTGAGCCAGCACTTGGGGAGCACAAGGAGGGAGGACATCCTGCTTCGCCGACATCGAACCCCGAGAAGGAGGGTTTGTCCGACCAGAGCCACAACGGTCTTCTGGTAGTTCAGCGCGGTCGCGCCGACATCGAAGCCATTGCACGCTCCGACATCGCTGATGTGCCCAGAGATGCTGGCGGTATGGCCGTTGTGGTTTGCGGGCCCACCAGCCTCGCAATGGACGCGCGTCGCGCGGTTTGCCGCGTCAACTCCGCGGGTGCAGTAGCCAACGGGCAGGTGCCTATCGAGTTCTACGTTGAGACTTTCGGATGGTAGCCGCAGTCAAAGTGAAAGGGAGGTCGATGTTAAGCTGTATAGATGCAATGAGATAGCTCGTATGTATGGTACTGACATCGACGCGCAAGCAATGGACAGACTACATGTGCCAGCACTACCCAATATATGTATATCTACAGACTGGATTGATTGTTTTGATCCCACGGCGCGATCCTTCTGTCGGTCTGGATTTTGACCCAAGACCGGTCGGCTCGCTGAGAGCGCTCCTAGCCTGGACAAATAGGGCGCAGAGAGCCGGACGACACAGATTCGTGCGGAGAGTAAAGGGGACGATCCGGGAAACTCTTATGCTTATTAACGACACAGCCTCGGCGGCATTCTCGGCTGCGTCGCTTCACAAGCGATGTCGGTGAGCAGCCTATCTCATTGTCTGGCAAGCAGAAGGATCTGCACTGACCACATGCTGCCGAATCTTTCTGGAACTCCAACCGTACATCTCCTGCTTTGGCGTCAGAGGTTGGTGTCGAAGCGCATCGCTCTTGTTGGGATGGGTAACCCATGTGAGGGGGTAGAGTAAGACAAACTTTTCGCTAGTGAGGAGAAAGAAGCGACCACAACCCAGGCGCTCCGAGATCTCGGGTACATGCCCACACCTCTGCAGGCCGTAACCAGGGTGGCTGCTTCCCGATTCTTCCAGTCGGAACATCGTCAACCGTGAACTATTTCTGATGTGTCCATGAACTCTCATGCCTGCTCTACAGTTTTCCAGATCACCCTGAGCGTCGGGTACATTGTCTCAACGCAGTTGCCGCGACAGGATCTCAGCACAGCACACATCGCAGGTTTCCGTATCGGGTCGCCGATAGGATTGGGCTCACTAAAGTGGGCTCCACACGTGCCCCAGAAATCAAGTAGGACCGCCACTCTTTGTGTTGAGAACTCCTGCAAGCGTTATCATGCCCACTGCCGAGACCGGCTGGCTGTCGAGAGCAGAGTAGGGCCTCATGTGCGGGCTTAGCAGCGATGTGGGCTTGTACGGCACGTGAGTGCTCATTATGGAATGAGGAATGACCGAGCGAATGCTAATCTTCCCCCGCAACCTCGGTTTGCCCTTGCGACTGTAACCGCATGTACAGCAGCGTCACTTGGCTTTCTCGGTGAGATACATGTCCTCTGCCGTTGGACCGGTAGTTGGAGGTTTCGCTCACGTAAGCCCCACTCTCCCCCCGCCCGTACCTGCACGGCCCACTTCTTACAACACCACGCAACGTAGCGCTGTGAGTTCATTCCAGCAGTCGAAACATTAGCTGGGCACCGCTCTACACCACCTGAAATTGGAGGGACGCTTCCTGTCATCCTCCCAACAATTGCAGAGCCAGGCAACTCCCGCGTAAGGCTTGCCTGAGGTAGAGCCTGTAACATTCCATACTTAAACACGGGTTTTGGCTAGGTGCCTCGAAGGACTTGGACAGTCCATTTATAGAATTCGGCGATGGGCTCAACCTCCGAAAGCCTGAAGAGTTGCCGCTTGGCATGTCGCGTGAGCCAGAAATGGCTCTGCCAGGGAACCTGGTTCAACGTTGTCCTGAGTCGTGGGTCCACATGTGCTGTCGATTGTCAGGACCGCCGCAAATTCAGCTTAACGAGAGCCGGGACGCACTTCAGCGTCAGCAGCTACACAACTATGTCACACGTCCCCTGAGAACCCCATGGCCGGGGGTTCTCAGTGCGTTGAGCGCCGCGGTCGATATGCCATGGAAGCGGTGCTCACCGACGGTAAACAGCATGCGGGTCGCCGGTCTGGGCCTCCGGAATTGCGGCTAGCCCCGGTATCGCACGGCGGGGCCCGCTTTTAGACGAGCGTAGTTGCCCCGCAAACCCGGCCGCGCCGGTTGGCGCTCATGCAGTTCAGGTTATGGGACGACAGGTAGTGCGACGGTGGCAGCGCTTGCGCGCCGTTGATATAAACCCACTCCTGTCTTGCCTTTTCTAAGCCCTCACAGATTTCACCATGTCGCATTACAGCGAGAAGGACGAGTTTCACAAGCAAGCCAAGGCTGAGATCCACCACTCGGAGCGCGATGATCGGTCATCCCCCGACCCATACCAGGAGCGGCCGGAGGACCTCGAAGATCACCGCTCGCGCCAGGTCGACATCGACCACGGCTTCGACCCCATGGAGGTTAACAGCACCGTGCGCAAGGTCGACTTCCGGCTTATCCCCATTCTTTCAGCGATGTACTGCATCTCGCTGATCGACCGTACGAATCTGTCGCTCGCACGTGCAGCCAACAAGCTCCAGATGAACATTGACCTGGACCTTGCCAAGGCCGACGGCTCTTCGCATGGAAACCGCTACGGCCTGGCCACTATCATGTTCTTCATTCCTTACATGTAGGTTAATGGGAGTGGCCTTCGTTGACGTTCAGCATTCTTGAGGTACCCTCTCAGCTCGGTCTACGAAAGTTTGGCGCTAGGTGGTGGCTCGGGACGGCGACCGTGCTCTGGGGCTTTGTCATGATCGGAATGGGCTTTGTCAAGAACTGGCAGTCGCTTGTGGCTTTGCGCGCCGTCCTTGGTGTCTTCGAGGCCTGTCTATTCCCAGGCGCGGCCTTCCTCATCTCCTGTTGGTACCCTCGTCACCAGATGGCGATGCGTAACTCGTTTTTCTACTGCCTATCGATCGTCCTGTCCGGTCTTTCGTCAATCATGGCCTGGGGTATCTCGCAGCTACACAAGAGGCAAAATCTCCACGGCTGGCAGTGGATTTTCATCATCCAGGGTGCTCTTACAGTCTTTGTTGGCTGCATGGGCTATCTTTTCATCACCGACTTCCCCGACAAGGCCCACTTCCTCTCCGACCACCAGAAGAACATCATCATCACACGTATCCAACGCGACCGCGGTGATGCCGAGGTGGACAAGCTCACCATGCCCTTGTTCTTGGAGTACATTACCGACTTCAAGCTGTGGCTCTTCGGATTTTTCTTCGGCTCCACGACGCTGGGCTCGTACTCCCTCGCGTACTTCCTTCCAGGCATTCTCGGGCAAATGGGTTTCAGCAATGCGCTCGCTCAAATCCTTGTGGCTCCGCCCTACGTGTGGTGCATTGCTCCCTGTGTGGCCGTGTCCATCTTTTCAGACAGGACCCGCATGCGCGCCGCAGGTGTCTCGTTCAACGCTATCTGCCTCATCGTCGGCACCTGTATGTATTCGCAGCTGCCTCACGCGCAAAAGGCGGCCCGCTACGCTGGCATCTTCCTCGCTATCGGCGGATGCAACAGCAACGTCCCTCTCATCCTCGCGTGGGCGCAGTCTTCTATTCGTCGGCAGTCGAAGCGCGGCTTTGCGTCGGCTCTCATTGTCGCTTGGGGAGGCGTCGGAGGCATTCTCTCCGGTGTCGCATTCATGGAGAAGGAGGCCAAGAAGGGTTACCCGACTGGAGTGTATCTAACCCTGGCGCTCAACACCTGTGTCGTGCTTTTCAGCATGTCACTCATGCTCTACTTCAAGTGGATGAACCGCCGGGCTGACCGGGGTCTGGTCGTCATCGAGGGCTCGCCGGCTTTCCGTTATCAGGGTTAAAGAAGGGAGGGTCGTGCAACAGAGTGCGGAGTGCATTGGTTGTGCAGCAGGTATACTGTAGGGAAGCATCGTCAGTACTGTAGTTTTCGGGATGAATTGAGGTAACCTAGACGTAGAGTGCCGCAAGTCTCAAGGCAATTCAGACCACATCCCCCCTGTTGATGCACACGCACACACGTGGTAGGGACAAGAGCTCTCTCGAGTACGTGTCGAATTGGAATCTCCGGGAATTCATCGGGTATCTCGGCGCATATGATCGACAACGATAAGATGGCGATGCGAGATAAGTTAAGGCTGTTCCTGGCGTGAGGCGTTGCCTGCGCATCCTAATGATGTCTTACAAGCGAGGATGAAAAGCGAAGATGGGCGAGCCAGGACTAAGGGAAAAGTAAGAACGCGCGAATCCGAGGTAAATGGAAAACCGATTGTCGCGAGGCAATCAGTATCCAGCTACTGTTCGGCGTATCTAAACATCAAAATGAACAACGTAGGCGGTAAGCAGAGCACCGACAACGGCAGATCAGAAAGTCTGATTCATGGGCAATATAATACGAACAAAGCCTACTTCTCTACCTCTCCCACATATCCCCTCCACTGTAACGCCGCTTTAATGCTTGTACTCGACAAACTTGCCATCATCGTGGTCCAACTTGGGCGACGCGTCGTCGCCCTTACTAAGTTTGCGGTCGATGTCGGCCGCGTTGGAGAGGCGGCGTTCCAGCTCCTGGTGGCCGCTGTTAACGGTGTTGTCGGCCTGCTCCTTGCCGTCGAAGAGACGGGTGACCTCTTCCAGAGTGTAGCCCTTGGTCTCAATGATGAAGAAGTAGCAGATGACCACCCAAATGCAGTCGAGGACGATGAAGACGATGTAGTACTTCCACCCGATGTTCTCCATGCCAACAGGGTTGACGTAGGAGTTGAAGGCAATGCAAAGCGTCTGGACAGTGACGTAGACGGAGAGCGCCTTGGTGCGGATACCGTATGGAAGGATTTCGGTGGTGTAAAGGGCACCGCAGGTGATCCAGCCAGCGTTGTAGAACATGAAGTAGAGGTAGAGGAAGGGTACGAGAGCGATGCCCGTGGCCTTGTTCTGGGTCTTGTCGAAGGATCCGGAGAGAGCGGTGATAACCACGAAGCAGGCGAGGACACCAGCCATGCATGTCAGCCAGAGAGGGCGGCGGCCCCAACGCTCGGTGAACTGAGCCCAAATGGCGGAGTTGATAGTAGAGAAGATGGCAAGGCCTCCATTGATGCCCTGCACCTGGTGAGGGTCTGTGATGTTGACCGTCTTGAGGATGAGCGGGAGGTAGTAGGAGACGAGGGCGTTACCAGCCCACTGACCCGAAATGGCGATGAAGCAGAGTACGAACAGACGCTTGCGGTTACCAGGCGTCTTAAAGAGGTCAATGTAAGTGGTGCTGGTCTTGGCATCGATCTCGAGGCCGTGCTTGATCTCCGCCATCTCGTACTCGACGAGAGGGTCCTTCTCCTCGCCGTTTGCGTGGTACTTCGCGAGCGTCCTGCGGGCAATCTCTTCCTTGCCGTTCTTAACGAGGTAGCGGGGTGACTCGGGCATGAAGCCGCACAGAGTGAAGATGGCGATGGCACCGGTGCCGAGGCACTGGAAAAGGGTCGGGAGACGCCATGCCCACTCGTTCTGCCAGTCGAGCGTGCCATAACAGACCCACGCGGCAACAATAGTGCCGAATTGGTACGAGGTGAACCAGAGCGCAGCGCAACCGGCACGAAGGCGCGGGTGAGAGATTTCCTGCATCAGGGGAGGGCCGATGGTGGACTGAACACCAAGGGCGGCGCCCATGATTGCCCGGGCGGCGATGAGCTCAGCGCGAGACTTGGCGAATGTGTTCAGGAGAGCACCGGCGCACGATACGAGACACGCCACCAGGAGCGTCAGGCGACGGCCGATGCGGTCGCCGAAGTACGAGGCGATGAAGGGTGTGATAACCGCTGGGAAGTAGAAGACGGAGCCGATGAGACCGAGGACCTGGCCCTTGGGGTCGTCGAACGCCTCGATCCACTGAGGCATGGCCTGCTGCGCATTGAGTAGCGTGCCGTCATATCCCCAGGCTGAGGTTAGATTCTTCTTTCCATTTTTTATCATTGCGTCCCGGGGGGGGGGGGGGGGGGGGGGGGGGGGGGGGGGTTCATGCCAGATGAGTACTCACTGAACGAGTTACCCCAGAGAATGACCACGACCAAGATCATCTTCTTGAGACCTGGGTCCTTCCACCATTTCGAGGCCGTGTTGTTCTCGATCGTTGCGTACGCCGGTTGCAGAGCTGGTGGCATGTTGGAGAAAGGTCAGAAGTGGCAGATGGGGATCCGCACGACCTACCATCTTAACATTATATGTCTCAGTCTCTCGGCAACCTGGGGCACAATCTAGTCCGAGCCCCGACGTGCGAGCCCCGTGGGCCAGCGGAGAGTCTCGGCCCTCGTTCTCGGCACTCGGCGTGCGCGTGCGATGGGCAAATCGCGATAATGCGCAGCGGATATCCAGAACGAACGGGAATCTCGTGACGCCCGAACGGGAATTTGCGCGTGTATTGTGAATCGCCGCCTTCCGCGTAGAACATGAACGGGAATGTCGCCGTCGATGTGACATGCAGATCAAATGTGCGCGGGTGGGGGAAGGGGAACCCGCCGCGAGTCCAGCAGGTCTCGCGCGGTGGCTTGCGTAAGTGGCGGAGTCACCTGAACAGCTGACTAGGTGGCGGAGTTCTGCCGCACAGATGCTCAGGTTCACACCCCGTTCTCGTCGGAGAAGCTGCTGCCATCTCAGGGCATGTGCTGAGAGCTTGTCGCTGGAGTTGCTACCGGATCGTCCTCGGTGCTGGATGTCATGCGCATATCGTCCTGCTCTTACGATACCCTAAGCGGGCTGGTCACTGTGTACCTAGATCCCAAAGGATAGTGGGCAGCTGCAACGGAGTAGATCACCTCATTCGCGACCAGAGTGGGCTCTTGCCGTCGCGCTAATGGCATGTCAGTCATGGATGATGTGAGGCCTCGCGGATGACACGGAAATCGGATCTACGAGCGGGAGAGTTCCGGTGCCTAGCTTACGACGATCTGTTGATTGGCTGAATTCGCCGACTACCCTCATCCCTGATCCGATGAACTGGCTGAGATCAATGTCATCTTGACAACGTCTGTCTGCACGAAAAGGATAGAGATGAGAGAAAAATATCTGCAGGATATCCAGCGGCAGGTGCATTGTCCCAGCCTGATATGCCCTGCCTTAGCCTGCTTTCACCGGAAATGGAGGTGCTAGAAGTGATGTCCACATGGTACAAGATCCGTTGGAGTTGGAACCAAATAGATGTTGAGAGCCCGGGGTTCCGGCGGGCCGGCGACTTCCTTCGGCCCTTTCCATCATCTCTGCTTCTTCACAACGGAACTTTCACGTTCTGCCCACCCATGGATGCGCACGACACCCTGTGGGGTACACGACGCTAGCGAATGCACTCGGCGGACCAGAGTCACGAGGCCAGGAGCATGAGATCAGGGATGGAACGAGGGTGATGGAAGACCTTTGTGCCGAAACGACGCAATGTCGGGTGCCGATGCCTCGGCCCTTCGGACCGGCCGGCATCTCGTCGCCCCGTCCACGCTGCATAGCACATGAGGCGTCGATTCCTCCCGTTCTGCGATGCAAGGTTTGCCAACTACAGTACACCGGCCTCTCTTCAAGATTCCCGTTCGTGGCGCATGCCGCACTTGGCCGAGGTCATATCTCTGAGACTCGTTGGTTATCGCCGCCGCATCGGATCCGGGCGAGCCGAGCACTCTACAATCTACAATACTACTTAGATCTCCCTTCCGTCCGCCGACATTGTCACCCTCGCATCCACCATGGCGGCCCACTGCACCCTCTCGCACCTGCAGCACATGCAGACGTTCCACCCGAACGTCTACACCAAGGGCTATGAACACATCAAGGCGTTCACGAAGATGCCGGTGAACATCGACGCGCGCGTGCGCGCGGATGCCTCCGCTGGGCCCGTCACACCGCTCCTGTACGCCGGCTTCCTCGAGCACCTCGGCCGCTGTATTTACGGGGGCATCGTTGATGACGTGAAGGACCCGAGTCCTAAGGAGCTACTCGAGGAGCAGGGCAAGGGGCGCGCGGCGTGGCGCAAGGACGTGCAGAAGATCCTGTCGGCGGACGGTGAGCTCGCTGTCCCCATGATGCGCTGGCCCGGCGGCAACTATGTCTCCAACTACCACTGGCAGGACGGAATCGGGCCCGTCGAGGACCGTCCGAAGCGCATTGAGCTGGCGTGGTTGACTTCGGAGAGCAACCAGTGAGTGCACGGGATGTTGCCTACCCTTACGCTAGGTTTGGGACGGATGAGTTCATCGACATGTGCCGCGCCAACAAGTGGGAGCCGTACATCTGCCTCAACATGGGCACGGGCACGTACGAGGAGGCGCTTGCGTGGGTTGAGTACTGCAACGGCACGGGCGACACGTACTGGGCCAACCTGCGGCGCAAGAACACGGGCCGCGACGAGCCGCACAACGTCAAGTACTGGGGGCTTGGCAATGAGAGTGAGTAGGACGGGAAGGCCTCAGGTGGCGGCTGAACATGTGCTGACGACCAGTGTGGGGACCGTGGCAGGTCGGCAACCTCACTGCCAAGGAGTACGCGCTCAAGGCCAAGCAGTGGGCGCACGGCATCAAGCTCGTCGACAAGTCGGTGATCCTCATCTCGTCGGGCGAGACAGGCTGGACGGACTGGGACCGCGAGGTGCTGCAGCACGTCGTGCCCTACGTGGACATGCACTCGCTGCACTTCTACTCGACGCTGTTCCACGAGATCTACACGAAGCCGGGGAACGACTACGAGAAGAACGTGTTCGGGCCCGCCGGCCCCGAGAAGGGCATCGAGATCACGAAAGCCATCATCGACCAGGTCAACATCGACAACACATGGCGGGGGGTCGCGGGGCACGACGTCAAGATTTGCTACGATGAGTGGAACGTCTGGGACCAGACCAAGGCCGGCGTCGATGACAACCTCGAGCAGATCTACGACTACACCGACATGCTGGGCCAGATTGCGTGGCTCAACATGCTCGTGCGCCAGTCCAGGGACATCGGCATCGCATGCATCGCCCAGAGCTGCAATGTGATCGCGCCGATCTTGACGAAGAACAACGCAATCCTCAAGCAGTGTACGTTCTACGTCCTGCAGCTTTTCTCGCAGCAGATGCGCGATGGTTACCTCCTCCAGACACCGTCTATGCCGGACTACTACGATGGCGAGACGTTCCCAAAGTTCATCCAGCATGTCAAGGCCAACCCCCGATACATTGACCTCGTGGCCATGGTCAAGGAGGATGGCGGGAAGAAGAGCGTCCGCGTGTCCGTCATGAACCGCCACCCCACGCTCGACTGGGACGCCAGCGACATCGAGTTCAACGGCATCGACGTGGCCAAGGTCACCGTCCATGAGATGTACTCGGACGACCTGTCGGCAGCCAACACTTGGGACAAGCCCGACACCCTCGTTCCCCAGATCACCGAGTACTCAGCCAAGGAGTGGGCCGAGCGCAAGCACACGGTGCGCAAGCACTCGTGGCAGTTCATCATCGTCGACAGTGCTTAGAGCAGACCCGTGTACAACTATAGATGTCTAAAATAGATGTATCATGTCTACTGCCAGTGGCGACGTCTGTCGCATGTGCGTGGAAGCCTGCAGTTCACGCACACTTTACCTTGTCTGCCTTGCGCTAACCTATGCACAGCAGGCTGGCGGTGGCGGCGCGTAGTTGGCATCCTGGCCCGGCGCATCCGGCTCGTCGGGATACAACTTGCCCGGGTTCATGATTCCCAGCGGGTCGAGCGTATCCTTGATGGTCCTCAACATCCGACATGTCCCATCTCCCAGCTCGCTAGGAAGGTATTTCTACCGTCAACAGTCATGCGCTGCAGCGACGCACCTTCTTGGTCTGCCCGACGCCGTGTTCGCCCGTACACGTGCCGTCGAGCGCGATAGCCTTCTTGACGAAGCCGCTGATAAGCTCATGCATTGCGGGTAGCTCGTCGTGCGAGTTGAAAATGACTGTGCTGTGCACCGTCCCGTCTCCAAGGTGGCTGGAATCAGCAAAGCATGGGGCGAACTCACGCGACGATTGGGCCGTAAATCCCCCGATCCTTCATTTCCTTCTGGCAGTCGGCGACAAACTGGGGAAGCGCGGAGAGAGGGACGCATGCGTCGTTCCCGTACAGCATCGGTGCTGCGGTCAGCTCAGCCTCTCTGCACCGACCCACTCTCGTATCCGCTATGCGCGAGGGCCGCATACAACGCGCCCTTGCGCGCGGCCCAGAGCGCGTCACTCTCCTTGTCGTCGTGCGCCATACGCATCTCGATGCTCTCATTTCTCTCGGCGATCTCACGGATGAGCCGCTCGCTTTCGACCATCATGGCATCTGTGCCCTGCAGCTTGAAGAAGATCGTGTCCTTCTCCGGTAGGGGGTTCGGCACGATACCCAAATGATTTGCGGCCTGGACGAAGAGGGAGTCCAGTAGCTCGGCTGCGTATCAGCTTTGCCTATACATGGCGCACCGCACTGCACGTTCACACCCTGGTTCACGACGTCGACGACGGCCTGGACCGCATGAGCAACAGAGGGGAAGGAGATGACCGCGACACGCGTGGGCAGCTTGGGCGTGAGGCGGAGCGTGGCCTCCGTGACGATACCCAGCGTGCCTTCGGCACCGATGAAGAGCTTGGTCATGTCCGGGCCAGTTGAAGACTTCTTAGCTCGCTGGCGCGTCTTGACGACGGTCCCGTCGGCGAGCACGGCCGTGACGTTAATGAACCTGATGTTAGTCCCTCCGCTTTCGGCCTTCGACCGCAACATACCACTCGGCGCGCGCCGAGCCATAACGCAATGCATTAGGCCCTGAGCACCCCGTACTGAGCATGCCCGCGACGCTGGCGTTCGGCCCCGGATCAAGCGGGAAGAACAGTGCATGCCCTGCGTCCGCGAGCGCCTTGTTCAGTGTCTCGTACCCGATGCCCGCCTGCACTACCACATCACCGTCCATGGGATGCACGGCCACGATCTTGTCCATATGCCGACCGAGGTTGACGCACACGCCGCCGAACGGCGCGGAGAAATGCCCCTCCAGCCCCGTCCCGGCCCCGTAAGGAATGATCGGCACACGGTATTTCGCACATATGCGCACGATGGCTTGCACGTCCGCCGTCGAGTGCGGGAACACGACGGCGCAAGGCGCCTGCTGCGGTCCGTAGAACCACTCGTTGGCCGCGTGCGCTTCGCGGTCGCTCTCGTCGGTGGTCACGTCGTCGAGGAGGAGAGTGCGGATCTCCGCGATCGCTGCGCGGTAGTCGTCGGGCGATCCGAAGCGCGCAGCTCCCTGCTTGGGAGCAGCGGGGGTGGGGATGGAAGCGGGAGCTGGAGCGGGGCCGGGCTCGGCGCTCGCATTGAGGCTCAGCGCGGCGTAGGTGAGCGCCGCGCCTGCCAGGCCGCCCATAAGTGCCCATCGAGAGGACGAGGGAGGGGGCGGAGGCGCGGATGGAGTCGAGTAGTACCGCCGCGCGGGTCGAGGGCGCGCGGCGCTGTGCACACTGGGTAGCAGGGGGCGGGCGCGGCGCATAATGATGTTGTGAGATGGAAAAGAGGGAGGAGGTAGTCAACTATACGACGTCGGTTATCGCCGTGAGATGCCGACTCGGCCGAGTCGGTGCCAAACACGTGAGACAATTTGCCGCGGTCTGGCGCTCTCAGGCTGGCGTAACGACGAGGCGTTAAGGCGTGCATTCAATCTGCAGACGGTCTGGTTGTGTCGCCGGAATGTCCATAAGGAAAGCGAGGTTGTGCCGTGATATCTGCCGGATATCCGTTCGCACGATGAGTTTGGGCGTCGCGGTTCCTGTCGGCTGTAGCTTTTCAGAAACTGCACAGCCAGACCTGCTCATACAAGGCCCAAAGGCGCATTGTGGAAAGCGATGCTCTTGTCGGGATGATGTTCCGTGTCTCCAAAGCAATAAGAGAAGATTCTATGGCGCTGCCATCCACGTGAAGATACCAAATTCGTGAGTGGGGCAGGGTGCCATAGTCGCCCACGCCTCGAAACTGCTGCCCCACTCCATCACCGGTGTTGAAAGCAATGTGCTAAGGACCCCCACGACACGACCAAATTACCCATGATGGCCGTCCTCGGTTCTGAGTTGAGCCCAGTCTTGTCGAGGCTCGTGAGGCATCCAAATACATCGAGGCTACCCAATAGACGGGTGCCACGACGCGGTGTGGCACCAGATCTGGGGCTTGACATGGCGATCTACGGTGGAGGCCTGAGCTGCGCCGCCCCTGTCTGTCGTCCAGGGCAGATTCGTCTTCTTCCCGCAACCCGATGGCGATGCGCGTTGTTCAGCCCGTTCATGGACCGACGAGCGGTTGGCTGCGAGGTGTGAGGTGCGACCGAGGCTGTACATCTTCGGATGGCACGATCTTGGCAGGCGTGGGAGCCACAAGGCCTCCTCTGCAATTGCCGATTAGGAGGCCGATTCTCAATAATGATTACCGATTCGGAAAACTCGATGAGATCACTGATTCCCCAAAGATGTGTTCGCTTTACAACCTTCCCCTCCTACTGACCCGCTTTCCACGCTCATGAAAGAGAGGCCCCATTAGGCTGAAATACAGTAGACAGATGTGCCTTGACTCCCAACCTCCTCGTTGCAGCAGGGTGTGTCACCCGAGGGTTGCCAGTACGATGGATAACATTCCTCGCGTTTTGGGTCACGTGATATTATCGGCGATCGTGCGGGAGAGGCACAAGTCTAATGAAGTTATGCGTGAGAAACTAAGGAACACAACAAGGCGACAAAAGCTGTCAGACAATCTGGCCGCCAATGAGATGCATGCAAGGTAGGACAGGTGACGAGTGTGGAGCGTTGCTTTGCGACGGCACTTAGAGGGTGCAGATGCCCAAGAACGGGAAGAGGACGGCTGTTGACGAAAGGACTAAGGGGCATCGCATTGAGGAAAGTGAGGAATGCGGAGAGGAATGGAGTCGCCCCGATCTCCACTCCTCCACAATCTCCACTGTTGACAAGGACCGGGATCGCCTCGCCACCCTCGTCGCCGACTATAAAGGCCAGCGCTCGGCACCCTCTCTCCTCTCTTTCTCTCATCCTCTCATTCGCCCATCGTCCTCTTTCGTCGACCTCACTCTCCGGCAATCCAGATTGCAGCACTTCCGCTCATCTCTGTCGCCACCATACACCCACTCCTCCTACCCTCATTCGTCTTTACAACCAACGTGGCTTCAACCACTACCTCACTGTCGCCGTGCCTTGCCATTGACCTCGCCACCTCAAGTAATCAAGCCCTCGCGTCTTCTGACCACTTGTTATTACGTCACAAGCGTGAATACACTCAAGGGTACAACACGGGTGCAACTACCATACTACTCGCCCAACCGACATGTCTTACGCATGGCACTCAACCGACATCTTGTGCGGCTGCTTCTTCCAAGTCGAATATGACCGCTACTACCTGCCGCAAGTTGATATCAGCGCTCACACAACTATCATCGGCACCTCTTCCCGCACTGTGCTACGGCAAACATTTGAGAACAAGTCCAAGGATAAGATTGATGAGTTAAAATACGTTTTCCCGCTATATGATGGCGTGTCCGTCGTGGGCTTCCGGTGCACCATCGGCAGCCGCGTTATCGAGGGCGTAGTCCAGGAGCGCAACCAAGCCAAGGCCACCTATAAAGCAGCGACGGACCGCGGCGACATGGCCGGCCTGCTTGAGGAGTCGCTTAGCGCTGGTGATGTCTTCACCACTCGCATCGGCAATGTGCCCGCTGGCGAGAAGGTCTTTGTCGACATTACGTATCTCGGTGAGCTCGAGCACAATGCTCAGATCGACGGCCTCCGGTTCACCATTCCCACCCAGGTCGCGCCCCGTTATGGCTCCATGCAGTTTGGAGACAGCGCTTCCAGCAATGTCCAGGGTGGTGAAATCAGCGTCACCATCGACATTGAGATGCCCACCGCGTCGGCAATTAAGAGTGTCCAGAGCCCATCGCACCCCATCGCTGTATCGGTCGGCCACACCTCCAAAGCTCCCAACGCCGACCCTTCATTCGAGAAGGCGACAGCTAGCCTTACCCTCAACTCGACCTCGCTCGAAACCGACTTCGTTCTTCACGTCGTCGCAACCAATCTCGGCGAGCCTACTGCCCTTCTCGAGACCCACTCCACGATCCCTCATCAGCGCGCCTTGATGACCACTCTAGTTCCTAAGTTTGCGCTGCCTTCTGAGAAGCCCGAGGTTGTGTTCATCTGCGACCGCTCCGGCTCTATGTCTGGACACATTGGCAGCCTCATCTCGGCGCTCACGCTTTTCCTCAAGTCCCTTCCTGTTGGGGTCAAGTTCAACATTTGCTCGTTTGGCACCGATTTCAAGTTTCTCTGGAAACAGTCGAAGAGTTACACTCAAGCAACGCTCGACGAGGCCTCACGACACGTCGCTGCGTTCAAGGCCAACTTTGGGGGCACGGAGATGTATAATCCGGTGCGCAGTGAGAGAGTGACGGTGCTAATCGCAGATCCTCGAGACATTCAAGCGGCGGTTCACCGATATGAACTTGGAGGTGTTTGTGATCACTGATGGTGAGATCTGGGCGCAGGAAGAACTGTTCGCCATGATGAACGAACAAATCGAAAAGGCCAAGGGTGCGATCCGCGTCTTCAGCCTTGGCATTGGCAGCGGTGCATCGACCTCTCTTGTCAACGGCATTGCACGGGGGGGTGGCGGCTTTGCGCAGTATGTTCATGATGGCGAGAAGATGGACGTAGCTATCCTGCGCATGCTGCGCGCCTCACTCTTCCCGCACATTACCGATTACTCGCTCGAGATCAAGTACGGCAAGTGTGAGGAAAGTGACGACGACTTTGAGCTTGTCGAAAAGGTCAACTCTTCTCTCTTGATTGGGGACAACGAAACGGCTGCCAAGACCAGACGCAGCCCGTCGAAGCGCATCATCTCCTTGTTCCAGCGAGACCTCAAGGACGACTCGCCGCCCAAGTCCGAAGCCGCGCCTCTTCCTGCCCTCCCGGCGCCACGCTACCTGCAGACTCCGGGAGTTATTCCACCGCTCTTCCCCTTTTCGCGTACGACGGTGTACGTGCTCCTTTCGGACACGTGCCCCTCCTCCGCTCCAGTGGCGGTCATCCTCCGCGCCACCAGCGCTGCAGGACCGCTGGAGCTTGAGATCCCTGTCACGGTGCTCCGGGAGCCAGGGATGACCATCCATCAGCTTGCCGCTCGCAGGGAGATGAAGGAGCTCGAGGAGGGTCGGGGGTGGGTATCGCTCGCAAAGGTCGGTCCGGTTGCCCTCAAAGACAAGTACCCGGGTCGATACAGCGACATGGTTGAGCGCGAAGCCGTGCGCATCGGAACGAAGTTCCAGGTCAGCGGAAAGTGGTGCAGCTTTGTCGCTGTTGAGAAGGGTAACAACGGCGACGAGATGGTGGTCGACATCCCGCCCGAGTACAACGAGAGCAATATCGAAGACCACATGGACATGTCCAAAGGCAGCATGTCCGCCTCTCCTTACGGCATCCCCTTACAAGCTCCTCCGCCTGCTCCGATGCAGATGCAGGCTCAGAACGTATCCAGGCATGGTAAGTGGATCTCACCTGCATGATCTCGATGGTCCCCGTCGCATGGCTGGGCCGTGAGAGCCCGCAAGCCCCCCCTCCGCATGATAACCTTGCTGACTTATCAGGTGGCAGTGGCAGCAGCTACGGCTCGGCTGCCAACTCGAGAGCACATGTCTCGAAGAGATCGGCAATGCCCCAGCGGTCGAAGGGAGGCGCAATGCCCAAGAAGTCGATGGGGGGTGCAAAGCCCATGGCGGCGCCGAGCGGCGCCGTGAGGCATATATCGGCGATGCTTACAAAGTCGACGGGAGGCGCCGCCCCCGGCTCCATGAGGGAGGCGCCGTCGTATGCGCCCTCTGCGCCGCCTGCCGCTCCGTGTCCTCAAGCGGTGGCGCTGGACACGAACCCCGGCGGCGTGACCCTGATAGCCCAAACTCGCGGCCGCGGCCAGGACAACACCGGCGCGTTCGAGCGTCTTGCTTACTCTCCTTTGGATGATTTTTCTTACGCTGAGCGACGTTCCGCGCCTGCGGACACTAGTGGCGGGGAAAGGAATCCTGTGATGGCCCTGATGTTCCTCATCAATGAGCAGTTGTTCGAAGGCAACTGGAGGTGGACGCCGACGCTCGAATATGCGCTGGGCATCAAGGCTGAAGAGGCCATGGCAGCGGCACCGGGGTTCTCCGCCGAGATGGTAGCTACTGCGTGCGCGGTGGCGCTTTTGAACGCCAAGCTCGCGCAGGCGAAGGAGAAGTGGGTGATGATAGAGGAGAAGGCGGAGACGTGGCTGCATGCGCAGGGTGGGGACGTGGAGGCGCTTAAGAAGGCGGTGCGGACGCTATTCTAGTAGCCACAATATGTAGCCTTCGCAGAAGAGCAATGAATCAATGTCTGGTCTGTGCGGGATGGTAATGGAGCTGTGGTTGACGGTCAACTGTCGACGGTCGACGGACTTCTTGTCAGATGTGTCAGTTCAAGCTGCATGTAGTCGTTCAGAAGTAATTCTATCTCATGTGCTTGTGACGGGACGAGATTTTGAGCTCATGGTTCATGGTTCACGATTTCATGAATAAAGATCTATTTCGACACGTGGCGACGATCAATCCAGCGATCCAGCCGATCCAGTCGCGTCAACCGGAGGGCACTCTGGGTGCTTGTACCTTGTGCCTCGCGGATTCCGAGAACGCGTCGGACGAACCATGTCAGATAGCTCAGGGACCAAACATGATGCATGACTGGATTGCAGACAGACGACATGCATAGCCTTTGCCTTTCCATGTCTCCCCGAAGTCCCTGCTTTGCCCTGCTCCTTGGCTGTGAGCAGCTCTGCAATTGGCCAAGAGCGCGTTTCGGGATGTCCAGGGCGATGCAAGCAATGGCGACAATGGCGATGCGGGGGACATGGAACACGCCGCGGCTGTGCTGGACGGGTGGCCGCCAAGGGGTGGTGATCCGAGGGATAAGGGTCCAGGGAATAGGATGAGCCGGAGCTGACGCGACTGGTGCGTGCGGGATATGCACCTTCCCTCCTTCCTTCCTTTGAGTGGGTGATGCGACTTGAGCCATCTCCCTCCACGGCCTCCACCTTCCTCCTCCCCACAAACATCGACGCCCGCTCCCGCTCGCCTTTCAAATAGCACGCACTTCATCATTCTTTCTCCTCAACATCATCATCAACAAGACCTCCGTCAACACCTCAACCACCCCTCCCCCCCCCAAACATGCCTCCACGCCGCTCAGCAAGGGCCGCAGCCGCCGTAGCTGCCACACCCCCACCTCCCCCTCCCGCCCCTGCACCCAAGAAGCGGGCCGCTCGAACCAAGAAGGCCGCATCCCCC